CATATTTTCCAGATTGGGTATTTGATGTATGGTCTGTTAACGGAATGGCATTTGTTGAGGATCCCAATGTCCAATTGAAATCAGCAGGTTTTAGGGGATTGTGCCATGAACATAAGTCTGTATCAAAGCTGCAGGTTTTTGGGCAGTTGACTTCGTCAGATAGATCTGGACAATCTTGTTTGAAGTCACATACAGCTGTAGATGGGATGCATGAGCTATCAGACACACACTGAGATTTACCAATACCACATGGTCCTGGTGTGGTGATGGCCGGTGGAAGGGTTACTCCCCTTGCCAAAGAACAATCAGGTGTAAATGATATATCATCAATTCCTATATCTCCATTGAAGCCTGTGCCAGTTACTCCTTCTATCATTAGGCGAAATGGAACTGGACTTGACAATGTCACTGTACCTCTTCTCCACTCATTAGCTACAGATTTCTGTTTGCCCCACACAAGATATTTTGGTCCCACCACTACTGATATCATATAGATGTTAAGGCTATTGACTTGTATGCCGAACATATGGTAAAAGAATCTCATCTGGCAGGAACCAGTTGTAGTTTTATCAAACACAACACTCATAAGTGATGCAGTTTCATTTGGTTTTCGTGGTCTTGAGGTTTCAATGTACAGATAGGTGCCAGTTTGGTTTCCATAAGTGTGATCTAAGCTTGGTCCTGTGCCAATACTTGTTGTGCGACCTTGCTTTCGAGTCCAATCAAAATTATCTGTTTTTTCCTGCTCCCAATTACAGTTGTCCTGTTCGAAATTACATCTTTCTACATACTTGGCGCAAGCCCTCTCATCTGACCAATCACCACAGTCGTTACTATAATCACAGAGGAAAGCCATGTCTACACAAGAACCAGACAAGCATTGAAACTGGTTTGGGGTACAAGAACTGTTCTGTATGTCACAATTATTAAACGTTATATCGTCAATAGCCATATCGCCAGATTTTTGCATCTGTAAGGATTGGAATGAGAGACTGTATCCTGCAGGACGAGCCCCAATTCCAACTGTTGTCTCTACCCACTGCTTGCCAAGATCACCAAGTTTTGTCCAAAGCAATATTGTCTTATCCAGATCATCCGCTCTAATTCCTGGAGGAACTAAGAAAAGTTGCATGACCCCTCTTTGTGTTCCTGATTTTTGGAACCAGAAGTGAACTTCACAACTGGCACGAGTTTGGCCAAATATTGCAGATTGTATTACAGCTCTTCCAAACTGAGATCCTTTAGTAGAATCTACAAATATATAATTACCGACAGCCTTATTTCCAAGAGTGTGATCATTTATAGGACCAGAAACGGCCGAAGGTGTGCTACCATTATGACGTTCCCATTTATATATACCAACACTGATATCATGCCATCCACAGATAGACTTCTCAAAATCACATGGTCCACAATTCATCTCATCTGATCCGTCATGACATTGTTGAACAAAATTACATAATCCTGTCTGCGGAATACAGCTTCCATCCATGCATGTCCATTTTCCAGAACCACATGTATTAGTTGGACCTGTGACAATTTGGGGAATTCCTGTTGGTAATATACCAGTATAAGCGGTGCAACCAGGTGTAAAAGAGATGTCATCTATTGCTATATCACCTAAATAAGAATTTCCAACTGTTCCTTCAATTAAAATCTGGAATGGCTGAGTTTCTGCTATATCAATAACCTGCATTACCCAGTAGCTGCCTATTTCACCTGTTCTTTTCCATAAAATAGACAAAGGTCCTGATACTGAAGTTCTCTTATAGATAAATAAAGAGCCAATACCCTTTCCATACATCATATAGAAAAACCTCATGGAACATTTCTTAATTGGGTCAGCTTGAAGGGAGGCACTGAAGAGTCTAACACTATCACCCTTCCTTCTAGGGTTTGAACTTTCTAAGTAAATGTAATGCCCAGCTAATGTGTTGGTAGTGTGATCAAAGCTTGGACCAGTCATCTTTGTTCGTGTACTGCCACTTATTCTTCTCCAGTTATCATCATCATTGATATCTTGATTCCAATCACATAAACTTCTTTCAAAATTGCATCTCTTGTATGAGTTACATACTAAGTCTTTTTCATCAGATTGGTCACCACAGTCATCAACAAAGTCACATGTTCGACTGGAATCAATGCAAACCATGTTGTCACACTTGTACTGACCATTTGGACAAATTCCTGAACCCTTTTTCGGCATTGCACAATTTTCAAATTGGATGTCATCTATGGCAATGTCTCCCAAGACACTGAAAGATCGACTTGCAGCAATACCTATAGAGAAATCTGATGACATTCTACCAATCGGTATTACAGCTTGGACCCATCTGTCTCCATGGTCAGATGCAGTAGTCCATAAAACAGTTTGAAGACTGCCTTCATATCTGTAAACTTGAAGTTTTCCTATATACTTTCCATACATACTGTACCAAAAGGTCATCACGCAGGAAGATGACGCAATTGTAAAAACTGGACTCTTGTAAACAGCAGTGCTATATCTTGTTCCATTACTTGCATCAACATACATGTAGTAGCCTACAGCTGATAAGGTAGTATGATCAATTGAAGGGCCTGTGTTCGAGTCAGGTGTTGCTCCTCGATATTTTACCCAGCTGAAAGGTCCCCCTTTGTTATTAGTCCACTTGCAAGTACCATTGTCAAAGGTACAGTTATATCCACAGTTGATCTCCTCCAAACCATTGGCACAATTTGCTGTGAAATCGCACACCTCCTTTCCATATATGGTGATTCCTTCTGGACAAGTGAACTGTCTGTCTGGTGGAATAGAGCCACAATCACCATCCATCATAGTGATATCATCTAAACCTATGTCACTCAAATAGCCATTTCCAACAACACCTTCAATGATGATTGTGTAATCACCCTGAGTGTAGTTCAGTGTTACTAAATCATTCTTCCAAAGAGTTCCTTGATCATTAGATTTGCTCCATATTTTTTTCATTTGTCCACTAAATGGTGATAAGTAAATATTCAGTGAGCCCATAGTTTTGCCAGACATGAGGTACCAAAAATTCATACATTTGACTGTTCCATTGTTAAATGGTGGGGAAACAAACCAGGCTTTATCACCAGCTTTCTGCGGAGCCGAAGATTCCATATTTAAATAGACTCCATATTTGGTTCCAAGGGTATGATCTTTAGGTGGACCAGTTCCTGGAGACAATGTAGTTCCTTTTATTCTGTTCCAGTCAAAGTTATCTCCAGTTTGAACATTTTCCCACTCACATAGACCAAATTCAAAGTCACAGTTACCCATAGGTTCACATATTCTGGGAAGTATATCCAGGTCATCAATAGCAATGTCTCCTGTATATCCTCTTCCAACAACCCCTTCAAAAGTAATTTGGTACTTGTTATTGGATGTTATTGGAACTTGTGCATTATGCCATTCATTTCCTTGGTTTCCATAACTTGTCCATATTGGTTTTCCTAAGTTAGCTCCATACCTCATATATACATTCAGTGATCCTACAGTTTGACCATACATATTATAAGCAAACTGCAAGCAAGAACCAGATGTAGCTTCATTTAGTGGTGATGTTATTCTAGCTTTATTACCAAGTCGCCTTGGTCGAGAGGATTCAATGAATAGGTAATGGCCATAAGTTGTTTTAAAAGAGTGGTCAACCCTTGGTCCTGTGCTAGTACTGGGTGTTATACCTGCCTGTAATTTCCAATCAAATTGATCATCCACATCTTGGGTATAACCACAGTTACCATCTTCAAAATCACATGTTGGAGCTGAAGGGCAGTCTCCTTGATTCATTGAAACGTCATCAACAGCTATATCCCCTAAATAGTTCTGTCCAGATAAACCTTGTAAAACCACATTCATTGGTCCAGCAGTGGTCACAATGTGTACTTGTGAATACTTCCACAGTGGTCCAAAATTTCCACTTCTTGACCAGACTTCACTTTCATTTGAATAGCTCTTTACTATAATACTCAGCTTATTAATTTTAGCCCCATACATGTAGAACCAAAATTTTAAACAAATTCCTTTTGAGTCCATGGGGTAAGATGGACTGATCAATCTTGCTGTGCTGTTTGGAGTCTTGGAGGAAACCTCAGTGTAAATGTAAAATCCTTTGTCATTGCCAATGGTGTGATCTGTCACAGGTCCAGTATTACCAGAAGAAGTTGCTCCGGCATGTCTTGTCCAGTCAAACTTGTCTGTCTTATCCTGTGACCAACCACAAAAACCAACTTCAAAGTCACAATCAAAGCTTGATGGTGGGAAGGTGACTGGGATCGTGGCCTCTACAGTTGTGGGCATGGGTGTAGTTATACCATAACAACCATAACGACCAAGCACTATGTCATCAATAGCAATATCTCCAGTAAAATTGCCTCCATGTACACCTTCAAATATAACGATAAAATTGGTTGAAGAAATAATTCTTGCAACAGCTTTTTGCCAAACATTGCCTTGGTTTCCAGACACAGACCATATCAAGCTAGAGTTGTCTGTTCCTGATTTTGTGTACACATTGAGTGAACCTACTCCAGCACCATACATGTGATAAAAGAATGATAAACAGAGACCTAAAGATGATGCCTGAATATGTTCACTCTCTAGCCAGGCTTTGTCTCCTTGTTTCCGGCCAAGGGTAGATGTTTCTATGTACATATAATAACCCTTAGAGGATGATGTGGTGTGATCAACTTTGGGTCCTGTGCTCACAGATGGTGTTCCACCATAGTCTCTTAACCAATCAAACTGATCTCCAGATTGAATATTCACATATCCACACACATCATCTTCAAAGTTACAGGTTCCTGCACTTGGACAGTAGCCATCTTTCAATTCCACATCATCAATGGCAATATCTCCGGTATAACCTGTTCCCCTAACCCCCTCGATCATCATCTGATAAGGCTTATAAGCACGGAAAGCTATGCTTGCTTTTCTCCATAAATTACCCTGGTTTCCTGATAAACTCCAAAGGGGAACTGGAGTACTAGTACCATTATCAAGTCTGTACACTCCTAAAGATCCTATTGTTGTGCCATACATATGATAGTAGAACTGCAAACATTTGTTCCTAAAAGCCGAAGATTTAAGTATTGATGCACTGATAAGAATGGCCTTGTCACCTAGACGTCGTGGAGCAGATGTTTCAATGTAAGCATAATGCCCAGTAGGCGACCCAAAGGTATGATCTCTAGTGGGTCCTGTTCCTACTGTTCGTGTTTTTTGTGAAGTGATAGTCCAGTCAAATGTATCATTTTTTGATTGTGTCCACTGACAAAGGTTGTTATCTTCAAAGTTACAATTGTTATCTGCTGGACATTCACCTTGTAAGACTTGGAAATCATCCAGGGCTATATCCCCCTGGAAACCATTTCCAACTACTGCTGAAATGACCATGACATACTCTGTTTGTGAATAAATCGTCCTCATGCCACTGATCCATCTATCTCCTTGAGATCCTGACTTGGACCAAAACAATGTTGAATTCTGACCAGTTGTCTGTGTGATCGTTAGATTTCCAATGGTGGATCCGTACATGTAATACCAAAATTTGAAGCAATGGCCACTTGTTGGTGTGGGTCCCAATGTAACACTAGTGAGTTGTGCAAAATCTCCTAATTTTCTTGGTATTGATGTTTCAATAAAGACATAGTTTCCGTTTCGCCGATTAGAATGATCAAATGGTGGTCCAGTTCCAGTCGTAGGTGTGCTTCCATTTCTCAGTGTCCAATCAAAAGTATCATCAGTGCTTTGAACCCAGCTACACATGTCAACATTGAAGTTACATCCTATGTCAGGGGGAACTATCTTAGGATCACAATTGTTGAAGGAAATGTCATCAATGGCAATACTATTAGTTTGTGAAGGAATAAACCCTTTCGCTGGAGTTGACTGAAACTGAATGTGGAATCCTTTTTCTAAACCAGGAATTCTATTTCCCAAATATACAATTCCTCTTACCCAAATGCCATTTCTATAGTATCGATTTGACCATATTGTTTTGGATGTTTGATTATAATTAACAGATACAGATAGAGTTCCTGAAACTGTTCCAACTTTATAATAATAGAAATACATAGTACAATATTTGGAGGCTTGGGGCATGGGAGGACTGTTGAGTATAGCTGGGGTGTAGTACACTCCATCAGAATTTTTAACAGCAACATAATGTCCACTCTGTTGTGCTGTTGTATGATCAACTTTAATTGTTGTAGGATTAGCTTGCATGTAAGTAAAGTTATATTTTCCGGAGCTGGCATCACTCCATCCACATAAATCTGTTTCAAAATCACACGGACCACACATGTGCTCGTCAGAGCTGTCATCACATTCAGGATTAAAGTCACACACATAAGCCATTGGCAAACAAGCGCTGCCATCTTTACACTGGAACTGGTTTGTTGGACAGGAGTTAGTGGTAGCTGCTGTTGTTGGAGGTGGAGTTATAGCCGAGGCAAGAGTCACACCAGTTACTTTACATCCTGGGGAAAAAACGGTATCATCAATAGCTATATCCCCATTGTATGATCCTACTGTACCCTCTATTACCACCTGATAGTCAACATTGCTGATCAAGGACAAAGTTTTACGTTCCCAGAAATCCCCATTATTGCCTTGTTTCTTCCATAATTGCTGTTGTAGACCTCCAATTTGGTTCCAAGTGCTTACAGAAAGATTTCCAGTTCCTGATCCATACATGTGATAATATAAAGTGAAGTAACAGTTATCAGATGCAGATGTCGGTGATAAAACAGGACTCAGTATCTGTGCTTTATCTCCTCTTTTTCTAGGACTTGATGCCTCAATGTACATGAAGAAACCTGTGCTAAGTTTAGTTGTATGATCAAGAGATGGACCTGTTAATCGGGATGTTGTTGGTCCATGGTGTCTTAGCCAATCAAAATTTTTAGTATCAACTTTACTTTGTTGCCAAAAGCAAGAAGATTTTTCAAATGTACAGGCCAGTGCCGAACCACATACAGCATCTGATTCATCACTTCGATCCCCACAATCATCAGTAAAATCACAAAGTTGGCTTCTCGAAACACAGGAACCACGATCGCAAGTGAAAAGGTTGCTGGGACATGATAACTGTTTTGGTGGCAGTGCACAGTTAATAAGTTGAATATCATCTATTGCTATTCCATATTTACCTTGGAACAGAACATAAAACTCTCCGGATATTCTGCCAATATCTGCAACACCTTTGAGCCAAACAGGTGAACGCTGGCTGTTAAGTCTCAAAATATTGGTTATCCTGGTACCTTGCTGAATGTTCACTTCAAATGACGGTCTGTATGTATTAACAAAATAATAAAACTGGATCTGACAAGTTGAGAAGGAATTCTGTAATCTTGGACTCTGCAGGATCCCTAATGAAACAGACTGCGCATTATAGTAACTCGTAAACATATAGTATCCAGTTTGGTTTCCGAAGGTATGATCGATACCAGGTCCATCAATGCTGCTTATTGAACCATTCTGTCCTCGGTACCATGAAGAGCTTCCTTTACTCTGATCCGTCCACTTGCACTGATCTTTCTCAAAATCACAATTGCCACAATATTTTTCATCGGAACCATCTTTGCAGTCTTGAGAGAAATCACACACCTGAGACAAAAAGATGGAATCACCATTAGCACATTTATAAGGAGCATCCACAGGAGTTATGTTTGCACATTGTCCTGGTGCCACTATAATATCATCAACAGCAATATCACTATGGAAGTCACTTCCAACAACACCCTCTAATATAAGGGTGAATTCTCCAGATGCAGGGATGAACAGAGATGCATACTGCCATTTATTTACATTTGTACCATCGCGATAAAATATTCTGTTTGGTGGTGCTGTTGCAGATGTGTTCAGCAGATTAACATACACGTTAAGACTTCCAATGCTACTTCCATACATGTGGTACCAAAAGGAAAGACATCCTCCGTAAGGCAAAAGCAGTACTTCTGATTCTAACTGAGCTTTATCACCTGGTTGTTGTTTGGATGACTCAATATAGATGTAGTAACCTATAAAACAAAATGAATATTTGTAAAATTGTAATTTAATGTCTAAAGGTTACATTTGCTGAACACAAATTCCGGTGTCATTTTTACTAATGATATTAAAATGAACATAAAACAAATTTCATATCACAGGTTTTTCAAATTAATCATACTAAAGTCCAGTACTGATTTTTAAAAATGAATGAATGAATGGGGTTTAGCATTCCACTTTTTTGCATCTATCGGACGAATGAAGATGGGCATATGTCATACAGTGTGCTTTAAAGGCAATTTTGCTCAGACAACAATTGAAGGGTGTTTTTTATGTGCAAGCTAATGTGTACACAAGACCTTGCTTTTCTCTCGTACTGTCCGAATGGCTAGGCGATGTCAAGGAGGAGCCACATCAAAAAGGTAATGATTTTAAACTGTCTAAAATATTGAAAATTTTAGAAATAAAATTCTAAATGATACTAACCATTACTATTTAATAGAGTGTGATCTGTTTTTGGACCAGTGCCAGGAGTAGCGGTGCTACCTTTATTTCGCAACCAATCAAAATCATCATGATCCTTGTGATTTGACCATCCACATACGCCAGATTCAAAATCACAAGTTCCAGGAGGAGGACAGGGATTGGGTAATATCTGTACATCATCAATAGCAATATCACTCTGAAATGATCTTCCTATTACACCTTCAAAAATAATCTGAAATAAAAAATATTCAAAAAATATATATCTGACTGACACTGACAGTAAATACTTTAATTAACTACTACATGATATACTTGACATGGACAGAAATGTAATTTCTTCTGAGCTTTATATCTCATTCCATTATAATATAATTAAAATTTAATATTTTCTTCCAATCACAATCAGTGATGGCTTGGTGAGTAAATTGCTGGCTCGCTAACCAGGAGGTCTTGGATCCCCTCCCAGTGATGGTTTCTCAGGATTTTCTGTCAGTTGTGCAAAACGGAGGGTTTGGGATCAAACAACATCTAGTCATTTAAAGCTAAATCATAAACTGGGGTATAACTCTGAATATTGGCCAAGTTCATCCTAATGACACAATGAACAACATATTATAGATAACTCTCTTGTATTGTGTGTTCTTAAATTTGAAATTAAATGGAGAATTAACTTTATGATTTACAATAAAACAAAATATGACCCAATGAACAATCTCTGCAAATTTGAATGAAAAACTTGTCAAGAAAGATGGACAGAAATGATAATTGTATTTGTCACCATATATATAACTACTAAAAATTTCTTACATCATATGCTGTGAAAGTATGGATGTCAATTTTAATTGCCCTCCATCTATTGCCTTGATTCCCTGATCGACTCCACAATTTGGCTTGGCTTTTGTACTGGCGACTGTAGACACTCAGTGTTCCGATGTTAAGACCATTCATATGATAATAAAACTGTAAGCATGAACCATCTGTTTTAGGTAGTTGTGGTATGATGAGTCGAGCTATGTCTCCAGATTTCTGTGGTAATGATGCCTCAATGAACATGTAATAACCTTAAATAAAGAAACATAATGAATGGGATTAAATGTCTGGTAAACACATGAAAAATACATTTCAATTCTCTGGACAATGGTGTCATTACATTATAGAATTTTAACTTCTTATGGTTTTCTTATATGCACTGTATTCAAAGGACATTTTTCATCCTGATAATAAAACTTTTTTGTTCTTGACAGCCATTGTTCTGACAATTATTGATGCATCTATCGTTCAAGTCAGGTTTCTGAGGAGTTATCTTTTCCTGCATGCAGTTAACATTATGAACTTACAGGCCGGGTAAACACATTTGAGTCGTGTACACCAGATATGAGAAATAAACACTTGTGCCGTCCACTCGGCACAAACTAGGTCATTTCGGGACTAACATATGGTTTTTAATTTTATTTCAATAATTCGCTTGCGCGTAGGGGTCTTTAGCAGTGGGAGGAAACCGGAGAAAACCCACGAGGCTGGACAGGCGTCTCTACTCCTTATCACATACAACCGGGGATTTGAAACCACGCCAGTTGACTCAATGACAGGCCTTATGATACAGCACGTACGTGCTAACCATTCGACCATTCAACCCCCCTGTGCATAAGAGAATTCATGAGATAAAGATATACCACATGTTAGCAATGTTATAAGCTGATATATAATGATCATTAGCATTGCTTTAGGGATATAAAAAAGAGACACGTCATTAAATTAATACCCCATTTTCAACAAATCTTAATCTAATCTTCCTTATCAACATTAAACAGTTTCTATTTACCATTTGGAGTTCCATATGTATGATCTGAGCTTGGTCCAGTCCCTGTTGATTTAGTTGTACCATGGTTTCTTGTCCAATCAAAATCATCATTAGTATCCTGCTGGTAACCACAGATATCACTTCCTTCAAAGTCACAGACATCTAGAAATATTCAGAATTCAATTTTATTAAGCTAGAAATATAATATCAGAATACATCTTTATGATAATAACAAATTTGTACAAGATGATAACAAGCTGACAACAAATTTTTGTTTGGTAATAAGCTTTAATTTCAGAAGTTGTGGATTAAGTAAGCAAAAAGAAACAACATGCAACTTTTAACTTAATTTCTAATTGTAATTAAAAAATTAGTAAGAAAAATGAGTGTGCTTAAGGAAGTACCATAATGGGTATGCTTAATAAAGTAATAGGTATGCTTAATGAAGTAATGGCTGTGCTTAATGAAGTAATGGGTGTGCTAAATGAAGCAACGGGTGAGGTTAAATAAGCAATTTTAATTCACCAAATATTATTTCATTATGTCTTTGATAAGTAATGCAAAATTTATGTTGATCTAGAAATTTCCTAAATTCTAGACACGTGTAAGCCAAATGGAGTCTAGAAATCAGGGATATAGACGGGTGTGTCAGGTGCCCCATATGCCCACCAGCGCAAGATTTTTGTCTTGTATCATGTTTACCAACTTTAACAGTCAAAATCTGAAACAGCTATTTTCTTATCCCACACTGAACAATCACACCAATTTTTAAAACATTCTGGCTAGAACTCTCTTGTGTACCAGTACCACATTCACAAGATTTAATGAATTTAAAAGGGGGCATAACTCTGGAATTTGCTATTCTGAATTTTGATAATGGTTTACTTTTGACTCAATGAACGATCAATACAAATCTCAGGACGACAGACGAAAGAACAAAAAAATATGTTTAAATAAATATGCTAGCATTTATTATCAACAAGCACATATGAATCAACTGACGATCTTGTAATCAGTCAGTACATTTAAGATAAAAATGTCAAAGCTATAGGATAGGGTTTCTCCTCATTTTCTGTGTGAAAGGTATGGATTGAAGTGCATAATCATTGAAACAACTGAGTTAAATATTTACTGTCAGTAGGACAAGGTCCATCTTTCAATTTAAAATCATCTAATGCTATATCCCCAGTATAACCATTTACCATGACGGCTTCAATCACAATCTACGTAAGTCATAAACAAAATCATATGTAAATGGACACAGATGCCACCATTGTTTGGACTTAGATTTTGTCATGTACCATTTTACTTTTTATTTAATAAAATATGGATTAGTTATCAAGATTATTCGAAAAACATGCTTTAAATTTATGATTTGAATATCTTAAAACCAGATAGGATTCTGTACCGTATCATATTCACAAAATTTCATCAATCAGTATCATGTTCATATATAAATATACATACATTTATTGTTGTCTGTTGAGTTTGTGGGTTAGGTAGAGTTTGTGGAGTAAAATAAACATCGCCATACATCCACTGGTTGCCTTGGTTACCACGCCTGGTCCACATTGGACTATTCAGTAGATCAGACGGACCTACAGAGAACAAGAATTACATTAGATATAAACAAGCGGTTGCCATGGACAGAGAACATGCTGGACAAAAAAACCCTGATTTTTCATACAATCGGGCCGCCATAATAAAGGAAATTTTGATTCGTTACATGCAAGTATCGAAAGGAACCCAGATCTTTGGGATATAAACATATATATTAAGTTTCTTCAAAATCGGACAACAATTTTGACCTCTAGATGATCCACAACCTTGGTATTACATACCTTTAAAACTATTTGCGTACGGGGAGCATCCATTTTGTCGTGCAGTTTCAGTTCGATTTTCAAGAAATTCAAACTCAACCATCCTTATGATGAAAGGGTGATTGACCTCTAGAGGCTATATAAGCTAAAAATGTGATTTTACAAACTTTTACACTATTTGTCTACCAGGAGCAGTCATTTTGGTGGGCAATTTCAGTCCGATTTTCATGAAGTCCTAGATCAGCCGTCATTAGGGTGTAACAGTGATATATATGACAGCATTTAAAATCGGATAAAATTGTGACCTAGAGGGACCACAAACTAAAACCATGATTTTTCGTACAATCAGGGGCCATAATAAAGGAAGTTATGGTCCGATATGTGCAAACAGTTTAAGGAACCAAGATTTTTGGGTTGTTAACATACATTTTAAGTTTCATCAATATCGGACAAAAAATGTGACCTCTACAGTATGTACAAGCTAAAAACATAATTTTTCGATTTTTCGTACAATCAGGGGCCACAATCTATGAAGTTACAGTCTGATACATGCCAATCTCAAAAGGTAATGAGATTCTTGGAAGATAAACCTATATTTAAGTTTCATAATAATCTGATAAAAATTGTAACCTGTCGAGTGTCCATAAACAAATGTGAATGGATGTCCGGGGAGGCAGGGACTATGACAATACACGTCCACCTAAAAATGTGGTTGCATAGAAACTGAAACAGTCCATACATCCAGACTGTTAAAATTTCTAATGCATGCAGCTTTTATGTGGGATCAATTTTCTTGAAAGCTTATACAAAATATTCACTGGTAGCTATAGATTACTATCAATATCATTTAAATCCATTAAAGTAAGTATAAACTTTGCTAGCAGGAAAATGAACAAAGTCTAAAGTATTAATTAGAAAATAAACATCAAATACATTTTGAAATGACAACTTTATCAATTTACCTTGCTTGCCGTAAATATTTATCTGTCCAATTTTTGATCCGTACATGTGATACCAGAACATAAGACACTGACCAGAAGTATCAATTGGTAAATCTGGACTTATAATACGAGCTGTATCATTGGCTTGTCTCTGAGATGATTCGGTGTAAATATAATAACCTGTTTAATACATAGAATATAATTTGTAATAGAATACAAGTTTGGGTAAGCTATCCAATACTATCACATGAACGTACTTCCACACATAGGTCAACAAATAGAAAATTTCAAAACAACTGACATGATACAAACAAGCCAATGTCACCTATAAATTTTGAGTAAAATATCTTTAACCCGTTAAGTGCGTAGGTCGTTATATAACGTCCTGGACAACAGCCGCTCACTGTGTGTAGGGCGTAATATAACGGCTTGAAGGTATTTTCCCCAACCTATTCTTAGAACATAGTTCGTCCCAAGGGATTCCCCCCACGATCGCAGCACATGAAGGACGTTATATTACGTCCTGGACAACTGCCACTCACTGTGTGTAGGGCGTAATATAATGCCTTGGAGGTATTTTCCCCAACCTATTCTTAGAACATTGTACATAGTTCTTCGTCACTTCGTCAAACTAATTACACAATAGGGGGTAGTTAACGTTTTAAAAATGTCACGCTAATAAGATTGAATCCAAAATCTTTCTCATTCTTAACCAAACATCAAAGAATGAATAGGTTAAAATTGGACAATTATGAAAAGTGTACTAATACAACCTTATTTTACAGACAGGTGGCCGAAGGGTCTACTTTTAACGAGGGTAATATTGGAAATAAAATATAATTAATCTGTAACGTTCAAACCTTTATTATTCTGTAGAGTATGATCAGCAGTAGGACCAGTATTAAACGAGACAGTAGCGTGATGTTGAAGTGTCCAATCAAACACATCTGTCTTATCTTGTGTCCAATGGCAGATATTATTTTGATCAAAAGTACAATCAAGGTTTGTAGGAGCTGCAAAGGAGTAAACAATGTACCAGTAGATATGATTTCATGGTTAGGGGCAGTAACTCTGCAAACATTTGATAGGGTGCCCGCTTCAGACAAGCAAAACAATCCTGACAAATTTGAAGATTATGGGCAGACAGGAGTTAACGACAATTTAGTCCTTGAAGATACATTATGTAAAAGCTAAATCTGCCTATTGCATGTCTTTCTTCTGGCATCATTAATATGAATTATTATTTAAACATTTATTAACATGATAAGCCCATAATCAACCCTCTGGATCATCTGATGGCTTTGATTTTAAGTAGATTAGAACATCATAGTCATTTAAGAGTTTAGCAATAAAAGCAATAAAAGCAATAATCAAAACTCAGTCTCAATTGTCAAGTACCGTAGCTATGACAATAAACAATCTACGCTACAATTTGTCAAAACTTCAAACACTCATAACTTTGCACAGAATAAAGTAAATTTGACTAAAAATTTCAATATATTCATTTATTGTCATCTATTATTGAACCATTATAGCAAGAATGGCCAGCCCTTTATCTAAATCTTAAATAATGCATCATTAACAACTTGATCCAGCTAGGATATAATCATGATCATTTAGAGAATAAAGAACCATGAATAATGATTTAAAAATGTGACTTATTTCATAACTAGATATATTATCAAGAGAAATATCTTACGATATGTGACTGTATTTTGTGTTGGTACAGGTGTTGTTGTAACCACTTGTGTACAAATACCCTTATAATAACTAATATCATCTATAGCCATATCACCACGGAAACCATTTCCTATCTCAGCATCAAATGTAAACTAAAACAAACAGAATTATACAGGTTTTACTAAACAATTCCCCAACCGCTTCAATAAGTATATTCACTTTCATGTCTAATCGAGAACACATAAAAAATACACATTAAAACATTTTGGGTAGCATCAAAAACTGAATACATGCTGATTGATTGCTGCCTTATGTTTTTAATATTTATATAATCCTTTCAATTTTTCCCTATTGGCTGACTTTGCACCCGGTTACTAGCGTAGATTATAAGTCGAGTCTTGTTACACCATATGAGCTACAAGAGTACAACAAAAATTGTCAGTTATGTGAACTCCTCAGGTATTTTAGAAAGATTAAGCATACTATTTCTTGTTTGTGACTAGTTATAAGAGCAATAGTTTGGACAAGGATTATTTCTTTCACAGATTGGTAATCAAGATTAGGTGTCAATCATAGTGGATATCTCCAACCATAATTTTGATTTGATTTTAGCAACTGAAACCAGCCTGATTGCAAAAGGAAATTGGACAACGTGATATATTAGTACATTATAACTGTTGGATATTGGCATTATTAACCAGTCTAATTTTGTAAAAATATTCACAAAGTATATCAAAGGGTCCATGTTTATGGCAGATAAAAGGCTAATGCTAATGTACAAAATCTGATTCTTTACAACTTCCTACATAATATTTCTTAATCAAATCTACCTGGAATCCTGATGTACTGTTGACTTGTACCTGGGCATACATCCATATGTAACCTTGATCTCCAGTTTTATTCCATAACAAAGGTGTACCTTTCGGTGTTGGCATGTACAATCTCAGTGTACCAACATCTAAAATTAAAAATAATCTTAAGATCCTTCTTTTGTTAAATTCAAATTTCACTCCAAACTTTTGAACTTTTAGAAAGTGAATTGTGAAACAAATACATAGTTGTTTCCATTTCATAACCCACTACCACTAACTTCATGCCACAGTAAGGCTTGTTACAGAAGAAATACAGTTTTAGAAATTAAAATATTGTAATGAATTATAATATAAACCAAATAAATTAAGATGTCCTCTTGCAATATTTCTCACCATACGGTCACTAACGAGACTTTAAAATATAATCAATTCGGACAGGTAATCATGTCTATGACAGTCTATCATATTTATTTTCATTGCTTTACATCACAAATTGGGTAGTTGACACTGCTCTTTTAACCATATCTTTTTTATTATCATTTCATTTTATTCATTTGGGTTGATATATGATTAATAAAGACTTGTGAAATCTTATTGAAATGTGTAATAAACCATAGTAATTGTTATCCATAAATAGAGGTTTATGTCCCAATTACTACCGGTAAATGCCATTCAAACAATATAAAAGAATATGACTTCTTGTTTTACATGACGAAATGTAAAAGTTAATAAAACTGTTCAAATTAGTATTTACAAAAATACTACTATACCTCTTCCATACATGATATACCAGAAAGATATACACGATTGAGTAGTTGGATGTAAATAAGGGCTGAACAGCCAGGCCCTGTCTTTAGCATTTCTGCCAGAAGCTTCAGCATACACATAAAAACCTGAAAATATAGGTTATCAAAAAAAAATTTATAACAAAATAATAGGCTTTAACTAGCTAATTCTGCATTCTTTGATTATAACTTGCATGAAATTCATGTGTCCTTGAAAAAGACATTTTATACACTAGTGCAATATAAAATAAAAGTAGCACAAAAAAAGTGAATATTTCAGAGAGGGGTAGATCATGCTTTATACAGTAGAATGGTAGACTATTCATCTAGTTGTAATTCTTTTTCTAAAAATTAAACTAATACCAACCATGATCTGTGCCAGTTGTATGATCCACACTGGGTCCGGTTGCAGTGGTCAATGTTCCTCCAGCAGATCGTTCCCAATCAAATACATCATTCTTAGTTTGTCCATTAACAAAACCACACATATCGTATTCAAAATTACAGCTTCCTATTGGTGGACATGCTCCTGGTACAATAACTATATCATCAATTGCTATATCTCCTCCACCAGATGCATACCTTAATCCTTCAAATACAATCTAAAACACAAATACAAAGTTTTAGTGATCAGACTTCAAGAGAACCAGTAACCTAGAAGGCCAGTGCATGGAATATACTTGAAGCATATACCATTTCCAGAACAACTAATATTGATGTACTTGATCTCATTTTGTTATGAGAATTCAAATGTGAACCATAATTTCATGGAAACCATCTTTAATCAAGGTAATTTTGATCCAAAGCTATAAGAATTATATTCTGAATGGTTATATCCCCAGTTACAAGGAGGATACAGCAGTCTTTCTTTTTACAATATTCAAAGAAACAGGGTCTTGAAATCGAACTGAAGACATTCTTGTTGCAAATCTAATATGCTATTCATTCAATATTACAGCCCCCATTACAAGAATTCACCTCACTACAAGAATTTACCTGTAATCCCCATTCAATTGACTTAATTCGTACACTGGCAATAATAATCAATTTTTCTTATAAAATATGAAATCATATTTTGTGATAAATGCGAGGAATGAAACATGATAAAAGACATCATAAAAGGAATTTTGTGTCATATCTTTGTAATCTGAGTTAAACCTCCATATGTCAAAAATGGACTGTCAGTTAAAATTTTGAAATGAAAGCCCTACATCATAGCATCAAAATGAAAACAAAATATAATATTTAACAAATTACCTGATAAGAGCTTTGTTGAGATATTGTTAGAAATCCACCCAGCCACATATCTCCTTGTTCACCTGAAAAACTCAATGCTGGGGAATTCATCAATCCTCCTACTTTAACATAAACATTTAGAACATTGCCTACTGAACCATGCAGATGATACCAGAACTTAAGACATTCTTTCTGTGGCATACCCTGTAACATTGGGCTAGTAACTCTAGCAGTATTTCCTGAACTTACAGTAGGTGATCGTTCGACATAAAGATAGTAACCTGTAATGAAATGAAACAATATATTGAACAAGATCATTTTAACATTTATTCAAATCTGATTTATATAACATGCTGTTTTTGGTTTCAGCACTATTTTCACAAATTTCCAATACTTGCTGGGGGGGTTGGATGGTCGAATGGTTAGCATGTGCACGCTGTATCATATGGCCTGTCATTGAGTCAACTGGTGGGGTTTTGATTCAAATGTTGTACGTGACAAGGAGTAGGGTCGCCTGTCCAACCTCATGGGTTTTCACTGGGTCCTCCGGTTTCCTCCCACTGCTAAAGACCCCTATGCGCAAACGAATTATTGAAATAAAATTGAACCATGTGTTAGTCCCGAAATGACCTAGTTTGTGTCCATTTCTCTCTCTCTCCAATACTTGCTTGTTCCTTCTTTTTTTTTTAAATCTTTAATTTTACATATTTTGTTATAATTTTCAATAATTGATTATTTCTTCTTTCTTTTTTCCCTGAACCCGTCTTCATTATATATGCCAACCTGAGCATGACAGTAGCATGGTAAACCCATTTCATTTCATTTTTACCCACAATTGTACATATTTTGTTATAATGATTAAAATAATTTAATTGATGATCATACATCCAATATTTTATATGGTCTATTTCATTAGTGAGATGGCAGTGCACATTTCTCTGGTGTTATGGCTACTTTCAACAATGATTATTATCTATTTATTCATGTTAATATTTTTATACCTTTAATGAAAAATTTGTCAAAATCTTAACTTGTAGGAAACAATGCAAACATACCTTCATCATTACCAGTAGTATGATCTATTTGTGGTCCATTACCAGCACGTGTTGATCCATTACGATTTCTGGCCCAATCATAGTTAGTATTAACATCATTTTTATAGCCACAGAAATCAACCTCAAAATCACATATTTCTACAAGAAAATAAATACATCTTTCAGTTATATTTGAAAAAACTAAATTCAAATTGATGAAATAATTTTTTTTTTCAAAATTTTTCAAATGACTGCTGTTTAATATATCTGAGATGTGTGAACATACAGCAACAAAATAATTTGAAAAAGGAAGGTGTGCATGGTGCTTATTGTGTTTTGTAAAAGAGATCTTCATATATTTAACATGTAACAACTTATAGTAATTCTATTTGGGATCAGGCCCACGGTGGTTAAGTAGTAAAGCACTAGCCACTCAATTAGAATGTCACAGGTTCGAATTCTGACCTGTGTAAAGAACGACCATCACAATGCCTAGTCCTTTGGATGGTAAGAAAAACGTGGTCCATCCAATCTGTGTACACATTAACCTTGCATTTTGGAATGATCAATCCATTCCATTCCACTTAGTTTGAGACGAACAAGATAGTTGTCATGAAAAATGAGAGGAAAGTACAATGGGAACAATCCTGTATTTTCACAAACTAGTTAACTAATGTTTTGTACTTACTAGATGGGGCACAAGCACCGTCAAATACAGCAAAATCATCTAAAGCTATATCGCCTTGCCAACTAACACCTACAACCCCTTCAATTATAACCTGTTGAATGTATACAACATTGACACATTATAGGATGTTATTTCACAAATGGAGAACTTCTAATAATCTCTGTAACCATTATGGTTATAATTAGAAGTCAATTTATATAAGACATTGGCCTGTTTTGGTATCACATGAATAAAATACTGTTTAAATAAAAAAATTGTTGGACATTGAGCAATTTCTAGAAATTCCAGTACAATGGAATTTTTTGTGATGCCATTATTTTGGACAATTCTCACTCACACAGTGCCAGTTTTTCTTTCACTTGTTGTTTCCTGTTTATTTTCAATAACCAACTACTTAATAAAATTTCAAAGATATTAAATGTCTTTTCTATGGGGGAGGTTGAATGGCCGAATGGTTAGCATGTGTGCGCTGTATCATTGAGTCAAATGGTGTGGTTTTGATTCCCCGGTTGTACGTGACGAGGAGTAGGGCCGCCTGTCCAACCCTGTTGGTTTTCTCTGGTTCCTCCAGTTTCCTCCGACAGCTAAAGACCCATACGCGCATGCAAATTATTGAAATAAAATTGAACCATGTGTTAGTCCCGAAATGACCTAGTTTGTGTCGAGTAGACATTAAACCCCATTTCTCTCTCTTTTCTATGTACATAGATAAATCTAATTATGGGATAAACAATCCCTATTACAGTAAGCATTTGAATAAATTATTTTAAAGTATATTTACCTCAAAATTAACATCACTTGATAGGGTGACTTGTCCCATTCTCCAGATATTACCTTGTGTTTTAGATCGAGTCCAGATTAAAGTTCTATTATTACTATTCATAACACGAGTGTAGAGATTTAGTGAATTAACATGAGCTCCAAACATATGGTACCAGAACTTCAGACATTTTCCTGAAATACATACAATTGGAAATTTTATGTACATCTGATTTGAATTTTTCATACTTACCCTAGTAATTATCATTGCCTAGGTAATTTCTGTACAAAATTAAATTGAAAAGCTCAATTGGAAATTACCTCACACTTAAAATCTCTGGTCAATGTATGGGGGTGAGTAAACAAAAGTTATGATCTAAGTTGTACTCAAATTGGAAGTATAATGAAGTATAGCTAAAAAAGAGCGATATTGTGATCACTGTAAGAATTAGTATCCTTATAAGCATTCAAAAGAATTGCTTAAATATTACTACAATGCTAGTAAATATAATTCATTGCATTTTTGTTTTAATGCCATTGTTTTTAACTACAGATTTCTTTACCTGGTGTTGGTTTTAAATATCCAGTTGTTAAAACAGCTGTTTGTCCATTATGATATGGCAATGAACTTTCCATGTACAGATAAAAGCCTCTTCCTGTTGTATGATCTCGATCTGGACCAGTTCCTGCTGTTTGTGTTGAGATATTCGTTCTAGTCCAATCTAGATCATCACTAGAATCCTGATAGAATCCACAGAAACCATTTTCAAAATTACAGTTTAGACCTAAAATTGTAAAAATAAGAAAATTTGATTGAGAAAATTAATGCATACGGATAATATTTTAATATTGTTTATTTAATTACACTATTCTGAAATTGACATTTACAAAAATATTATAAATTCTAAAAATAAAATTTCACTTTAGAAAAGTAGCAGGCGGGTAATGCCAAATAGTTTTATAAGATTGTCTCCCTTTAAACACTGTTCATGATAAGCCTAGCACAAGAAAAAGGCTAATCCGATCAAATTAGTAATACAACCAAATTAATAACTAATGGGTTAATATAGCTTTAATAACAATCACCTCAGGCTATCAAATAGAAAGATCTACCAAGTATATTAAACTACAGACACTATCAAATAGAAAGATCAACCAGTTAGATTAAACTACAGATACTTACTGGCATTATCATTCTGTGAAGCAGCACAATTAGAGAAAATAATATCATCAATAGCTACATCATAGCTGGCACTAAATCCTGGGGATGGAGCAGAATCAATAATCACCTGAAGAAAAAACAATAGAGAAAAAAATAAAATCTCTACATGGACCCATTTGTACACAGTCCCAAAACAGGACAAATCCCTGAAAATAAACCCTTTATTTTTAAGGAATTTATATTCTATTTGATTTTCTACATTACATAATTTTATACAACTTTTAAATTTTTTGTTTAATAATTTTAAATGTTTTATCCATCCACTATTTTTTTTAAATACATCTTTGTTTTTTTCTTCAAAAATCTGTTTAATTTCTATGTTATTGATACATCATGGCAGGATTATTATTGCGGAAGTTGATAATGGACATAAAGATTACTTTTATAACAGTCTTTTTTATTTTGTTGCAGGGCATTATATTATAAGGATGTCAAAACCTCAGCAGTTATTATTGTTACTGATAGTTTATTGCTAATTTCCCAAACGGAAAATGACCAATCCTTAGTTTGTACTTTTCTAGTACAAATAATTAACTATAACATAACATCCAAATTTGTATAGTGCAATAAATACTTGTTTTAGGAGTTCCAGTTGTGCTTGAAAAGTTATACATTTTGGTTCCTTTTCATCCATAGTGTTGTATGAATAGTTTTCAGTCTTGTTTTGAAAATGTAATGCCTATTATACCTTTGTTTGATTGTTTACTATCAATGATATTATATTAATTTGAAGATTAAAACTGACCTGATAACCTGGATTATGGAATCCTAAATCAACTGTCATAGTTTTCCAGTTATTTCCTTGATCTCCTGTTATACCAAATAATCTTGAGTAATCACGTTTATTCTTGTAATTTGATATCAGTACTCGAAGATTACCTGCAACATTTAAATTTTAAAAAATATCATTGTCATATATAAACTAAATCAAAAAAGATATATAATCAATTAAAAAAACAAGACAAGAAATTGGGGTAAAAATGATTTGGAGTTACAAGTATAAACAGCTGAACCAATAAAAAATGGAAGATAAAAAATAGCACAAATTCATTAGATCAAAATAATATAATATAAATAATATAAACAAACTCTGAATATATATGTAATAGAATATTATAATAATCATATAAATATTAGATCTACTAACCTGCACTAATTCCTTTCATATGATAGGAAAATTTCATTGTACAACTTGGACCTATCATACCTAAAATAGGAGAGGCAAGTCTTGCCCTTGAATAAAATACGCCAGAACCTTGAGTTTCATACATGTAATGACCTAAAATAACAAAAAATATCATTAAGGCAACTATATATGGGACAGAACTCTTGTAAGGGTAAAACACACTTCTTACTGCAAACAAAAATACAGACATGGACAAAGATTGGGTAAACTAGTATATTAAAATTTACAGTTGTTATAAAATCCCGACTGAATTTAGGGATTAAAAAACAATATTTTTATACATCTAGCTTGTTTACCTCTGTGCTTCTTCACTACCTTACACTATACCTCAAGAAAATAAGTAATTAAATACCTGTATTTTTATTGGTTGTATGATCAACACTAGGTCCACCTGTAGAATTAACACCTGATCCAAGAGCAAATTTGTATTTTCCTGAACTACCATCTGTCCAGCCACATAAATCTTTCTCAAAATCACATGTTCCTATAGAGAAAAAACAAATGTTTGGTTTATTCCACATTGAAATTTTGTAGCAAAAGCAACCCAAATATTGTTACAGAAGACGGTCCATATCCTGTCTCACAATCAAGTGGTTTGGGGTGCTAGAGGGAGCAGCAGTTTAGTTCAGAAGCTGGTTCACTAAACAGGAGATCGATCATTCTATGGTGGAACACTATTCATTCATTACATGATTGATGCATTTAAACGATTTACTTACCACAGTTGAGTTCATCAGTTCCATCATTACAATGTGGTACAAAATCACACACCAGGTTTGCTGATATACAGTTACCATTTGAACACTTAAACTGGGAGGTTGTACAAGGATTAGGTGTTGTAGATGGTATCTGTGATGACGTTACTAAACCTCCTAAAACATACAAAAGTTTGAGGAAAGTGCAGAGAAACATATTGATGTTGATTTAAATGCGAAACCTATGACTTTCTTAAAAATTAATGTACGTCAAATTTATTTTAGCAACATAAAATTGCCACAATAATTGTTAATTTAAAAGAAAATGAATATATTTGTTTACCTCCTGACATCTGACAAGCTCTAGTGAATGAGACATCATCTATAGCTATATCACCTTGGTAACCATTTCCAACTGTAGCTTCTATGACAACCTACAATAGAAAATATCACACTTAAAATTTCCAGTATATGCACCATGTAAAAAAGAGAGAGCGAGAGAACAGATACCCAAATCCTGTTGGTGAAGGTGTATAAAAATGAAATTTTCAAAGCCATTACCTGGAAAGCGGCTGGTTCTAGCAGCTGGAGATCAACACGTTCAAAGAAGTCACCAACATTTCCTGACTTGGTCCATTTTAAAGTTAGCTGACCACCATCTGCTGTTCTTGTGTAGATATTTAATCTTCCTGTTGTTGGTCCATACATATGATAGAAGAGACGTAGCTATATAATAAACAAACATAGCAATCTGATATATTATAAACAAACATACAATAAACAAATCTGAATTCTTGCAAAATTTAAGAGCCTTTTTAAGACAACTTTTTTTTCTAATTTAGAATAATAACATCATTTGACAAAAAGTAAATAAACTGTAAATAAACTTTGATATCAATATCATGAACAATTGCTTTGTCATAAATAACTTTTCTTATAAAGAGCAAAATGTGATTGCTTCTTATAAACTGTCTCCTATAATAAACTATAATTTCATTTTCTGATTTTGAACCAATAGCACCCTCAAAAACATACCGTACAAATGTCTTTTGTGGTTCCAGTTGGTACAGATTTAAAGAATGTTGGGCTGATTATTCTGGCTTTTTGACCAGGTCTTTGTGGGCGAGATGTCTCTATGTATAAATAGTAACCAGATTTTGTTCCACGAGTATGATCTCTAGATGGTCCAGTTCCAGTTGATCCTGTAGCACCTTTAGTTCTTCTCCAATCGAAATCGTCGTCTTTAGCCTGTGACCAGGAACACATGCTCTGTTCAAAATCACATCTGCCTGGGTAGCTTCCTGAAATGAGATAATGATCTGCAGATATCACTGGATCTGGTCAATACATGTATTTAAACCAGGTCAAATACATACCGTGATATGGCTTATAACTAAAATTCAAAGGAAATAATGTGAAACTTTATCTTATGGACTATAACTGTATGTGATCCCTAAGAGTGAAAAACTGAGTTTCAGTTATGGTAAAAATTGACTTATAGATTAGGTATTTACAATAGCATCACAAGTGACCCATATTCAATTTTTGTCCCCAATGCATCACCTGTGATGGACAGTTTTAATGGTAGAATTGGAAATGGGAAACTGAAATAGGATTCAAGAAAAAAATAACAGAAATCTGATCATAATTATAATATGTCTAAATATTGATGATCATCTTACCACAATTTGCTTCATCACTGCCATCACCACAATCATCAGCATAATCACACACCTGATTCAATGGTACACATGCCTTTCTCGTACAGGTAAACGTTGTTGGTCCACACACAGTTTGTACAGCTAAACAAAATAAATATATACAATATAAACATACATATGTATAGTATTATTACACTGGGGGTTTCACATTGATGTTAGTCTACTAATTATAGTCAGTCCCCTATATAACAAAAAAACATGCTACATAATTTCACTGTACTGCAAACCACCCAATTATAGTCCCCTATGTAATATAGGCCTACCACATTTCACTGCAATACAATCCACCTAATTATAGTCAGTTCCCTATATAACATACAATATGATGTCACTGTACTGCAAACCATCTAATTATAGTCCCCTATGTAATAATATACCACATTTCTCTGTACTGCAAACCACTTAATTATAGTCAGTCCCCTATACAACATACTACATAATTTCACTGCAAATTAAACCACCTAATTATTGTCGATCCTCTATATAATATACTACATGAATTCACTGTATTGCAAACCACCTGATTATAGTCTACTACATAATATATTACATTCAACTGTACTTCAAACCACCCAATTATAGTTCCCTATATAATATACTACATGATTTCACTGTACTGTAAACCATCTCATATTATAGTCAGTCCCTTATAAAGTATATTACAGGATATCACCATTTAATAATAGTGAAACTAGCATGACCTATTCATGTTATCTCAACATATGGAACAAGACGAATTGTAAATAACTTTTAATACCCTTCGTGCTGTGAATTTACTTAAAATAATGATTTAAAGATACATTATGGGAGATAAGATAAAGAGATGGCAGTTCCCGCTATAATAGTTAAAAACTAGATAGTGTAAAGGTAATTTGCTGAAAATTTCAGTCAAATTGATCCACTATGAGCCGAGAAAGAAGCCGGTGAAATTTTTGCATAGTCTCGGTTATCATTACTAAAATCATTAATATAAACAGCATAGTCTCGATTATCCACTTTTTCTGATTTAATTATCTTTGGCCGTTAGCGGCATATAGGAATCTAATCCAGCCTACATCGAAGGCTAGCCTTGACATCGAGAGTTTATTATGGTCTGGATAAGTTAATTAATGTCTAATTGATAATTTAGATAACATTTCAGGCCTAAAGAAAGACTTGTAATAAGCAGATTTTGCTCTTGCATAATGCATGTTTAATACAAGCTCCAAAATAATCAGCCCATATTTATAGCGGAGATGAACCTTTCATGTACTGGTATTCAAATCAGTATTGGAATTTACTACACTAAATAAATCAAAATGAACAGAAAATGAATCTTACGTGGGAAATTACAGTTAATAAAACCGATATCATCCAGAGCGATATCTCCATAAACACTGTATGTACGAGTTGCTTGGAATAATATCTGTTAAAGAATAAAAATATAAGTATCATGTCCATTGTAATCAAAAATCTTTAAATAATCATTTATAGATAGAAAAACCATCAAAACACTAATTCTTTATATTTAATTAGTTAAGAGGGGTAAACAAACAGACCAATTTAAGCTTGTCACCCAAGTAGTTTTGTAACCCTTTTAAAGAGAAGCTGCGTCTAATTTTTCATTGAGTGACGACTATCTAATAATACTGTTTGGAAAGCGTAAACTTTGCCAAGGGGTAATTACTATTCAATAGCCTGCAAATACTATTCCTAGAAAAATAGTCAGAAGTTGTAACTCATCGAGTTGCACACTTTATTATCCAGACACAGTCAAGAATGCAGTCTTAAACACCACCTGACAAAAGCAGGTTGGTATTTGTTTGAAAACATAACAGAGCTTTAGACTGTTGCTTGTGACTAGAATAAAAGAAGTTTTATTCGATATCTGGGATTTCTCCTGCATGTACTATTCTACAAGACTATGTTTTGCTAACAAATGCCATTTGATTTTAATTATTATCCCTAATCACAGTAATTACCGTAAATGGTCGGGAAACTCTTCCTATGTCAATTAAACCTGAATTCCATTTGTTGCCTTGGTTACCAACTTTCATCCATATAACCGTATCCTCTAAACCTTCTCTTATTACAACCTTCAAACTTCCAATACCTTAAAAAAATCAAAACGAAATAAATAAATTTGCAATCTGAAATAATCACCCCAAATGGAATATTTTGTGCTTTGTAAGGAATTTCGGGAAGCTATAAGAACTTGGGAATATAACTCCAAATTTTGCCAGAATAACAAGACATTCAAACCTGAAATCCATTATTTAAATAAATTTGTTAAAACACAGATCCTATTAATATTACTGTTCCCTGTCCATCTGTTATAACAACAGCTATATCTGTATATACAAATTAACACAATATTATATGCAATTCAGTTAACTACCAATAGTTTTGGGATATAGATTGACAGACTGACAGATTTCTTTGTCAAACAATCCATGTCAACATAGCTAATAACTAAATAGTGAAAACACCCCAAATAATAGCCATGTATCGTTGCTGAATGAGAGATTTTACATCCACATCCATTCCCTCAAAAATTATAGGTATTAATTAGTATAATAAATGACTAACCTGATCCATACATATGGTAAAAAAACTGTAATTGACAGGTAGAACTACAATCACCGAGTGTTGGTGAATAAATCTCTGCTATACTACCAACTGTTGCAAAACTAGCATCAACATAGAGATATGATCCTGTTAAAATATCATACAAACAAAATCATAACTATATAATATTTAGCTGCAATCATCAATGAAGGAAATAATCACACAAAGTCACTTTTTTGCAAACATATATGTTGCTGTGTTTAACTGTAATTGTTCATCTCAAATAATGTCCAATTGTTCCAAGATAATGTAGTGATCAGATGTTTTGTTATAATAATCTGACACAGTGCTATATTTGTTGAAAGTGGTATCATATTCAACCATTGAAAATGATCAAATTCTGTTGTTTAAACAGTCCATTTGAGGTGAAATTAGTTATTTGAAGAGGAACCATTGTAATCTGTGATGACATGGAGCGACAACCCATCATTTCTTGGGCAGTTGAAGGTTATAATAAAAACTGGTTCTACTGAATCTTACTGGAAGGCTTGACAATAGAGAAGCTTTCGTAAGTAGAATAAGTTGTGGATATGACTATTTATTGTTGAACAAGCTTACGATGAGATGATGTTTTCATGACTACACTCATAACAATCAATCTTCACCTACATGATACAAGCTATACTCATTCTTACATGTGGCAGTCTTATAAAGTTATATAACAATAACAACATGGAGTTTCATTACAATACAAGTTCCACAATAGAATAATAAGAATTGACCTTTAATAGAGGTAAACAACAACATGTTAGTAAGACTGCTGGACAACTTGACTAATGCATAATAGTCTATATATTAAAACTCCATATAACAAACCTGCGTTGCTGTTAAATGTATGATCATATGGTGGTCCTGTATTTTGTGTCTGGGTTTGATTTTTTCCAAGAGACCACTGGAAATTTCCTTTACTGTCATCTGTCCAACCACAATATCCAGTTTCAAAATCACAGTTTCCTAAAACAAGACCAAATATTTCAATTCCAAGTTGCACAAAGCCTGGACTTACTTTGTCTCATATTTAGAATCACTTCACACAGATGTGTGATATTGTTATGGAATGAAATGAAATGGGGTTTAACATCCTACTTTTCTGTACATAATGGGTTAATATAAACATGCACAGACATTTCTGCCTACTCTTCATCAAATTCCAATAGGTAACTCTTGGTTCACCCAAACAACTAGACACTTTTGCTATGCCAGACATCCTCGGTTGAAAACCACTTAACAAGGGGAAACCAGGCCAGAAGATCTTCAACTTTCTTGGCGAACATTGGAATAGAACCCAGGACAGCCTGGTTAGTGAGCCAGTGTAAAGAATGCCAAGGCAGTATGGTGTTCTCCACCATGTGAGTTCAACCCCAGTTTGTATTGAATCAATAATAACAACTTACCACAGACAAGTTCATCTTTCAAGTTTGGACAATCTCTGACAAAATCACACTTTTTGTTCATGGGTATGGTTGTATTGGCAGAATCTTGACAATTGAATGTCTGATTATTACTCTTCAAAACTAGAAAATAATAAAGATGCATTATTGAAGATCCTTTATTTGGCCTCAAACTTCATATAAATCATTAATTAGACATTTATTTATAAAACAATTCTCTTGACCATAGGATGGTTGTGATTTTTAACAGCTTTAAAAACAATCACCATCCAATGATTTAATTAAAAAATGGCAATTCGACAATAAGTCACAAGTAACAAGTACTGTTGCTATGATAATAAATAATCTATGACACATCTTGTAAAAATTTCAAACAGCGATAACTTCGCTCAGAATAAAGTACTTTGAATGAAAATGTCAATATATTCATTTTTCATTATCTACTTTTGAACTATTATAGCAAGAACGGTCAGGTCTTTATCTAAATCATACATAATGCATCTTTTATACCAAAAAACATAACGTTTGATAGTTAAAGAACATAATATAATGTCATTTTTATAATATGTGTTGTATGAACTGGCAGTGGGACTTGAGTGTGGTGGGCTTTCTCTATTGGCTGGGAATATAACATATTGTGACAGACATGTTCATTTATTGATTTTCATGAGGCTTAACTTTGAACCTTGAAAATATTTTGGGTGCTGCATGCCCTGCCCTGACTTTACAGCACGATTTGCAAAAATGTTGTCATTTTAATTAGAACTAAATGTCAGGTGTGAATTAGATGTTACATCATGTGTTTACAATTGCTGGAATGATGAAATTATATTTAACCACAAAATAAATATTTTTATAACCTTCGAGTGTCAATCGCGCCAAGTTCTGAATTTTCGACTGAATCTGTGTCATATTCACTTTCAAAATGTCTTTCATTGCGTAATCCAACCTGTCATTATCTTTCATTATAAGAGCTAGCACATTCGTTCTATTTAATGGAAATATAAACAGGTGGAAGGAAGTAGCTATTACAACAGACGACAATAAGCAAAAGTTCTTACCAGCAGCACAATCTTTAGCCACCAAGCTGATATCATCTATAGCTATATCTCCATGGATACCATTTCCAACAGATGCTGTTATTTTCAACTTATAAAATAAAAAAAATCAAATTAATTATTCATCTAATTCACAAGATTAACCAGTATATTTGTGATCTACTCTTCTCTTTTCAGGAATATTCAACATAAAATAAAAAAAAAATCCAAGCTGTACTCAGACAGTAATTGTGACCACACAAACTAGTTCATTTCGGGTCTGACATAATATGGTCCAATTTTATTTCAATAAGTACTTACACTGAAGGAATCATAAGGATCATCAATTGGTGCCAGTCCTAACTTCCATGTATTATCGCCTTGATCTCCGGTTTTACTGAAAATCGTCTGTTGAACGCCTTGACTGAAGTATACACTAGCGTTTAAACTGCCGATAGAGTCACCATGCATGTTATACCAAAAATTTAAACAGTAGCTAGGAGCAGTACTATCTAGTGGAATAATCTGAGATTGTAGAGTAGCTATATCTCCTGGTTTGTTGGGTCTACTGGATTCGATGTAGGCATAAAATCCTGCAATAGAAGAACTTGAATTAACATTACTATATCATTATTCAAGTTTCTATATGAATCATCTTCATGGATCACATTGTTCATTATTTACATTTTAATCTAAACCATATAGATAATTGCAGATTCATTGGTATTTTACGGCAAGTGAAATAGTGGAATTAAATTTTAATATTCCTAATTTTCTGCTTGTACCAATTCTTATTTATATAAATTCAAAATAAAAAGTGAATGAAATGTGGTTTAATGTCCTATCGTTGTAAACCTGCTAGGCTTATGAAGATGGTCATACACTATAGTGTGTTATGAGGGATATTTTGCCTGGATAGCGGCGCTGTGGCCTACTCTTATCTCATATTTCAACTGTCAAGGGATCTTTAACTTAACACGGCAACAAGTACACAAATCTGTGTTTTCATGTGTCATTCGAAAGACTAGATGTAGTCAATGCCAGAACTTCCATCTTGCTCCACTGCCAAGGGTAAACCACATTGGAAAATATTGAGGAAACTTTCTCATTCAACACAGGGAGCAACCCTAAGACCTCCTGGTTAGTATAAGTCAGCACCTTATTCACTGAGTCATCACATCTCCAAATATTAAAAAATAATTCTTTTAATTCAAAGTACCAGATATTTCACTTTTTGTGAAGCAGTAGGAAAAATAAAGAAGTAAATGTGTACTCACCAGAACTGGTATCAAGCGTGTGATCCTTAGACGGTCCTGTATCAGTGGAGGGAGTTGACCTACTTCTTCTAGTCCAATCAAAATTATCATTCATACTCTGTGTCCATGCACAAAAATCCTGCTCAAAATCACACGAAGCTACAGTAGAACAGGCACCTGGGTTGATTCCTATATCATCAATTGCTATATCACCACGATAACCTCCACTTGTTATTACTTCAAATACAATCTGTAACGATAAAGCAGTAATTATACTTGTCTGCTTCAAATTGTAAAAATTGTCTAAATGCTGCAAGACTTGTTACTGAGATACTGCTATGGCCTTCATGCAAGAATGGTCGTTAAGATAAAAGAATATCATATTTTAATATACCCTGCTGCCAGTCAGAAAACACCACACAATATAATTCACTAATCAAAGTAAATTGTTTTAATGCCATTTAGTAATTCAGCTAGAAATACACACAGGACACATTTGAAACGTCATTCAGATAACATAACAATAATTGTAGTCCATAGAATTGTGTCCTGTGGATTATTAATACTAGTTTCTTCTACTTCTAATGCTTTCATTCCTGCAGGGCCGGTTTTTGGCACTATGACCCATTTCCCGAAATTGGGCCCCCCACTAAAGGGGCCCCGCAGCTCACCAATTTAAAAAATTTCCAGGCAATTTGGCAACAGTTGGCCTTCAATATGAACGAATATAGGCCTAGTTAAAGTTATTCATATCCTGCAATGTATTCATATCCTGTAACTTTGGGCCTCCTAAATTTAGCCTTGCAATTTCTACAACCGGCCCTGCATTCCTGAGTTTAGGAATCGTGTTTATGAGAGATATACTTCCTTGTGTTTTTGTGAAAATCAGTAGGAATAACCACTGTAGACAAGCCCATTTTACGATGATAAATCTGGCCATTAAAATAATTTGTGGCAAGAAAAGATTGGCAGACACCTACCTGGAATGACTCATAACTCGTGACTTGTAGAACAGCCTGGTTCCATTGCTTTCCTTGGTCACCACTTAAAGCCCATATGGGATTCTTCAGATTCTTATATTTACCGATGTATACATTCAATGTACCAATATTTTGACCATACATATGATACCAAAATGACAAGCACTGTGCATTGAGTGGAGGATAATCTTTACTATAAAGTCTAGCTATACTGCCACCCTGTAATCTAGCACTGGCTTCTGTATACATGTAGTGACCTAAAATAAAACAGTAGAATTGTTGTCAAGAACAAGTAAGTCATAGTTTTCTGAGTAATTATAAGATTTGTTTCTTTGCCGAAAAGTGAGAATTGATTTTGTTTCTTTTTTCACTATTTTCAAATCCAAAACCAGGTAGTGAAGATTCTTTAGATTCAAATTTAGCTCTAGTCAAGAGCATGCCAGTCTAACATTGAATCAAATCCATAAAACTGTTTGTTTTGGACTTGAATCTGGTAAGAGAATTTGGACTTGGCAATGAAATGAGTTTTAATATCTTATGCCATGCAGCCTGTCTCGGTTTAGGCCATGATTTTCAGCTTTCAAAGGATTTTTAATTTTACGGCTAATGATATACATCAACTTGTCAAAATGTGCCCTTTTAATATTTTCTATAGTTATTTGCTATTACTTACCTTCTCTAGTACCGTATGTATGATCATTATCTGGACCAGTTCCGGTAGATGAAGTTCCTTCAGATTGTCTTGTCCAATCAAAATTATCAGTATTATCCTGACTATATCCACATAAGAAAGCATCTTCAAAATCACAGAAAGCTAAAAAAAAAAAAAAAAAAAAATGACCGATATACATTTGAAAAGATGGTGGATGATACAAAATCTAACATCAACAAATTGCAGAAGATATAAAATGGAGATACCTATGAGAAATACTGACAATGGAATAGAGTGTGGGTATAATATATTACACTCTACACTTCCTGATAGTCAGTACTGTAAACAATTACACAAATCAATGAGAACCAAGTCAAAAAATCATAAGTACTTACATGGTGCTGGACATGGTCCATTTAATATTTTGATATCATCAATAGCTATATCTCCACGGTAACTGACTCCTTTCAGAGCCTCAAACACAACCTGACATGTAATTAAAAAAACCAACAATTTTTGAAATAAGATCTAAAAACTACAATGCTCTCATCTCATCTTACAGGAATCTAAATCAATTTTACTGCCAGATTCCAAAACAGATAAAAGTTCAGTCTTGAAGGTTTTAGTATGGGTAGCAGGGATTTAAAAACTAATTTAGTTACACTATTTTAAAGGCTACACACAAAATTTTCATCAATAAGTACAATTACTGATGAGCCATTAAATTTGCTTATTGCAAGTATTTCTTCAGGCCTTAAATGTTATATAAATAATTAATTAGACATAATTAACAAGACCATAATCAACTCTTGATGCCATTGGATCCTCGAGATTTTAACTATAACACACCTGTCCACTTGATTGTGGTCCTATTTCAACTTCAGCATAAAACCATTGATTGCCTTGATTACCCGCCTTCGTCCATTTTAAAGGTCCTAATTTACCTCCCTTCTGTACATACACATTGAGTCTATTAACATGGATTCCATACATGTTATACCAGAATGTAGCACATGTTGATGATTTGGTATTAAAAACTGGACTAAGCAGACGTGCTGTGGCATTAGTTGTTGCAGACGATGTCTCAATATACAGATAATGACCTGAAAAAAAAAAAATATCATTTTTGCTTGTTGGATTTCCAATCTGGTAAAAATACAGTTCTAAATTTTTGTTTCATTCTTTAATACTCTTGGGTCTTATATGGGGACTTTCAGTGAATGAGGTAGAATATTTATATTAACTATTTTTATTTTATACAACTCGATGTATGTCTCGGTATGAATTCTGTGCACAACTAATGTAAAACACAGTCGATCACTTTGTTAAACAAACAATCATTAGATGTAGTATGATTGGTTGTTTTCTAGTTTTTAATTAATTGAAGCAAACTTTGGCACTGTGGCAGAAGGCCAATTAACATTTTTCTTATCAAAATTTAACAAAAATAAGGTACTAAATACTGCTTTTTTAAAATGGTAATTTTGTTGATTAAATCCAAAACAGCTAGGCTTCTTACCATTTTGGCATAGATGTTCAAAGAAAGAAATGAGTTATTTTTTATTTTTCAGATGCCAGCAGACAATTATAAAAAAAAAAATAAAGATGGCAATACGAAATCATTAGAAATATTATCCCTGACTAACTTCTTTATAGAATTGATCAAATAAGATAACTTTTGGTGTATGATGCTTTTGGTATGAGCTAATTTTTATTGTGTATGTTCTGTGAGAGTCTTTTTCTTCTGTTAATTCTGGAATATTTGGCTTGATGTTTGAGTGCATATTTTATTTCATCAAATCTCACTGAACTAAGCGTCTACTTAAATTGGTCAATATTTTGAAATATAATTTATTGCCATATTTACCTCGGTTATTCTGTAATGTGTGATCAAAAGTTGGTCCAGTGCTTGCACTTCCTGTTTGACCAGAGTTCATTCTCCAATCAAATGCATCTGTTTTATCTTGCACAAAATTACAAAGATTGCCACTTTCAAAATCACATCCCAATAAGGTAGCTGAAAACAAGTATAACAATATCTCATAGATTAAACCTGGTAGCTATAGGTGCATGTAATAATTCAGACTGTTACATTTAACTGTTAAATTTTACAGCAATAGATAAAATGAGAATTAATATCAAAGTACAAGTACAACGGTGTGAACAAATTTTCTTTTGTGTGGGGGTGTGTGCGTGTGAGTATGGATGGGTGTGTGTGTGGGTGTGTGTGTGTGTGTGGGGGGGGGGGGTGTGTGGACATAAATGCACCCAAAATTCTTAAACAATTTTATATCGATCGCCATTTGTGGTTTTTTTGGATAATATCAATTTTTTCACAACTTAAACCTAGAATGATTATTTAACATTTAATCATGAAACCAAAATATCGAAATATCCTCTGGCTTGGATTCATTTGGATTAAAAAGAAGCGCATCATAGAAAATCATAGAAGCTGCTGGCTTGTCTTGATTGAAATCCTATACATTATCTACAGTGGATGCCAAGTGTTGACCTAATTTTCTAAAAACAAGAGGTAAATCTAATTACCTGGAGTGGGTTGAGGTGTCGTGACTGCTGGTGTCAAAGTCAGTGGGTGACTGGAGCAAACACCAATTGTAACGTCAACATCATCTAAACCAATATCGCTTGTATAACTTGGACCTTTAACACCTTCAAAACGAATCTGATAACCGGCAGAACTAATAATATCTACTGATGCTTCATACCATCGATTACCCTTATTTCCTGTTTGATTGAAGACTAAATCAGGTGTAGCTGTTCCAGAAACTGTATAAACATTTAAACTACCAGTACCTGAAATATTACACACAAAAAATAGAATTCTCATTAACATATAGATGAGAGCTTGTCAGACTCCCTTTACACTTAAAGGCTCAATACCACTCTTATTGCAACTGAATAATATGTCCCAATCTTTATTCTGGTCAACAAATTGTACTATTTTAGAATATTTCAATTAATTGATGATACTAATTTTAAAATTATTTAAAAATTTTGAAAAATTCAACATAATGGTTTGAAACGTCTAACGTAAACCTTTTCAAATGAAACTTCGATTTAAAAATATTTTCGAACCCTCTGGACAAGTAAAATAGGATGTAATGGATAATTTACACAGCAGGTAGGACACTTAAACATCGAGTACATAGATAGAGATATTATTTATTTTCTGGAGCTTTCAAGCCAGCAAGAGTGTTATTGTCCTTTTAAGAACTATATGTGTAAAAAGCAAATAATATATGAAGGGAAAAATACCTCTGCAAAACGTGTCTGAAATTTATGATGCTAAAATTTACAAGTTCAATAACAGTTCTAATTAATAGCTTAATAAACAATTCCATCCGCACAGTTTTACAAAATTCCAAGGAAAACATTTAAAAGAAAAAATGTGAATGGAAAGATAACTTCACGAAGCGCAATTGGATATTATATGAAAAATATGATCCACCCAAAAGTTATAATAAATAAAGGAAGTAATTACCTGCACCATACATATTATACCAGAATTGTAAACATGATCCACTGGTAGCTTTCAATTCTTCGCTCATTAACCAGGCTTTATCTCCTGTTTTTATTGGACTACTAGCCTCAACATACATATAATAACCTATAAAAACAAACATTTCAATTTTTGTATAATACAACAGAACCTTTCAGAGTCTATTCAATTGGAAATTTATCAAAAAGAATATATGGCACTGTGTATAAATAGCTATAAATAAAACATTATATTTTGGGGCAATTTAAAGGTGCAGATACATACTATTTAAATGTAAAGATTGTTATTATCATGTAATTAAGCACATCAAACAGATGCCTTGGTAACCAAGACTTGTTTAGCAAATGGACAATACAAAGTAACTGGTAAAGAATAACAATTCACGTTCGTATAACTTGCAAAGGATTCAAAAACTTAATCAAAACATTTACCATTTGTAGAGGATGTGGTATGATCAACTTGCGGTCCTGTAAAAGAGCTTGTTGTAGCACCATGGCCTCGTGTCCAATCAAAATCATCTCCCTGTATATTCTTATAACCACACAGACCTCGTTCAAAGGTACATTGAGCAGGTTTTTGACACTCATCTGGTATGATACTGATATCATCTAAAGCTATATCACTATAATAGTTTGAACCTCGAACACCTTCAAACTCGATCTACAATACAAAATTACAGACAAATGAAATGAAATTTAACATTCTACTGTTCTGCTTCGACTAACCTGGGAATAAATCTAATGCTAGGTTAACACTATCACGATTCGAGCTACGATTGAAATCGTGGTTTTAATCGTGCTGATCATATCAGGTCTTATCATATATTGAGGTCAAGCGTAGCAATCAGCAATCATGTTGGTCATATCGAAACGTATCCGAACGTATCTGCATGTACTAGATCGTGGACTCAATAGGGACAATCTTATCGTAATGCATTGCACGACAGTGGTAACATAGAATAAAGCTATAACTAATACAAGGCACCTGAAATCAAATGTCACTGCCTTATTCATTGTAATATAATTACATCCCAAGACTATTGGGAAAATAGTTTTGAGGACACCATTGAATTTATTAAACGGTTAAAGATGCATTATGTAAGACTGGGATAAAGAAAAGCTGGCCTTTCTTGAAATAATAGTTAAAAGTTAGACAAGGATAAAATGAATATTTTGAAATTTTCAGTCAAATTCTTTATTCTGAGTGGAGTAAATAATAATTGAAGTTTTGACAATAAACAGCCGACAATTGTCAAGTACCATTGACAATAATAATCAAAGTCTCGCATTTCAGTCCCTCAATCGACAGTCTCCTTGAGGGATGGTCATTTACTGCTTATCAAAGATATGGTGGATGACCTAGATAGTTAATTATGGGTTTGGCATGTGAATAACTAATAATCTATATAACATTTGAAGCCAGAATTACCTGATATGTTGAGGATACGGCTGAAACTGTCACTTGGGATTTGATCCATGCTTTACCTTGATTACCAGATAATGTCCATACGGCTTGTCCAGTCTGTCCTTTAGATCGGACATACACATTCAATGTTCCCATGGTACTACCATACATATTATAATAAAATTGTAAACATTCTTTACCACTTTGAGAATACATAGGTGATAATAATCTAGCTTTATCATTGGTATTTCTTGGTGATGATGCTTCAATGTAGATGTAATGTCCTGAAAATAATACATATAATGATATAACTGCATTTAACGTTCAGGCAATCATTCGGTGTCATCATAAAAGCAAAGCTACATCGTGGGGTTTAGCACAGTGGGGTCTAGCAAATGAATAATAACTACCGGTATATATAAAACACCATATGTTGTTCTCTTCAAGTCAACATATATTTTTGACTGACACTACAGCACGCATACGTAACTAACGTACGGAAATTAATTATTAATAGCTAGCTTTTTTTTCGCACGTATACAGTGAATTGCCATTTTGCTCAGTAATCCCAGCCAGAATTTGGCTATTTTCTAAATTTGCGTTAAAGTTTAAAATATTTGTTTTAGAACTGAAACACATTAACTATTAGTCAATCCCAACGCTAAAAACATCAACAGAATTGATTGTGTATATCTGAAATAGACCCGACCGACGCACAAAATAGTGCAATATGGCGGCCTCTATGAACAACCCTCGCAGACGCTGTCATTGAAGACAACGTCAATTCTATGAGTTGTAGATTTTATTTTTGTGAAAAATCATTGGAAGAAGAGAGAACATGTTGGGACTGTACGAATTATATAGTCTTTATGGGTGCAACAGACACAATGCTGAAGATAAACCTATTTTTTACAATGTTGACCTCATGACCTATTGACGCCAATGTCATGACCTGTGATGTGTAGATAACGTGATATGGATATCATGGCTACTGACTGTGTCTGAGATACTTCTCCGCAGGTAGCGTGTCTCAGATGTTCAGAATGTACAGCACGCTGTACTTGATCAAGTATTGGAAAATGTAGACTTCAAAAACACTTGTAACATGGACGGAAAATCTTCCTTTGTTCTTTTCGTTGAATAAGCAGATTGTTTTCCCTCTAGTAGATTGGGTGGAGCTTAACCGTGCAATAACTAGACATGTTCAATGTTATTGCACACTTTTGCTGGTTTACACTAGTTTTAGTAGAAATCATATAGAGAAGTGGTGTGGGTTTTCTGTGCAATAATAAACAAGCATGTTGAGCAGGTGTCAATGTTACAAGTCATTTATAGCACGCTTCATTCGTTAACAAGTTTAACAGCTCGGCCTACGGCCTCGATGTTTAAAGCTGTTAACTCATGAAAGCCGTGCTATAAATATAACATATACACTGTAGTTTCCCTTCCATATGTAAAGTGTAAAGCTAAACAAGGTAATCTCATAGTATTCCCCCATGCTGAAGTGATGGTATCTATAGTATAAAATCTATGATTAATTTACCTGTTCTAGTTCCATCTGTATGATCACCTGAAGGACCAGTACTTGCACTTGTTGTACTATACCTTGAAAGTGTCCAATCAAAATCGTCGGTTGTATCTTGAGTGTATGAGCAGAAATCGGTTTCAAAATCGCATATCTCTGGAAGAAAACAAAACGTAAAAAATTTAGTAAAGATCAATTTTAACTTTCAAAATGACTACTGCAAAAGCCTTCTTGCAGATCTTCTACAATGCCAACCTTCGAGTCCACAACGCCTTCAGAATTATACTGCCAGGATTGTGACCAAATCACCTAGATTTTGCCACCCATTCTATAAGATCTCCATTGGCTCCATTGATGTAACAAAAGTATTGCATTTCAAAGGATCAACCAGAATTTTGTAGGCGCATTTACTATTCAAGGACAGTGTTGATGTTTGAACTTAGGCGAGTAACCTCTGATAATGAAGGTATGTATTCCACGTATTACCAAAACCTATTCCCTGGTCATCACATTTCAAAAAGAGGGAAAAATTAAATGTATTGAATAAAATGACTAGAAGTAAGATATAAAGTAAAGTAAAGTAAAAGAAACTTACTGGAAGGATTACAACTATTGCCATCTATTTTAATATCATCTAGAGAAATATCACCTAACCATCCCTTTCCTACAACACCCTCAATAATTACCTAGATCATAAAAAAAACCCCAATAAAAATCTTTAGAGAAAAAAAACTCCTAAAGTGGTTATAAAACATACATTAAAGTCTCTGGTCATAGTCCTTTGGATGATTTTGAATCCCCTGCATACTACAATATTGTAAAAGTGTGATCTCTAAAAGGAATATCAGTCCAAAAATCGTTCAGTTCAATTAAGATTTAGCATCCTTGCCATAAATAGATGATGGCCAGTGAGATCATCTACCTGTTTTCTGAGTGTTTACAGGCTTTTGGTGTCAGGATCCTTAACACTACAGAAATTTAGAAAGTGTTACCTGATAGTTAGTGGTACTATTGATAGTAAGTTGAGCTTGTTTCCATGCATTGGCCTGAGTTCCAGTTCTAGTCCATATCAGCCTTTTATTACCGAATACATTAGTGTAGATATTTAGTGTTCCAATATGTGGTCCATACATGTGATACCAGAAGTTAAGACATTGTAGGTTGGAGTCACTGGGTGATATATATGGTGACATAATAACAGCAGTATCATTTAATATTCTAGGACTAGATGCCTCTAGATAGATGTAGTAACCTGGAAAACAAGCAAGCCAATTGTCACATATCCATGATTCAATATATTATATCAATGGCAAGTCTTCAAGACAGAATAGGCTGTCAAATCCAATGATTTGCAAATAAGAGCAATAATATATAAGTTTCAAAAACATTGAAATTAATTTTGAAATTGTTTGGCTATGTATGTAGCAGTCGTATCAAAAAACAGATCCTATCTTGTTTTATTTTTTAAGTTTTACATGTTTTCACTACAGCAGGATCTGGAAGAGTTGTTAAATAACCTGTGTTCGGTTGAGTCGAATACTTATTGTGACTTGTTAATCTGTGGGAGAACATTGACAGCGACAGAAAACAAAAGAAGCAAAAGTTGTATTTCAGAATAGCGACGTTGATATGTTTATCAAATGACATAGGGTCAAACCTTGCTTGTATGATCCCTGACATGACCTTCCACTATAACCGTCAGATTTGTCTATATTGAAATTGATACCTTTTTACTATGGGTAATTTATTTATTCATTAACAAGTAATAATATTTGTTAACATGTTCTCACCCATTCCTGAATGATCAGACATGGGTCCGGTTCCTTGTGATGCTGTTTTATTTCCATTAACTGTCCAATCAAATTTATCAGTCTTGCTCTGCTTCCATTCACAGATGGTATTATCATCAAACGCACAGTCAGCATTTCCTACACCTTCAACAAATAGTTTACACATAAGACACAAATAGAAATAATTTACACATAAGACACAACTAGAAATAATATACACATAAGACACAAATAGAGATAATTTACATATAAGACACAACTAGAAATAATATACACATAAGACACAAATAGAGATAATTTACACATAAGACACAACTAGAAATAATATACACATAAGACACAAATAGAGATAATTTACACATAAGACACAACTAGAAATAATATACACATAAGACACAAATAGAGATAATTTACACATAAGACACAACTAGAAATAATATACACATAAGACACAAATAGAGATAATTTACACATAAGACACAACTAGAAATAATATACACATAAGACACAAATAGAGATAATTTACACATAAGACACAACTAGAAATAATATACACATAAGACACAAATAGAGATAATTTACACATAAGACACAACTAGAAATAATATACACATAAGACACAAATAGAGATAATTTACACATAAGACACAACTAGAAATAATATACACATAAGACACAAATAGAGATAATTTACACATAAGACACAAATAGAAATAATTTAAGGAGCAAAACCTCTTTAATTTAAATGAATGAAAGCAATAATTTGGTTGACCTGATATATTATTAGTAATACAGGATGGTTGGGTGGTTTAGTGACTGACTTAACACGTGTGTGTGAGTCGAGTGGCATGGTTTCGATTCCCTGCTGGTACCTGTCAAGGAGTAGGGTTTGCATGTCCAATCTAATGGGTTTTCTACAGGTCCACCGGTTTCCTCCCACTGCTAAAGACCCCTTTGCGCAAGTGAAGTATTAAAGTAAAATTGAACCATATGTTAGTCACCAAATGACCTAGTTTATGTCGAGTGGATGTTAAACCCCATTTCTCTATGTTTCTGTACACTGTATCTGTGTATCATGACTTCAAATTGTATACAAACTTTCCCTGATGGATAGTTGATGTTCATAATAAAATTATATATATATATATAAAACAAGCAAAATTCTCACCACTTTCTGAAGGGTCAGCATAATTAGGTACTATTACACAGCCAACTGGTGTTATACTAAGATCATCAATACTAATATCACCACGATATCCTGTACCTTCTACACCATCTATAGCTATCTATAACATAATAATACATAACAAATCATTACACAGTCAAAAATATTATCAATACCAATATCACCACGACATCCTGTACCTTCTATCTATAGCTATCTATATAACATAATAATACATAACAAATACACAGTCAAAAATATAATCAATACTAATATCACCACGATATCCTGTACCTTCTACACCATCTATAGCTATCTATATAAAAAACAATACATAACAAATCATTACACAGTCAAAAATATAATCAATACTAATATCACCACGATATCCCATACCTTCTACACCATCTATGAGCTATCTATATAAATAACAATACATAACAAATACACAGTCAAAAATATCATATTTTATTTTTTATTGGGATCTTTTCCATGTAAAACACATATCAAGGTAAAGACAAGTTCTATTTTAAGATTCTTCTTCAAAGATTCAAACCTGTGCTAGCTGTGTTGCCTGTTCTGATTGCTGTTCAATAAAAATGGTGCTGTAGTTGCAAACGACCTTTCTGCTAATACTATAGTACATTAATAAAAGCTGGTATTGACACAGATCTAGGATTTTAACTTTGGATCTGTGATTACACCAACTTGTACTTCCAAAACAGCAGCAAACATTCATCTTGTATGTTTCAAACATATATCAAAAATTTTAAAAGTATATGCATAAATAATGGATGACGACCACCTACCTGATATGGTTTCTTAGTGTATTTAGAAGGAATTCCAACTTGAGCTGCAAACCAAGTATCTCCTGTGGCCCCGGATAAAAGCCATAAAGTTGCTTCATTGGTTGCTGTATCATGGGAAGTATTTGTTAACACTGAAATCTTTAACGTTCCAATATCAGAACCAAACATGTGAGCCCAGAAGGAGAAACATGAGTCTTGATTTGAGGCTGGAAAAACTGGACTCATAAGACGAGCTCTGTTATTTAGTTTCTGATTACTTGCTTCAGTAAAGAGGTAGTAGCCTTGGCCTGTTGATGTTGTGTGATCCTGCGATGGGCCTGTATTAATTGACGATGTTTTACCCTTAGATCGCTGCCAATCGAAATCATCACCAGAGTGTATATTGTACCAGCCACAGGTGTCTGTCTCAAAAGAACAATAACCAAGCTTTTGACATTCTCCCTTTACAAATGATACATCGTCTATAGCTATATCACTATGGTAACCGGTTCCTCTTACACCTTCAAATACAACCTAAAAAATCAAAAAAATAATAAACTACCATCACTCAATCCTAAATCAATAAACAAAAGGACAGAATAATGAAATAAATAATTCTGATGTCACAATAAAATTGGCAACGAGCTAGATTAATAATCAACTGTACAATTTAAGACTAATCCCACAGAATTCCTTAATTTTCACACACTACTAATCAATATTCAAGTTTGGAGTCTAAATAGAGTGAAATTTAAAGGTAGTTATCATGCAGGCGCAGATCCAAGGGGGGGCGCACCCGGCGCACGCCCCCTCTAATTCCGCGGCAAGGTGTAAAAAAAAATTTTATTGTAAAAAAAAATTTAAACGAAAAACGAACGAGCCAATGCAGCAAACTTTTGTTCACGTTCACTCTCCTATAAAACATGACCACACCCCTTGGCTTTAGCGCGAAAATATGTACACGCCATGATCCCACAAAGGATCTTACCTACGGCAATCGGATTTCTGTCACATGTGCAATGGTCAGAATGGTCAGCTGACATCACGTCACCAACGCGCCGCAGATGCGCTACAGACAGGTAGCCTAATCATGTCGGAAAAACGAAAGTTGCAGTCATCTCTCGTCGATTTATTTGCGAAGAGGCATGTTTCAACCGGGAAAGAATTACGGAAGTGCCCGGATGAACGCTATGTAAACAAAGGGAAATGGACTGACGGAGGACAAAAAAAACATTAAAAAAATAATTTCTAGTTCATCAATGACAAATAAAAAAAAATGATGACTCCCAATTTCAAGCCATACTTATTTTTAATCTTGGTCCCGCAACCAGCCTGCAGGCCCCAAAACCTATGTGACCCAAAAGATTATCACCGGTCTATAGATTGGTGGGGCTCTACGTATGACTAATTTATCCAACAAGATATACCAAAATATTTATAGGGGATTTTATATTCGTTATTCTCTTACTATTTGGAGTGGATTAAATATTCTATATATTGTGTGACTTAAATACGTAGGCTAAATGGTACCTAACCAAATTTGACCGATCATGGATATTACTTTACAGAACTTGACCTGTCATCTAGCTGACCCTTGGTAAGTGAGTCCTTAGAATATGCATTCTAAGGGCTCACTTACCAAAAGACAGGTAAAGTTCTGTGAGCAGCATGAAAACACGCTCATTTTTGAAAAAGAATTTTCAACCTTCTTTCATAAATCACTACCTCCTTCAAACCACGTGCCTTTCCTTCAGTCAGACTTTTTTTCAGAAATTTTGTAGACAAAAAAACACTGAAAATAGGGTGGGAGTTGTGTTTAATATTTGAAGATTAGATGCCAGGAAATCGCATATATGTACACCCCCCCCCTTTCCAAAAATCCTGGATCCACCCCTGATCAAGTGCTAACTAGTTTGATCTTAGATAGATACACATAAGGAGAATGAATGCAAATGGATGTAGTATAATATCTCATCTAAAGAATATTTTGGCATATTCTTCTAATTCCAACTGCTGAGGAATCTTTTACGTTACTTACATGAAAGTCAGAAGACTGATAAATGGTGACTTTAGCTTCTTGCCATCTGTTACCTTGATCATAAGCTCTACTCCAGGCAGGTGTGGAACTGCTATCTATACTCGAGTCAGATGATGTGGTGTAAACGTTTAGTTGTCCGATATCCTGACCATACATATGATAATAAAACGACATACACAACATTTTACCTGTTAAAATATATAGATACATAAATAAATATATTGGATTCTTTTATCCAAAAAAAAATAGTAGAAAACCAACAAATATAATTTAGTCCTAAAACTAAAGAGTTTGTTGTTTCTATAATTTCGGGCTAAAATGTTTCCTGATTTTTTATGAAATCAGGAGAAAAGCAACAGAAACTTATCTTTTTTCTAATAAACAAATATTATCTAACATCAAAGAGAATCAAATATTTATAGCAATTGTAGCCACGCATGTATCAATTTTATTGAAGTTTTGGTGTTATAGAAAGTTTACCATCGGAATTCTGATATTCTGGACTGTCCAACCTGGCCGTTGCATTTGCATGTTGACCGGATGATTCTAAATACATATAATGACCAAATCTTGTGCCGTAACTATGATCACTTGACGGTCCTGTAAGTGAACTTGATGTCTGTCCTGCCTGCCATGTCCAATCAAAGTCATCAGACTGATCTTGAGTATATCCACAAATATTATGATCTTCAAATTTACACTTAGTATTATAATCAGCTGAAACAATCAGAAAACAGTTAAATTACACTAACCACCATATATTTAAGGGGGGTGAGAGAGAGAGAGAGACAGAGAGTTTACTTTCAATTTGACCATAAATTTGGGACTAACATAAAGTGACTCTTTCTTTCAGTCAGTTGTTCCCACCCTGGGGACTTATGAAGAGTGAGGAGACCAAGACGGTATACATACCAAGTCAAGATCAAAAACATGGCTTGCATATACTGGTAAAAGACATCAGGATTATTTATAAGACAACTTTGCAACACAAGACCCAAAAGTTTCTGGACTCAGTATTAGACAACAGTGTCAATTTTGACTTTAAGAATTGTTTATTTCCACTGAAATAAATTCTTAAATCTGACATTAATCAGTTATATTGTAGAGGTTTTTACACCTGGTTTTTACTTTAAATCGTGAGTACATCTGAAGACAATGTTAACTTACATGAGCCTGTACAAGCGCCATCTGATAAGCGAACATCATCTAAAGCTATATCTCCTTGAAAACTTGTTCCAGCAACACCTTCAAAAATAATCTATACAAAAAAAAAATAATAATAAACTTTAAGACATATACTTATAAAAAAACCAGCTACTAACATATTCTCTAAATGTTATCAAATTAATGATCCTTTTTTTTAAATGTTCTAGAGACTACAAGTCTTGAATACATTTATTCCCACAAATAACTTCTATCTAAACTGTCCAAAAAAAAGAAATCTAATGGTGATTATTTTTGAATAATTACATATCCATATCAGATGGAATTCAGTGATTTTCTTAACCATGACCACAGTATTTAATCAATAAGAGCCGATGATTTGTATTTTTCGTATAATATTTAATTTTTAACGACACTAAAATGTGCTCAAATTGATTATTTGACATTTTAATTAAAGGAAAAAACACCAAAATATTAACGTTAGATAATCCCTCGGCTGGGAATTCAATTCATCTTAACTTTGTAAATACTGAACGGAATTGAACCAATTTTTGACCGATATTCTATTGAGAAATTTGTGCTTTGTAGCTTGCAACATATACAAAATCTCTCAAACAACGATAAGCGGCTTTAAATATTTGTAAAACAAAAAACTAAATAACCCTGTAATGCAGAATTTTCAATATGTACAAGCGCAGAAAGTGTTAAATATAAAATCCAAATGTCAAAGCAAACAAAGCTATAATATCAACTTGCAAGCAAACCCTTAAATATTATAAGGTGTTCCAGAAAGCATAATCTGTTTTGTCAATGAAATCTCAATCAAAAGTGACATATATCTACCTACCTGATAAGGTCCTGAAGGTATGAATGTTAATCTAGCACGATTCCACTGATTTCCTTGAGCTCCTTGACGTGTCCACAAAATATTACCACTGCCAGATCCCCCTTCACCTGGAACCTTGGAGTACACATTCAGAGCATTGATGTTAGGTCCGTACATGTGATACCAGAATGATAAACATCGAGTTTTTCCATCATTAATAGACGGTCCGAGAAGACGAGCTGTTTGATTTAATCTTTTACCAGACGTCTCAATATACACATACCATCCTTGACCTTGATATAGTGGATGAAATGAAAGGTATTTACAACAAATAACTTTTCAACATTCTACTTAGAAAGGAACTGTATGAATTTTATTCACGAAGTACAAAGAGAACATATTTAATTAATAGTCATAACAGGATAAGTTTCCTAGGTCACAAGCAGTCACCAGTCAGACTTGTCAATTCTCCCAGATTGGGTTGATTACGTGCAAACTATCGCTAAATTCAGCTTGGAAAAGAGCATTACTTTTTATAACATGAAAGATAAATTTCAACAGAGAGATTGTCTGGTTATAGAAGTGACTGATACATTATGAAAGGGAGTTTGGGGTAAACTGTATAAGACAAATACCAAATAGGATTTGCAACCATTGACTTGATTTTAATTTTACTCACATGATTATTGTTCAGCAAAGAGTTTATGTACAATATTTCTAATTTCTGTTTATGTACAGAAATATTGGTATATTAGCTCAATCAAAATATTTATAAATGTGGCCTAATGCAGTGATGGGATTTTACCCATATATTCCGGACTTGTCCGAATCTTTTTTCGAAAAGTCCAAAATTGTCCGAGCGGAAATAAGCCCAATCGGACTTCAAGACATGGTGAATAATATTCAAATTCCAAAATTAATATAGTGTACTGAGTGTATAACTACAGTGCAACGCGATTATCGTTGAGAATAGGCTGGATTGATTAGGTAATTAAGTGATCGACTACTTATCGTCTTCACACCTACCTTGTTTTACTACTTATTCTGCCTTGATTGGCTGACTTAATTCTTTATCGGACAATTCATCAAATCAATCCTGAACAGAAGTCATTGCTTCTCCTTTGTCGGACGATATATCAATCCAATAAGAGTGATTATAAACTTAATCTGATTAACCCGTGATTTATCCATTGTCTCACGTTTTAATCTTCTTTGTGTCGGACAATAACACGTAGAAATTAGTCATATATGTCACATATCCTGATAACATATAACACCTCAAATCAACATACATTGTATCCGATAACTTGTCTGTCATATATTTTCGGTGGCAGCCGAAGTTAAATAAAGATATTTCACACACACGCAAATGGCGCTTATAGTTCAGTAATTAAAATGAAAGTACAAATCTTGCAAGACACGTGAAATTAAGAGATGTATACGTGCCGAATGCAATACGCCTGATATCCGAGAAAAGATTCTATTTTAATGGCATATTGTCGGATTTATGATCATATTTTGAATGGGGTTTATGTCTTTAAATAAATAAATAAACACGCTAAGAAATGTTGACGAATATTTCCATTGGAATGATGTAAGTAGTTAATTGTTTTAGACGATAGCGCGTGCTACAGTCGAATGCAATTATTTAGCAGTTGGTGTCACTCGCTCGTTGTATTAGAGCGTCGTTAGCTACGGTTTACGGCCAAATAAATTTCGGGATGTAATTTTTTTACCTTCCGTATATAAATCGAAATGGAGTATCAGACGAATGTCGGACTTTGCTGAAAAATGTACCGACGTATGACCCGAAAAATATGGTAATTTTGGGGGAGTTTGACTGCACGCTGCCATTCTATAGTATTACGATGTCATGTAATTTTGTAGGAATATTATTGACATAAATTTGAATACCGTACGGGTTTTAAACATGAAATATAACGAGGTGCACCTATTTTATTTTACATATGAATTTGAATATATTTTGTTGACACGTGATTCTTAATTGTGTTTTGAAAACGTCTGCTTAAATTACGATAAGAGTTATGCCCCTTTATTTTCGGGAAAAAATGTCAGACAAGAAATTTTTTGAAATCCCATCACTGGCCTAATGTCATATTTGGTATATTGAATATCATTGTGGTCTGAAACCTTATAAGAAAATTGATATAAATTGTCTCCCTTGTGCTGCCTTTTTGAGTACGGTCATAAATATATAGATTGGACTTCTAACATGGAGAATGCTATTTTTTTTTCCCTTTCACCCACATGTGACAGTGTAAAATTCAAGGATTCGATAATGCGAATATAACACTAAGTCAATTTGCTATGAATTTACACACTGATCTAAATTTTTTGATTTTTGAGACAATCTCTCCCTTTTCTGGCACTGGTCCATGGGAAGACAAGTATGACATCAGTTATTATTTTTAGCTAGATATTTTCAAAAGCCCTAGCAACAAAATAAAAACCATCATATTTTGTATTCTAAGAAACAATAAAATGACCAAAGAGGTATATTTATTACCTGTTTTTGTTGTATGATCATTGGTTGGACCTGTTTCCCTTGACCCTGTTGGACCTTGTGATCTTATCCAATTAAAAGTATCATCTTTAGCCTGAGTCCATTGACATAAATCATTCTCAAAATCACAATCATATGGTGTCTTAGCTATAAAAGAGAGAGATGGGGTTTAACATCCATTCCACACAAACCAAGTCATTTCTTGACTAACAAATAATTTTATTTCAATAATTCGCCTGCGCGTAGGGGTCTTTAGCTGTGGGAGGAAATTGGAGGACCTAGATAAAACCCACAAGGTTTGACAGGCAACCCTACTTTTTGTCATTACAAGCGGGAAATCAAAACCTTGCCACTTGACTTAATGACAGACCTTATGATGTAACGCTCATAAGTTAACCATTCGGCCATCTATCCTCCCCCCAAGCTATAAAAGAACACATTTAAAAATCAATATATATAGCAATATATATCCAATATTGACTGGCGAAAACTCCAATGAAAATTAGTCCTTAATAAAGAAAATTACTAAAAAAAAGTGATGTTTTCTCAAATTTTTTAAAATATTTTCTTTAAGATTTATTTTTTACACAAGATTTCTATATATATTTCAACTGTTAATGTATTACAATCATCATTTTGCAATATATCACATTTGTTGCGAACAAGATCGAGAAATACATAAAATCTTACGCTGTGTGGGTAGTGGTGCCATTGTGGTCATTGGCGATGCTGTTGTTATATGTTGTGTTTTAGGGTTGGCTTTAGTTGGTTGTACTATAAATATAAACAAAACATATCACGCAATTCTTTACCTGTAAAATCCTAGCATACAAATCCTGTATCTTTACAGAATAAAAATAATTGGCACTACATGTACAGCTATTCTTAAATTTAGTTTTTCTTTACGTGTAGTTTATATCATACGGTTAGGATTTAAAGTATACAATTTGAAAAAAAAAATAATATATTATATAACATGTCTGGTAAACATCCTGATTATAAGAAATGGTTAAAAGCAAATAATTTAGGTAAAAACCTTTGATTAAAATAAAGTTTGACAAACAAACTGATATTCAATTATATATACAATAAACTTACAAGTACAAACAGCGCTAGTAAAAACAATATCATCTATAGCTATATCTCCTTGATAATTACTACCAACAGTTCCTTCAATACGGATCTAAAATACATACAAATTATTTAAAAAAAAAAAGAAAATTGGTAGTTTTCAACTTTTTTGTTTTAGATCAATAACAAGGTAATATCCCAAATCCCCCTCAGATCTGTTCTGATCATACCCGGAACTATTTCTGGTATGAAATTATTGCTAGTGGCATAAGACTATGTAACGTTCGGTAGTGATCAAGTCTTATTGTAGCTAGGGGGGTTAAGTGGCCAAATGGTCTAACATGTGCGCTTTAATGTCTGTTAAAGAGTCAGATGGCGTGATTTTGATCCCACATTTGTATAGGTTTTCACCAGGTACTTCTACTGCTAAAAACGCTTCCCGCAAATGAATTATAAAAATGAAATTTTTCAAAATTTTCTTGGCGAGGTCCCCAATGGACTCGCTACTTTGGCGCTCACAAGGGGAATTCGTTGAGGTTCGCAAGTCTCTTCGTTTGACATTTTGTTCTCTAGTCGGATAAACTAGTGATCAGGCGACGAACGGTATCTGGGCAGATCTATTTATCTCGACGATCGGTGCCTGACAGAATACTGTAAGAAAGCATTTCCGGCAGTCTATTTTTCAAAATTGTCTGGGGGAGGACTCCCTACTTTGACGCTCGTGAATGGGCTTCGTCGTGATTCGCAAGTCCGTTCGTTTGACACTTTACCTCATTGATCAGTGCCTGAAATACTGCCAGGCTGCATTTCCGGCAACCTGTTTTTCAAAATTTTCTGGGGGATGCCCCCTACCCCTAGTTGAAGCTTGTGCTTTTGCCCCCTTAAGCTTGGACTTTGCCCCAGCTTTGCCCCTCCAATCACTGACGGCTGGCGCCGCCACTGTGTATATATGGTTGCTTAAAATATGTCCTGGTGTCATCAGTATTCTCAACAAAAAGTAAACCTAATGCAAGCCTTATTTCCTTGATTTACACTGCAATTACAGTATCCTTAGGTCTAAAGGTAATCTATGTTGAGCTCACCTTGTATTTTTGATTATGAGTGTTAATGTTAATTCTACCAAGATACCACTGATCTGTTTGATCACCACCTAGTTGCCAGACTAGAGTTGTCTTTGTACCAATAATAGTATAAACCCTCAAATATCCTATACCAGTTCCCAACATATGATACCAAAATGTAAAACATTTGGCTGTTCTACCATCCATCATTGAGCTCTCTATCCAAGATTTGTCTCCCAGTTTTTGTGGTGAACTTGCCTCAATAAATGCATAATAACCTGTAAAGAATTATCTTATATCTACATAGATATATATATAGTACATAGCTAGATATATATTATATAGATCTTTGTTTTTTCTGATCAAGGTTTAAATATTCTCTTTTGAATAATAATGCACCTCAGCTATTGACAAGCAAGGATTTCATAGAATTTTCTATATCACAGGTTTTGACTGATAGGTTGATCTGAAGTCGACCAATCACAACTAGCCCATTACTAAACATGCCTTAGAAAGAAGACTCAAGACCAAGATGATTAAAATAGAATTTTAAAAATGTGTAAATCCATCTACATAAACACAATACAAATTTATACAAGGGAAATCAAACTCATTAGTATTTGTGACATAGAATTTGTACTAAACATCTTATTAACATTTTACTATTTACTAGATCATTTTATCGATCATGGGGTGAATTGCATTGAACCATAGCACAGATTCACACGTGATTTCCTACAACAAGTACTCAGTGGGACTATTTTGGGAAAGGTGTGTACCAGTTTTAAATCATTTCTACAGTGATTCATAACAATTACATAATAGGACTAATATGTGCACTTACCTAAACCTGATTGTCTTGTATGATCATTAACTGGTCCTGTAAAAGAACTACCAGTTTGACCTCTACCTATTATCCAATCAAAATCATCCCCTGTCCTTACATTACTCCATGAACAAAAGCCTTTCTCAAAATCACAATTCCCTGCAAAAATAATAAAACATTCAATTAACTTGGTGCAGTGAGTATTGTTTAAATTTTTTAAGAACAATCATCCTGTGGGGAACCACAGGATATTCCTAAGAAGTGCTGATAAGCATTATTTACCAAGTTTACTTTCCAACCAATTAAAATCGTGAAACCAGAAAACTCCAGTATTATGTTAAACTATGATGACCAACGAAAACAATGAACAATAATATGCCATCTGATATATAATACCGGTATCCTTAACCATAGTTTCAGAAATATGAGCATTAGGCCGGTAGCCCTAGCTATTTCTTGCCAATTGTATCAAAAATTGACAGACAAGACCTGCAAGTCCAATGCTTTAGATTATTGACTGAAATGGGGCTTAGCTCTCATCAACATGACACTTCGGTCATTTTGAGATTAGTTGCTGAAAATTTTCACTTCAGTATTTGTATGTGGAATGTAAGGAGGAGAATTTTGCTTGGACTGTGATGCTTCTGTCTACACTTCTTTATATTCCAACTGATAAAGGTTCGCTTTAGTTTCATCACACTTTCCTCGTCAGCCGTGCATGTGCCACCACTAACAAGAGACAATCGAGCTTGAAAAATCCCCCAAAGTTCTCAGCCCAAGCCAAGATTTTAATCTGGGAGAGTCTAGTCGAGTGATCAATGCCCTATTGCTCTGATCATTATGGCTCGAACCTGCCCAACCTGCTATAAACATCTTACACATGACACCCATATGTTTCATGATCTGCAGACGATCACCTTTTCTTCTGTTGTGAATCATAAATTATAAATAAAACCAATTCCTCTAATTATATATGTAGAAATGTGGTTGTATTGTATATGGTAGTGTAAGACTTTTAAAGAGTGTTTTTATTTGAAGCAATCTGGATAGATATTTGGTGAGTATACTATTAATTCTGAGATCAATCATATATGTAATTACCTATCATAACTGATTATTCTAGTTTCCAAATTTAAGAATAGCTTACCTGGTAGATTACATGGCCCATTTGTCAAACTAATATCATCTATAGCCATATCACTTAAATAACCTCCGATCTTTCCTTCAAATGTCAGTGTAAAGTTATGCGTGTCCATAATAGTTACACTGGCTTTTAACCATTTATTAGCCTGAGATCCAGACAGTGACCATATTGTATAATAGCTTGTGGGATGGTATGTAAATACTTTTAGTGTTCCCATCGACTGACCGTACATATGATAGTAGAATGACAGACATTGACCATTAGTGGGTGGTAGCACAACAGAAGTTAATCGTGCAATATCTCCAGGTTTTCTAGGAGAACTGGCCTCAGTGTACATGTAATGACCTAAATAAATAACATCATTAATAAATCAGATGTAAAGATATATTTATATACCAGGTACAATAAATTATTTCTCACATTTAAACTTCAGGTCATAGTTCAATAAACTTTCTTAGATTCTGATTGGCAATAACAGTCCTCTAACTTTTGAATGGGAAAAAATTAGTATCCAAACGGGAGCCATTTTGGAGATGTTATATATATATTCCCGAATATGATCAGCAGTGGATCTTACTACATCGGTACAATCACCAGGGTGGACGGCCTGACAAGCCTCAAGGAAAGGAGGAGTGGGCAGCTGGTACACCACTTTCAAGAGGCTCATTATGTATTTGGAATGGCTAGTATTCGTGCCACAGAGCCCCCGATCCCATCCCTGATGCCCTACTCTGGCCATGAAGGGGTAAAGTTAGAATCCCTCTTTTTTTTGCATAGTATCCTACAATAGAGAAGATTCTGTAATTAGGATGCATATGGATATTTATTGTTGGACCAGTTTGTATGTAAAGATAATAAAAATACCTTGTGGTGTTCCATATGTATGATCGCTAGGTGGACCAGTATAGGAACTACCAGTTCTTCCTTTCGACCATGTCCAATGAAATTTACCACTTGGTGTAAATCCACAGATGTTTTTATCCTCAAAATTACATTTACTTACTAAAATAAAGTTTACATACATTTACTTACTAAAATAAAGTTTAAATACATTTATTTACTAAAATAAAGTTTACATACATTTATTTACTAAAATAAAGTTTTTACTAAAATAAAGTTTACATACATTTATTTACTAAAATAAAGTTTACATACATTAATTCTAATGATATATCACAATAACTTTTAAATTAATACCTCAAGAAATTTCAATCATTTTACACTTTCTGTCAAAATAAGATCCAGTGGATCTATGCAGCTCTGGGGTTGCTCTACTAAGCTGCTGCCAGAGCAGGAGGTAATTTTCCAAGAGTTTATCAGCTGATAGACTCTGATTTAATCTCATTGAGTTTACAGTAAATTAAACTTACATGTTGTTTGTTTACATGGAAGACGTGAAAAGGTGACATCATCAATAGCAATATCCCCTAGATAACTTGTTCCTCTAACAGCTTCAAAAATAATCTAAAAGACAATAATATTAAATATTAGCACCCAATATTCTTAATTTTCAATATTGTTGATAACTGTTTATATAACATTTTGACACTTACCCTAAAATGTTGCTGATTAACAACATCAATCTGTGCTTGTATCCAATGGTTACCCAGTGAACCCGTCTTTGTCCAGATTTCTGTGCCGTTTGTAGAGAAATCAACAGGTGATGTGTAAACAGAAAGTCGGTTGACGTGAGGACCATACATATGATACCAGAAGGTTAGACATGAACCCTGGGTAAAGCCAATTGGAAGAGAGAAAAGCTGTGCTGTATCGTTGATTCTACGTGGTAAAGAGGTCTCAATATAGGCATAGTAACCTTGAGCTGAAAATCAAAGTGTGACATAGTGTTATTCACTATTTTTAATTCTTTCCTGTGTCTATTTTAAGTAATCACATCCTTACCATGTATGACATTAGTTCTATATGAGTTGTCTCCCTTTAATCAGAATTCATGAAGAGCCTAAGATTGATAATGAAATGAAATAGGATTCCTTGCCAGAATCCTCGTCTTGCACCACTGCCAAGAGAAAACCAGACTGAGTAATATTTTCACTCAACACTGGGATCAAACTCGGGACCAGGTTAAAAACTCAGCACCTATACACTGAGCCATACCTTGGTTCAGTCAGGCCGTTACTAAGAGACCAGATAAACATATTATGTCACATTGCCTTCAATGTAAATTATCAAGCCCTTAAAGCAGATACGCTGTCCATTTTACCATACATAATTATATAAATATGTGAAAACGGTGTACTACAGATTATAAAACAGAAAAATTTACTGTCATAGTTCTTACAATTTCCTTGAGTGTGATCGAATGATGGTCCAGTTCCTTGTGAAGATGTTCGTCTATTTCCTCTTGACCAATCAAATTGGTCCGTTGTAGATTGATTCCAGTTACAAAAATCCTTGTCAAATGTACAGTCATATGGTGTGGGTGCTGAAATTTTTTGAAAAACATTTCTTTTTTAAAAACTGTCAGTTCCTTTGACCTACACAACACATTTTAAAGGTATTAAAGGCAAACCAATTGTTGGGTGGCAATAATTAAGCATATCTCATGTTTTAAAAAGTATCTTCCAATATTTCTAAAAAAAACACAAGTGTTATATAAATCAAAAGGAAACAAGAATCTTCTGTCACTTGTACCAGTAACATTTAAAATCAAAGTTTTCCAATGTACTCAATAATTAAATATAATATTAATAAACTATAGGTATATACCTTGTGTAGGAACAGTAGTTGGTGGAATTGTTGATAAACCAGGTAAAGAATTGGCTGCAGCATCATTTGGTAGAACTGAAGCAACAATAGATTTGATAGTATTACTGTCAGTGACATACCTAGAGTTTGTTCAGCTTGGAGCAGATCTTGCCTTCACTCGTAGATATATATATATATATCTATGTGATTAATTTATTAGTTTTATCATTTATAGTTAAAAATTGTGTTTTTTTAAATATTATATACTGAGAGCAGCTTTATTTAGTTTTTATTTATATATATATACACAAAACTTATGTGTACCAATTAGTTAAAAATTCTAAATATTGAGCCAAGCTCACATTTCTACACGCCATGGGAACATTATATGGTAAGTAAATGATGACAATGATGATCTGGAAGATACTCTAGTAGTAGTATTCCTTTTATCAGAATACTCATTAGTTAAATTTCCTTCTAGATATACATATACCTGTGCAGACTTGAGATCGTAAGATATATAATGATAAAATCAACTAATCATTGCCTACCTGTACAGTACGAATCTGTAAATGTGATGTCATCAACAGCTATATCACCTGTATAACTTGAACCTCGTATACCCTCAAATATAATCTACAATCAAAACCACAAGCCTATGAATATCTGACAATTCTAACAAGCACATGTTCATATATTTATTAAAAGTTAAATATATTTCATTGCTAAAACCATTTTTGCAAAACTATTCATTTGCTGTACGAGTATATCTTGTCAGCAGATCATTTAAACTCCTTAAAGATGTCATCAGGCTGTACTAGTAGTGCAATGTTAAAACGAAAACAAAATATAACCGAAACAACTGTCTTATTCATATTTATGGGTGTTAAATATACTGCCATATATTTATATGAAAGCAATGGGCAAATAAATAAATTAATATTTCTCACAAACCCCTAATCAGAAAGTCAATATGTCTTCTAGAATAAATCTGAAATAAAATTAACTTGCCATTGAAAATGTTTGCGAGAACACATCTGTCTTTTCTATACTTACATAGTAATTTTTAGAACTTAAAATTGAGACTCGTCCTTGAAGCCAGATATTACCATGATCAGTTGTCAAAGACCAGATTGTTGTGTTAGCGGTAGCATTAACTGCTTGGTAAACAACATTCAGATATCCAATAGAGGCACCATACATATGGAACCAAAAACTTAGACATCTTGGGGCACTTGTTGGTGAGAACATGGTACTCTTTAACCAGGCTCGATCTCCTTGTACCCTTGGCTGTGATGATTCGATAAACATGTAGTGACCTGAAAAAAGATTTTTTTTTATCAGCCCCACAGACTTTCTAAGCAATAAATAGGGTGGATCACAGCTTCAAATATTCATGCTAATAAAAACGGACCTGCACTGCAGCAGGCAGCAAACATTTGCCCAAAATAGACATTCACTTGCCAATATTCATCCACTTTTATCAATGAAGCCATGAAAAATATTTCTTCTTTACTCGGTGAACTTTTAAAAATATGTAGTTACGAATTTGATAAAAACTTGGGCTAAAACCCAGACATTTTATTTTTAATTTGATTGTAACCGATGACATACTATAGTGTAATATTGTAATGGTTCTCAGTTCAGAGTTACCTCAAGTTGTTACCTCTATGTTTTAAACTCACGATCACAGCCTTATATTACCGACACTGCAAGATTGTGAGTTTACAAGATAGAATGTTGCTAGTTCTGATTACGCAAAAAAAAAATGTTTACTCCTTATTTCAAATTGTATTTATTTATCTATTTATATTTGGTTGTTTTAAATTTGTTGTAAATGGACCTTATATGTTGTATTTACCACTCCGACCACACCGACTTAAATTTAAATCACCATTTCAATGTTTGACCGTTATTATATCATTAATAATTTAAGAATTTTGTCCTGATCATAATTTTTGTTTTTAGGAGACAACTTAAAGTGCACATAAGATGGGCCTGGAAACTTTGAGATACGTGTAGCCAATGGTTACTATATCCACTTTACAGCAAGTCCACGCCAATCTGGTTGAAATTAATTCAGTTATCTTCACTCAAAGTCGTAAAAATAGACTATCTGTAAAAACGACTTTGCCAATTATCGAAAACACTCTTAATCCCCTCAGACGCCAGTGACGTCACAGTGACTGAATGCATATTCGGAATGTTTATTCCTTAATTACCTATATACAGCCGGCGTGTGTATTCTTTAACGCATGAAGGATTCCTTAATCCCCCTAATTAGATAAAACAATTGACTACGGAATAATTTGTTTTGTAATTAATTTTAAATTTAAGATTCAATTTAGAGTGCCTACAACTTTTAAACTTTGAAGTCTTGAACTCTTAATTAATTGTTTACAATATGGAACTTATTGGACGAACACTTTTAATATGTAAATACTATACGGGTCCAGCTATGTGTTTTTACTGCGAGCACTTCGCTTTTCCACATAAAGTGTAGTGTCGTTAATATCTGTCATTAATTGATCAATCCGACTATAAAAGTTATACAGGCATGGGTCATAAACTAATTTACACGTTGGTGTTAGCAGTGAGTGATAGTGGGATTAAGAATGTTGATTAGGTAATTATCTTTTTATACGCTGGCCAGATCAAAGACATCACTCTAAGTGGAACGTGTGCGTAATACCTCTTGAACGAACTAATGGTAGAATCATACACACACACATTAATTGTATAAAATAATTAAGTTTTACTAATAAGTTGTTTAAAATTACTATATACCCAATAATTATTGCTCACCGGTGTTTTTGTAATCAAGTAGCCTCGTATTATTTGTTGATTGGCGTTAAAACAACATTTAATTGATGGATGGATTAACGTTTTTGATACGATTAGGTTATAATGTCTAACATCGGTTATCTTCTTTATAATAAAAGTAGTTTACAATTGCATTGACAGTTTAATCACTCACCAAACGGTACCAGGAACTTCATGAATGATCCCGTGCAATTTTCGCGGCGAAATTTAACCTCATTTACTACACCCGTAGTACATGGAACGGTACATGATAATAAGATGCCAAGCGTTTGATTGGCAGAGAAATGAGTGCGATCTATTGTACATGTTATGCATAGTCATCGGAAAATTATAGCTAATAATGAATATATCGACAAATGACTGGCACCATTTGTATTTCTGTACTTAAGTCTGGGATATCAAGTATTACGGGGTTATCCAAATTACCGGTAAATGCGCTAATTTCTTGAGTCATCTTCATTTGACACGTGGCCTATTTAAACAAAGGTAGCTTAAATTGATCTACGGCATGATACGGCATTTTAAATTCACTCTAAAATATTCCAATCACAAATGTCTAATCTATACCAATGAAAGACGATAATTCGGTGATTATGATTAGACCAGTCACGTGGTAATTGGACCGTCAATAGACGCTTGTCCAGTTGCCGTGTGTATTGATAGTGCTTTATTGTACAGACAGTGAGATATTGTATAGATAATGTATATCCTATGTGTAGTGCCTGTGACGTCACCAGCCAATCAACCGGATTAAGGTCGTAATTGAAAAATCGAAAAGCGTTTTGGCGTGTCGGATACTTAAACGTTAACAGCGGACTTAATTTTAGTCAGATTGATGTGAACTTGCCGTAAAGTTGATATAGTAACCATGGGCTATACATACATGCAATTTAGATTTTTGATCTTACGTGGTCTTTAAAAATAAAAAATATTATTAGCTATTCTTATATATTTGTTGTAAAACTGAACTAATGTACCTGCTGAAGTTGTTTTAGTATGATCAGTACTAGGTCCTGTATATGGTGATCCTGTTCCTCCATGACCAATTATCCAGTTAAATTGATCTACGCCAGACGGGTTAGACCATGAGCAGAAAAATCCATTCTCAAAATCACAATTACCTTTAAAAAATGAAATAGACAATTCATTTGTTAATTAAATAATAGGTCAATAAGGTCCGTCAAGCACCACCCTCTCATTCCGATCTGGACTAGTTTCCCCCAAATTGGGACCAGAATAAAGAATAACAATACTTTTTTCATCCTTTTAGACCTTTCATTGTAAGTCACTGATTTATTCTAAAGCCTGGGCTGCTGTGTGTTAACTGGATTATAGATATGAATCCAAACATCAAATCCAGTTAGTTAGCCAATGTAAGTGTATTTCAGAATGAAGAAGTAAAAAGTGTTGTTTTTGAACCAGTGCATTGAAAGAAAATTGTGTATTCACAGTCAAAATTACTTTATATCAGTATAAAATTTATATCATCATAAGACCCTAAAATATTCCCAATTCAGATGATTAATGTGGTTAATATAATAAAAGTTACCTTGGGCTTCACATGGACCATCAAACACACTGACATCATCTATAGCTATATCTCCTCTATAACCATAATCAGTCACTGCTTCAAAGACAACCTGGTAAAGAATATTTAGAATCAGAACCAACTGTTTTCAGATTTGTACACATACACTGTCTTGTGTACACGTGCTACATGTAAATGAGTTAAAATGAAAATTCTTTACATTGTGGACAAGGAACCGAGCATGATATCATTACAGCTCTCTCGGAATTGTAACCTCTGTCCATCTCTGTCAATCGATCCACAATTGTTGAAGGAACAAGCATGCCAAGTTGGCGAAGAACGTTACCCCCAAGAACAGGAACAAGATGAATATTGCTTAGAGATCAGTTCCTGGTCCCCAAAAAAAAACAGTTCCAAAGAGCATGCCTGACAAAAAAATATTTTTAAAAGAAAGAAGAACTAATAAATTTTCAATATCAATTATTGTGTAAAGTACCCGATCCGTAGAAATCTGTTACCGCTCAGTTGAGCGGTACATGAGGCCTTTTCGCAGCATTTTAAAGCGTTATGCAGAAGAGTTGACAGATCTGTACCTGATATGGAACTGTATTTGGTAATAAAGATGCTAATCCCACAACCCAATTTTGTCCTTGGTTTTTAGATTTTGACCACAAAGTCTGGTTGTTGTTTACTCCTGTCTTCATCAGAACGTTTAATGTTCCAATATTACTTCCATACATATTATAGTAGAATTTCATACACTTAGCATCTGCTGATCCAACAGACGGACTGATTAATCTAGCCATCTGTCCCGTTCCACGACTACTTGTCTCAATGTACATATAAAAACCTGCAATTAAATAAATAGTATGATGAAAAGAAAAACAGTTCAAGGGTCCTGACACACTTTTATCTTCAACGATGCAACACTTTGTAATATAATGCCCAAATTTTTAACAGAATTAATGAGCAAAATTGTACAATAAATACCTTTTGATGTTCCCAGTGTATGATCGGCTGCTGGTCCTGTAAAATTAGAACCAGTACTTCCACGATTACGTGACCAATCAAAACTATCGGTTTTATCTTGTGTCCAACCACAAAGTTTACTGTCTTCAAAATCACATGCAATTTGTACTGAAAGTGAATGCATTTCATTAGAAAATAAATAAAGACCCGTAACTAAAAGTTTAATTTGTACTGAAAGTGAATGTATTTCATTAGAAAATAAATAAAGACCTGTAACTAAAAGTTTAATTTGTACTGAAAGTGAATGTATTTCATTAGAAAATAAATAAAGACCCGTAACTAAAAGTTTAATTTGTACTGAAAGTGAATTTATTACATTAAAAAATAAATAAAGACCCGTAACTAAAAGTTTAATTTGTACTGAAAGTGAATGTATTTCATTAGAAAATAAATAAAGACCCGTAACTAAAAGTTTAATTTGTACTGAAAGTGAATGTATTTCATTAGAAAATAAATAAAGACCCGTAACTAAAAGTTTAATTTGTACTGAAAGTGAATGTATTTCATTAGAAAATAAATAAAGACCTGTAACTAAAAGTTTAATTTGTACTGAAAGTGAATGTATTTCATTAGAAAATAAATAAAGACATGTAACTAAAAGTTTAATTTAACATAGACATTGAAGTAATTGTTTGCTCTTCATATTATATTACTGAATAATATACTACTATTGTTCTATGAGGGAAATCTTGCCAAAACTGCCTCCTTCATTAAATTTTAACTGTTGAGGGTTCTTTTATGTGCGTGCAATGTCTACATGGGACTTTCAAACAAAAAGATTCTGTCCTTGCAACTGAAAAGAAGAAACCACACCGGAAGTGAACCAGAGACCTCCTACTTCATGAGTTAGTGCCTTACTTGCTGTGCCATTGCTGATCCTAAGTTGCATGATATACTTGTTGAACCTTGTTCACCCTAGCAGGCTAACAACCTTGTTTAGCTAGGCTAAATCATAGTCTTGACTAAACATTTGTGTTAAATTGTGAACTCTGTGAGATATGTAAAATGTATAAAGGTCAATATTATATTTGAGATATGTAAAATGTATAAAGGTCAATATTATATTTGTGTTAAATTGTGAACTCTGTGAGATATGTAAAATGTATAAAGATTTATATTATATTTGTGTTAAATTGTGAAATGTATAAGGATTAATCTAATATTTTCAAATTCATGTTGATTTACAATAAAATATACCTGTTGATGGACATAATCCGCTTAAAACTTTAACATCATCTAATCCAATATCACCTTTATACCCTGGTCCTCGAACACCTTCAAATACTATGTTAAACTGACTCTTCTGTGTGGGGATTTGATATTCAGCAAAGTTCCATTTATTACCCAGGGATGTTCCTTTCTTCCATACTGGTGTTCCTAGGGTAGCTCCAACCTATAAATATAATAATGTACTCAATTCCTTTAAAAAAAAAAAAGGAGAGAGATGTGTAACTGATCTTATGAAAACCATACTCCTGGTTACCTACAAGCTGGGATCGTTTTACTTCCAACACGGTATACAAAGCAGGTAAAAATTTAAAATCTATGATGGATATATTATTTTAAAACACTGCCAGTAGGTCACAATTACATCCATGAAGAAATTACTTAATATGTGAAAAACAGGTACCTTAAGTAAATATTAATGTAATAATATCGATTCAGTCCATGAATAAATTAAAATAGCTGCAAATAATTTAATTAAATAACAGATTTATTTCTCACCTTAATGTAAACACCCAACTGATTAACGTGAGATCCGTACATATGATACCAGAACTGTAGACAGTATTGTTGATTAGCTAGAGCAGTTTTTGATACCAGTCTAGCTGTATCATTAACAACACGAGGGGCTGACGTTTCAATATACATATACCATCCTTTCCCTATAACATCAACATATTATTTACTACTATATCTTTTGCTATCAGGGAATTGTATTTTATTGCAAATCTAAAAATGGTGCCATTACATACAAAATGTCATTTAGTAAATGGAATAAAAACTATACACTAAGCTATAGCCTGTCTCTATGATCCTATGATAACGTTTACATGTACAATGTAGCTGATGCCCGCTGATGGGCATCAGCAGTCATCTGCGTAACTTGTGTTAACAGGATACAATGAATGCCTTCATTTAAGATACCTTGAGTAAGATTTAGATAATTAGAGCTGACAGCTTTTGCTATATTAGTTTAAAAATAGATAATGAAAAATGAACATATTGAAAATTTCAAATTACTTCGTTCTGGGCAAAGTTGTTAATGTTTTGAATTGCTACCATTGTTACAATAATAAACAAAGTCTTGATTATCCATTTTTAAATGAAATCACGTTTCCATCCGTTCAAAATTATAATCAGCCAATGGTCTAGAGAGTTGATTATAGGCTTGTCATGTGAATAAATGTCTAATTAATAATTTATATTACACTTGAGGCCAAAATAAAGACCAGCAGTAGGCATTAGGCTGATTTAGTTCTTATAATGCATCTCAAATATATCTTTTTGATAAGTGCATTGATCACTTTTGGCCTATATTAACAATTATTCTTTTAATACAAAATGTCATTCAAAAATAACAATTGAAGGTGCAACAGTTGTTCTAATTAATCTTAAAAGAACATCTCTTAGAAATGTTTGAATTTCTAATTATAAATTTAACAGAGTTATCTTGGTTAGACGTATGTACTGAGATACACCGATTTATGAAGAATTACTTACTGCTTTGTGTAGTATGATCATTGGTGGGTCCTGTGAATGAAGTTCCGGTTGGCCCTTGAGCTCGATTCCAATCAAATATATCATCTTTTGCCTGAGTCCATGTACATGTATCTTTCTCAAAATCACAATCAAAATCAGACTGTTTCACTGCAAACAGGAATAAAAGAGACAAAATGTAATTTGTATATCAAAACTATAAACTGTTAAATAAGAAAAGTGTTTTCCTAAATTTGATGATAGATGACCATGGTAGCATTAACTTAAATTCAAGTTATATTTTTTCTAATATTAACAATATTCATTATTTGATTTATTTTATTATTATCCCCTACACCACATTTGTTATTAGTAAGTTTGTTTTATAAGTATTATGCCCCATTAAAGTTAATTATGATGAGACTATAAGCCTTTGATTAAAAGCTTTAATAAATTGGATACTGCATGGGACAATGAAGTTCATGTTTTTTTCTGCTGCTTTTAATTGTGCTTACAAAAAAAAGACTATCAAACTGTACGGCAATACTATATACCGGAAAACTACCGGAAAACTACTGGAAAACACCATTTTATACTGAATACCGGAAAACACCGGAAAAACACTAAATACCGGAAAACAAACTAAATACCGGAAAATACCCTAAATAGGTAACCCGGAGACTGGCACCCTAAATAGGTAACCCGGAGCCTGGTCCTCTCCTCTGTGTGCCTGGGTTAGGGTTAGGGTTAGTTTCTGGTTTATAGTATAGCCCTTCTCCGGGTTACCTATTTAGGGTGTTTTCCGGTATTTAGGGTGTTTTCCGGTATTTAGTGTTTTTCCGGTGTTTTCCGGTATTCAATATAACATGGTGTTTTCTGATAGGTTTCTGGTTGTTTTCCAGTATATAGTATAGCCCAAACTATATTACAGTTCATCATATTACAGTCACATACAATACTTGGTGTTCAGTATTTCTTTATAAAAATGTAATGATGAACTGATGATTACTGACCATGCTGGTAGCATCAGTATTTGATTTATTATATTGTTATCACAATTATATTCACTAACTATATACCACAATAATCTCTGGTAGCATACACTACTTGGCATGCAGTATTTCTATTTAAAAATGTTATTTGTATATCAAAACTATAAACAAGAAATGAACATGATGAACTGATGACTACTGGCCATGATAGCATCAGTATATGATTTATTATATTGTTATCCCAATTATATACACTAACTACCGCCACAATAATCTCTGGTAGCACACAATACTTGGTGTGCGGTATTTCTATTCACAAGACATAATTCTCAATTTTCAGATTATAAAAACATTACTGTAACACTTGATCCTAATAACAATTGATAATACTTTTAGCAATAATATAGACAAACCAAATGGAGCAGGAGTTGTTGATAGTCCTGCAGGTGGTGTTGGTGATGTAAAAGCTGGATTGGCTGCTGATGGTTTCACTGTAAATATAAGATACAATAAAACATTAGCTACAGTTGTTTCTTTCATAAACACAAAGTAAAGGAGTTTCAAAAATATATAGATATGAAATGAAATAAAATGTGGTTTTACATATTACTGGTCTGGCTAATGATGCAGGAATACGCAATTATGCTATGTAGTGTGATGTGAGGGAATTTACTCTTATTCCTATTTCAAACTGTCAACGAATCTTTGCTGTGCTGCCAATGGGATATACAGGACCTCTTTTCTTTGCTTTTGCCCAATTAGAAGGACGTAATACTTTTCAATGCGTTTTGGACGACCTGCACAACTGACTGTAGGAAACCCCAGCCCCCTCTGCCAAATATAGGAGGTTTCTTAACATTAACTTTTCAATCCAAATGATAGAGAATATACAAAACTGCGAGAAAACTCTCATTGCTACTTGAAAACTCTTTAAAGGAGAACAGTGTTCTAGAAAGACTGCCTCATGCATCGCACTACTTCTAGCTAAATTGTGTAAAATTAAAAATACGTAAGCCATACCTGCACAAGTTGATGATGTAATTGAGACATCATCTATAGCAATATCTCCATAAGAATTTGATCCTCTTATACCTTCAAATCGTAGCTAAAAAAAAAGGAAATATACAAATTTAAATTGTTTTTTTAAACCCATCAAGTATTATTAATTAGGCTAAACCTTATTCTGGCTTTCAAAGTAACCCTAAACATGACCTTTTTTACACTTCAGGTTAAATTCTGTGATCTTCTCAATTGAATGTCATTCGGAAGCTATATGACAAAAAACCCATAAATAATGAAAGGGATCACAGATGCAATTTATATTTAAGATGAACATACCATGTAAGGTTTGCTTTGACGTGGCACTGGCACTGTACCAAAATACCAAGAATTTCCTTGGTTACCATTCTGTGTCCACAGTAGTGTTTGAGTTGTGTTGGCCGCATCATCAAGATATATATTTAATGTACCTTTAATATAGAAATATCTTTTATAATCACACATACATGTCATTTTGCATTGACAAATAAATGAATGAGATTGGGAATCTTGAAATTATTTTTCAGGGCTAAAATTGGGATGGGCTATATGTAAGATCTCTAGCGAGTAAGTTTCACTGCCAGTCAGACAAAACCTGGCAAACGACTTAATGGGAGCCCTGCAAGCACAAATTCTTTGATGTACAATTTAGTCACATTACACTTTCAAGGATAAACTATTTAATTTTGTTGCTACAACTGAGCTAACCTATTGCATTATTACAATATAAAAGAATGTCAGAACTTACCGATTCCACCGCCATACATATTATACCAGAAAGTGAAACAGCTATATCCTTTGTTAAAAGGCTGTAATTGTTCACTGATCAACCAGGCTTTATCATTCACAGTTTGGGATGCTGACGTTATAAACATATATCCACCTACACAAAATAGATTTTAAAACAACTTTAACAATCTTCTCTTTTTTAAAAGAAAATATGTCAAAATAAATAATTTTTCCATCGTTATATGGCCGATAGTGTAGCTATCAATAGGAACAAAATTAGTAATATTCTATATTCTATACTGCATCCAACATCAATCATAATCCGTCCATAATTCTGAGAACTTTATTTATTTATGTGCAACTACTATAATATTTTTACTTGTGCAATTACTATAATTCCTCGTGCAATTACTATAATTCCTCGTGCAATTACTATAATTCCTCGTGCAATTACTTGTACAATGACTATATTTAGTTGTGTAATTTCTATAATTACTTGCACAAATACGATAATTACATGCACAATTACTTTAATTACATGTGCAATTACTATAATTAAATGTGCAATTACTATAGTTACTTGTACAATAGAGGGAGGAGAAAAATCTTACCATCTGGGGTGCCTTGTGTATGATCATTCAAAGGACCTGTGTACCTACTACCTATCGATCCTTTCCCACTCAACCAATCAAAATTATCTCCATTCTGAGTATTATGCCAGGAGCAGGAACCTTTGTCAAAATCACAATCTCCAGGGCCAGGACAAGCTCCATTTACAACTAAAACATCATCTAACGATATGTCACCTAGATATCCGTTACCTATTATACCTTCAAACACAGCCTACAATACACACAAATATCTGACGTTTTAAACCAAATAACATACCTTGCTAACATTTCAAATAACTTAAAGCAAGCTAGACCTCATTGATTTAGTTCAAAATGATGTGTTGTGCTTAGTTGATTTGACATGTTAATTCTATTACTGATCAATTACTCATCAAATTTTGGATTTTTTCTAAAACTTCAAACCTAAAAACAAACAGTATTTATATCCTTGATACTGGGTAGTGATTCACTTAGTTAATAAGTGATGTTTGATTGCTGATCATGAGGATGTCAAGGTTGTGTGCAACTCAACAAATATGCAAGAATTATATTATGCATTGGACACAAACCTCCCAGGAACCAGTAGATTTCACTGTTACTGAAGCCTGCAACCATTTCTTTTGCTGTTGTCCTGATCTCTTCCAAATGGGTCTTCCGATATTTCCTCCAGATCTCCTATAGACATTAAATGTTCCTGTTGTCCGACCGTACATATAATACCAGAATGTGAGACAGGCACCATTAGATGGGGGATGAGATATACTGATTAATCTAGCCTTCTGTCCTAATTGTCTTGGTCTCGATGATTCGATATACATATAATGACCTGAAAAGTTGAGAAAATAATATGATCTTACATGCTGGTGAACCAAAATTTCTACAAAACCTGTTGGTAAACCAAGAACATTCAAGGACACATCAAGTGGTGGACTTAAGGTGAACTAGTTTATTATTAAGTGTTTTCAATAATGGAAGCTACCTTTAGCAGAAGCATATGTATGATCATTAGGAGGACCAGTATTAAAAGAGCTTGTAGATCCAGTATTTCGTAGCCAGTTAAAATCTTCTCCAGTGTCTTGTTGATATCCACAAATAGTATTATCTTCAAAGCCACATGTACTCAATGCTCCTACAACAGATAAACACAAATACATCAAGCATTTTCACTCATCTAATGCTGAGTATAAGACACATACCTTCTAAAACTGGTAAAATTGGGTTAAAGAAGTGTGTCGTTTACAGTAACACTAGAATATATGCTGCATGCAGCATTATCTTCGAAATACTTAAAATCTGAACTCAAGGCCATAAAACTTGTTTTTTTTCCATCAAAACTCAGGCTTAACATCAATTTGTCACTTGTGTCCAGTCATTTGGATAAAGACGAAAGTGAATATTATTCTTTCAATTTATAATGTTATTATCACTGAACATGCACTACATGCTTATAGCGATGGTTCGAGAATGGCTGATATCTAGGCTAATGAAGTGTACTATGAGGGAAATTTTTCCTGCACAGCCGCACTATGGCCTACTCTAATTTCAAACTCCAACTGTCAAGGGTTCCGACCCATCTGATTGACTAGACATTGTCCCTTTCCAGGCCCTTCCGTTCTACATCACTGACAAGAGGGAACCATGTTGGAAAATCGTGATGAACTTTCTTGGCCAATGCAGGGATCGAATATGGGGACTGTTATGAAACAATTTTTGTCTTACCACATAAACCATCAGACACCGATATATCATCTAACGCAATATCTCCTTTATAATTTGTTCCCCGTATACCCTGGAAAACTAGTGAATAGGTTGTGTTTGACACAATATCCACAGAACTTTGTTTCCAAGCTGGTCCTTGAGTTCCTTTTTTCGTCCACAGAGGAGATCCGGTTGTCTTTCCAGACTGGATATAGACATTCAGTGTATTCACATCTGGGCCATACATATGATACCAGAATGTAAGGCATTTTGAAGTCGCAGATGAAATAGGTGGACTGACAAGCATAGCATTATCTCCTGCTTTTCGTGGATTAGAGGTTTCAATAAAGATGTAGAAGCCTTGATCTAAAAAAAACAAACACATAATTCATAATTATGTAAAAGGACATTAATAGGTTAAATTTGACCAGTCACATGGATTTCTTGGTTTTTTTTGTCCCATCTGAATGACTACACATTGTCCCGTGCCAGACTCTCTGTCCTGCACGACTGACAAGGGGGAACTACACAAGAAAATCCTGATGAACTTTCTTGGCATATGCATGGATCAAACACAGGGCCTGCATATTAGTGAGCCAATGCCTTACTCACTGAACCACCATGGTCCCCTTCAACCTTACAAGATAATACTTAATATTGTGATAAATCCAATATGATTGTTTATTTATCTTATTTTTACCATTTCCTAGTGTGTGATCAACTGATGGTCCTGTTCCTGTAGAACCTGTACCGCTATGGGTTCTTGTCCAGTCAAAATTATCATTAGTTGCCTGTTTCCATGTACACAAGCCTTTCTCAAAAGTACAATCGTACTGTGAAGGTGCTGAAAATAAATAAATAAATAAATAAATAAATAAATAAAATGTACATCTTTATAAATTACTGATATTATCATCAAAAGTTTGACTTACCACTTGTGGGTGGGGTTATCATCAGGGATGCCGTCGTCTGATATGGAGGTAGAGTTGATCCGGAGTCTGCAAAACCTGGTATAACTGAAATACATATTTACAATTTAGAAATTTAAAACTTTACCTGACAATTTCAGTATCCGACTCAACCTTTCTAAAAGGCTATTAAGGTTTATGAATTATGAATTTCTACTGGATGGACATTATAAATAATATATATAACACGGCCTGGGACTTCTTCATTTTCCTATTGATCATCGCACACTGCCTGAATGGCTGAAGAGATTTAAATTTCAACCAATCATGTACAGCTATTATTACTCTGCATCGAACTAATATGGAAGCTGAGATCTGGTTAACAGATTGCTCATATAATATGTGATGAACATTTACCCATGACTGATAGGGAGAAAATATGCTTTAAAACAGCGTTACTGAAAACAAATTTATTCTATCTAAGATATCTTCCCCGAAAATAAAAAAAATACTTCAACATACATCCACATTTACTGTTGGTAAAGCTGATGTCATCAATTCCTACATAGCCAGTTGATCCTCCTGATCGTTGCATTTCAAATATAACGGAATATGCAACACCACTGTACACCGGAAACTGTCCATTTTGCCATTTGTTGACATTATTAGAATTCAGTAACCACCTAGCTGTTGTGACATTACCCTATTAACAAATATTTGCATATCAATCAATGTCCATAATACTATACATCAAACATACAAAATATCTGAACACTATTTATAGATCATTCTAGAACTAAGATACCTTCAGTTCAGACAAAAACTAAATTGGTAATCAATCAAAGAATAACGTTGAGAGAATACTCTACGAAACCTCGCCTTAAATACACTAGTAGCTGTTTTCCAGAGGTATGTGTTTTGTTGTCAATCAAAGAAAGTTAGGCTAATTACAGGTTCAACTATATACTTTTAGTTCAGTCAAAAACTAAATTGGTAATCAATCAAAGAATGTTAGACTGTAATTACAGGTTCAACTATGGAGTGAATGTTAATCATTTCTTAGGTCAATAGTTATTTTATGTATCAGACTATTTGCAGTTTAACAGTTTGTAAGAACATAATTTAAATACAATATTTAACACCCTATACACCACTTCTTATATCAATTCCAATTGGATAGATATCTGTAACAATAGCAAGAATAACTTCAACACCCTAGAAACCTTAGTGTAAGGATGTTATTAATTACATTGAACAATGTACACTGTACACATCATGATGTTACTGCATGTTTCTGTTTTTAGGAATCCAAGACTTATAGGGTCTAGTTGATCTATCATTTATAGAAATCTGATCATGTTGTAATTTAAGATCAAGCGAACTAAAATTTCAAAATTTTCAATTGCAAAACAAATTTTCTCCCTCAATTGGCATGTTGGCTGTAATGCTTCAATGAGGATCACATACAATTATCACTGTATCTGTGAAGTTGTCGCACTTGGACATAGGTTCAAAGAATGCTTTATATTATAGGAATGAAAAGACTGAAAAAAACTGATGACCAGAACTGAAAAATCAACATTAATTGATAACAATAAATAAATAAAAATCTATCATATGTTTTCTAGAAAAGTCTTCAAAAATATTCATTCTATTCTTTATATAGAGGTTACCTGTTGTATGTAGATGGCCATTGCAGCGAAGTTATCTCCATATAAAGCATACCAGAAGTTTAGACATTGACCAGTAGCACTAGTTGGTGGTAAAGTTGGTGATATTAAACGTCCTTTAGTACCTTTAGCAGATACTGGTTGGGATCCAATGTACATATAGTTACCTTAAAGATAACAGAATGATGTAAATTAAATTGACTATCAGGTTGAAGTATAATACTTTAAACAAAGATAGGTTGCCAGGCAATGAAACATATGCCCACAGCAGCTAAATCATCCAGACAGTCAACAAGAGTTGTTGCATATTTTTTCTTTTGTCAGTAATGAAACATTTATAATATACTAAAATCTGATTAAGAGTAAAAAGAGTAATTATCAGAAAATCATTAGAGTTTGTTTGGATTCTAGTTCTGCCCACGCTAACATTAAGTATACAAACTATTTAGCTGTTCAAGTTATCAAAAATCATTGAAAATCAATATATTTGTTTGTCTGAAGACTGTAAATAAACTCTGTGTATCAATCTAAAGTCAATTGAATGAATAATCAAGGGCCATAACTATGGCAGTAATTATCAAAAATCGTTGAAAATCAATAGGATTCTACAAGATTTCTCAAAGTGATCAAGGGCCATAACTCTGACATTAATTATCGGAAATTGTTGAAAATCAACAGGCTTCTTCATCTTATGACCTTAAACACTGTGTATCAATTTAAACTCAATCAAATATTTACTTTAGCCTCTAGAGCGTCCACAAGCAATTTTGGCACAGGTCAACATTTCAATGTGGGTGATTAAAAATTCAATTAAACAACTAATTTTAGAACATCATTTAAAAAATAAGTTTCTTACCATTTTTACCAGTGCCTAATGTATGATCTGCTGTGGGTTTACTGCCAAATTTGTTGACTTGTGTTGATATTCTGATCCAATCAAAATCATCCTGCTGTGAATCGGTCCAACCACATTTATCAGTTTCAAAATCACAGTCACCTGTATATAAAAATATATACAATATGATTAATCCAAAATAACAAATAGGTTAATCCATGGCCATATAGAAAAACACATTCTGTGTATGAGGAAGAGTTATACTGGGATTAATCAATGTAGCACTTAGCACTGTAACCCAGGTATCATTTAATTTTGTGTATCTAGCACTAATTTCTTTCACACATGTTTAATATCAAATCTTTGTTTAAAAATTCATAAAATCACCAAAAATCATCTAATTTGTACTTGTGAACTTGTGTCCAGTTTAAAGGTGACTGATTAATTTTGATAATGAGTGTCCAATTTACAAGTATTTAATTTCCTGACCACTGTTCAAAAATTAATCATTATACATCATTAATCAATTGGGTTGTTTATTTTTTAACAGTGGTTGAGAAATTAAACAGTTGTAAATTGGACACTCATTATCAAAATTGAATGGTCAGCTTTTAACTGAACAGAGGTACAAATTAAATGATTTATGGTGATTTTAAACAGTTTTTAAACAAAGATTGGATATTAAACGAATGTGAAAGAAATTAGTGCTAGATACACAAGATTAAAAATGATACCTGGGTTACAGTGTAGTATCCATGTTATAACAAATATTAATTACTAGTAAGTTTCAAATACTTATCTGATATACACATGGTAAGATTGGTTACTATATTAAAGCCCCAACATGTCAGAATAAAGGTTAAGTGTATAAAGAGTATGACCATACTAAACAAAAAGTATGTTTATTAAAAAAATTAATTTGTTATGACCATCTTATACGTTTCTATTTATTTCAGATTACATGTACCATCTTCAATAATTCTAATATTTTATTTTCGAACAATTAAGCCAACCCATTCTATTGATAACATTTTTACAGATGTGCTTAATAATATTAATCTTTACATTCAAAAAGGACATATTTTTAGATATGTGAACAATGTGGTTTGTTGTGCCTTTAAGAAAGAATGATAGTTGTCAAAATGACCACCTTTATATCATATAGGAAGGCATCATGACAGCTGACAACCTATCTTAATCTTACATTGGTGATTCTCCTGGAGTTTACACTGTTACTTAATACAAATTAAATCATGGCTTTAACATTTTGTCAATAACTTGCTACATTCAGGCTACGAGAGCTTTAATTGTTATGTTGGAATGTGTATGTGGGGAGGGGAAGGGGATAATTTTGTAAGGCAGTGGTATTTCCATCTATTTTTGTATTATTGATCCCAGAAAGCATTATAGGTAACAGTCAATAACAATAGGCCACATATATCTTGGAAAACTTGATTGACCGTTTAGGAATTGAATTCTCTTAATCCCACAAATTGTGACAATCAAGTGGAAAGGGAAATTTCTAAATAACTGAATGAGAAAATATCTCAACCAACCATAACATGTGGTTCTATTCATACATCATCCCTAGCAGAACTGACAAAACTAGTTGTTTTGATAAGAAAAAGTTTTAAAAAAAAAAGAATTATTACCTGGTATTGGGCAGGAATCTGTTAATACAATATCATCAATACCAATATCACTAGAGTAGCCTCGACCAACCACACCTTCAAACATCACCTAAAATATATATATATACCAATATTTAAAATATTGTTTGCTTAGACAGAATTAGATATCTTGCCTCATATACTGTTTAATTAAGATGTTATGTTTTAAGGGTGTTGAAAAGGCTATAATGCACATGTGTATGTGACACAGGACAGACCTCAGGAAAAGTAAAGAGTGGCTATTGGAACCATGTCAGTTGGTGAAAACAATTGGTACCGATACCATACATGTCTGAAAAATATCTTTAATTTTAATACAACATTAAATTGCCAGCCATAACATGTTTTGGTGCCAATTTTTATGATCGGTTGAATAACTTTTAATGGTTCCAGTGTTTGAGGGCACCTCTAAATGTTGTTTAGATTCTTTTTGAAGACTAGTTAAACAATGATTTGATGGCAGAGGTATGTAGTCGAACGATCCCAACAAGTTTGACAAAAAATCGCAAAGAGTTTTCTGTGAGAGTAGTATGTGATCTACGGGGTCAAAGTGGGACAAATGTCCCGGACCTCCCAAATTTGTAGATCAAAGGTCAATTTTATGACTGAGAGATTCTATGAAAATTATGAAGGTCATTCTCCGGGCTCTGTTTTGATCAACAATCAGGGACCCCATTTTAACTCCTGACTGCTGAATTCAATATAGCCCCTTTTACACAAAATTGAATATTTGCACTGCAATGGACAATACGTTTTTATTTTAATTCAGTCCCCCTCCAAACCCCATTGACTTGTCCTGCCCCCTCCCCTACAAGATTAATCCAGCCCTCTGTGAGTGACAAAAACACTGTGTAAAATAAATGAGCTACTCTGAGTTCAGCCTATATAAAGCATACATGTAGAGAGAGAGGGGGTAATGACAATATACACCCACATGTAAAAAGCTAAATAACTGTCTTAAACTTACTGTAGCATTAGTGAAGTCTGGTAACGATACATAATCTACTTTCCATTGATCGCCTTGGTTACCTTTCAATGACCATATTGGAGGTGAACTTGTAGTTGATGCTGCTGTCTGGAGATAGATGTTCAAGGTACCCATGGTGTTTCCATGCATATGATACCAGAAGGTCAAACATTTCCCGTTAGATGGAAGGAAAGGTGCTGTTGTCAATCTAGCAATGTCACCATATTTTCTGGGAGCTGATGCCTCAATGTACATATAATGACCTGAAATATTATCAAAATAATCTAATTACTTTAAAATTAGAAATTAATGCATCATCAATATGTGTATTGAAATTAATTTGATAAACACATCTTTGTTATGCGATCAAGATTATAGATGAGCATCTAATTAATGTTTGGAATGACAATTTAATCAAACTGAGATTAAATCAATCACCTATTTTTTTAAAAACAAATAAATTATCCACAATTATATATTATATATCATAATGCAGATAAGTTTTCTTTTTAACTAACCTGAAGTAGTTCCTAAAGTATGATCAGTTCTAGGACCAGTTCCAGTTGAACTTGTTGCCTGCGATCCTACTGACCAATCAAAAGTATCCCGTTTATCCTGTACATAGTGGCATTTAGCAAACTGTTCAAAAGTACAATCTATTGGTGACTGAGATCCTACATCAAAAACAAAATGTAATATAATTTTCATATATCTACATTACATAGTATTTCTGTATCACATACATTTTTCGAAGAAAATGTACCTCTATTTTCTTTTTTTCAGGTTAAAGAGTTGAAAAAAATATCTTTATAAGCAGCATGAATCTAGTCCTACCTTGCAAACAGGAGCCTGGAGTCATGGAAATATCATCTATAGCTATATCACCCTTGTAATTTGTTCCTCTTACAGCTTCAAATACAACCTACATATAATAGATCATCAAAATCATGAATAATGGCTTATTTCACCAGTTTTCTAGAAAATGGGATTGGAAAAATGTAAGAAAAATTAAGGTTTTCCCTTTACCAATACCGAATATCTGGGACCATAAGTTCTGGGTAATGCCAGAGTTGAACGAGCAAATAAAATGACAGATTATAATGAACAAAATTCCAGAGGAAAATGTTAACTTACATTAGTCATTGTAGCTGTAAGTGATCCACCAGATATCTGTACAAAAGCTCCTTTCCAGCTGTTACCTTGTGATTTGGACTTCATCCATATTGGTGAACCAACAACAGTTCCATTAGACAGATAAACACTCAACCTAAGGTATAAGAAAAGCAGATATCATAGTTACCAGGATTATACTTATGCTTGACAAATATGAAATATTGAAATAAGGTCAGAATGAATGTAATTTAATACAATGTTTTGGTCATAATTCCTTTTTAAGCACCCTAAAAACTCTTGATGACAGTCGTCTCTTGAATGCCACGATTAGGCTAAAATGTTAGTCATTTAAAGATAATTTCCCACAAAGGTATTTATCAGGTGGTTATTTCCAATAAAAGTATAGCAATTTCGGTACATATGGAAAGTAGAAACATCCAATCTTATTAGAAAAATGCTGGATTCCCTGAAAAACACCCATGGAGCGCATACAGGACAGAAATGTAAGGGTTTCCCTAACCGGCAACCCGACGATTAGGGATGTCTATGCGAAGATTGTATGGTGATATACTTGATGGTGAGCTGAAAAATACAACAGTTTCTGAGATAAAAACCATGGAAAAAATCTTGGGCAGTATATAATCTATGAAATTAATTAGGCTTTAATATTTATAATAAATGGACAGCGCTTTCAAAAAGACAACATCATCTTGTATATGCAATGAATTCTTCCCCGGCTTCGCACCTGTTGCTAGGTAGTAGTCAGCCCCATCACGTGACACAAACATGACCTCTTTTTAATAGAATTTTTATAGCAGGGGTATTCGATCTCAAATACAATGTTTTGAAAAGGATTTGAAGCAAAATTTTGATAAATTAATTAGTTTGAATATGTTTTTACTCCAAATATATCATCAAATCACCCAGTTTGTATGAGGGAATGTATCTTTAATTGGCCACAATAAAAACAATATATTTCTATTTCAAAGCAGAAATCCCCAATGCCACCAAACAGCATTTAGATAAATCAACAGATCCTGATTATCCACCAGCTTTACTTTAACTTACCCTTAATATTGACACCAAAATTGGACCTAATTACAACTAAGTTTTTGTAAGTTATAAAGGAACAAATATTTTTTGATTGCTACAAACCAAAACTTTACAGGTGCTTTATTGATGACATCTTGGGGAATCAAATTATTCTATGGATGATCTCCTTGTACTTAATGATATATCTAATGCACAAATTTTATAATAATAATAATAATAATTTTGAATTTGTATAGCGCCTCTCATCTAGAACTGTTCTACTCGATGGCGCTGAGCTGCACTGTCACGTTTGGTATTCACAGTTAAATAAGTGAGGATGATTTAAAGGACTCTAAAGTTCTGGATTCCTTTAATGTTGCTGGGAGTTTATTCCATTGGATGGGTGCTGCCGCTGAAAATGCCCTATCACCACCTGATACTTTCAACGTTTTTGGAACAACAAGGTTGTGTTTTGATGTTGATCAAGTTGTTCTTTCTCCACTTTTGATTTGTATAAGATCACTCAGGTAGTTAGGAGCTAAACCATGGATGCACTTGTAAGTGAGGAGGATTATCTTATATTGAATACGTCTGTTTATGGGGAGCCAGTGGAGGGATTTGAGCACTTATCTCATGTATCGTTTTTTGACATAATCATCACCATATCAACAAAGAGACCCACATACAATACACTTGTGCTAAAATACCTTTTCTCCATTCCTTTGGCTCAAAACAATCTGCTATGTACATGGATTTCTATGCTTAATCTGAGAAAATGACTTTGTTTTTCCTTAGATCACATCTTTTGGATCACCATTTTTTAAATACGCACTACATAGTTTTTGGGTTTGTTATTTTTACCCCAAGACGGCTTCTCTCAAAAATGTATTAAATTACATTATTTCATAACCTAAATGATACAATCCCATTACAAGTTGACACTTAAAGTAGCAGTATTCTACCTGAAATTTTTCTGAAATTTGTTTCACAGAAGAAGCCCTACCATTAAATATTTACAAAGCAGTACCTGTTTATTGTAGGTCCAAACATATGGTAGAAGAATTTCAGACATTGTTGAGCTGCTCCGTTGATCTTAGGACTAATCAATCGAACCCTGTCTCCATTTTTATGTTTTCCTGATGTTTCCATATACAAATAATAACCATCTAAAAATAGTTTTATACAGAATAAAATGCAGGTAATACCCATATATACACAATAAAATACAAAAAATACCCATATAAATATATCTATACACAATAAAATAAAAATAGTACTCATCTGAAAATACATCTATACACAATAAAATACAACTAATACCCATCTGAAAATACCTTTATACATAATATATTACACAAATGATAACACATCCCATCTATACACAATAAAAAAAACCCAAAATACCTGTCTGAAAAAAAACTCTATACACAACAAATAGTACCTCTATACACTAGAAAATACAAATGTCCTTAGCCCATTCTGTCACTCAAACACCACCCCTACATTAAGACAAGTCAATATTAATATTCTTACTTCCAGATGTATGATCTCCTACAGGTCCAGTTCCAGCAGATGTTGTCTTTCCCTTCCTTAACGACCAATCATATCTCTTAGTATCTGTTGTTTTATCTTGAGTCCATTTACATAATCCACTCTCAAAACCACAGTTAAAGCCATCTTAATGAAAGTAAAAAATCTTAAATTTAGCTAATTTAATTTTTTTTAAATAAAAGAGGTCTACTTTACATATTTGCATTTTGATTTTAGATGATAATAATACTAAAATATATTTTAATGAAGCTTTTTGTTATTATCACAATACGCTATAGCGAGGTATCATAAAACAGAACTATCTATTTCTATTTTTAAATACACTGAAATTTCGTCTATTAATGTGTTATATTTTATTTGCTACTACCTGGTATTATAGCTGGTGAAATAGTTGTAGATGGAGCTGGTGTTGTTATCTGTACAGTCGCTGTACTAGGTGAAATTGTGCATGTGATACCTTTATCAAACTGAATATCATCAATAGCAATATCTCCATGAAGATTGGACCCTCTCACTGCTTTAAACATTACCTGAAGGGGGAAAAAAGTTAAATAATATAACACTGATATTCACCATGAGCTTGTTTAAAGGATTTAGCACTCTTTATAAATGGACATAATTATTATTATTACCATTATTATCTCCAAGCACAACTATTTTTATAAAACAGATTAAGTTTCATTTTTCAAATTACATTTTCGTTCTATTTGATGTTTTATTTTATTATATTTGATTTTCAGCACGTTAAGAAATAATTTGATTTGCTATAGAGTTACAATGTATGCAATGAGTGAAGATCTAATATGTATGCAATTAGTGCTGAACTTTGTATATAATTAGAGGGGTTGGATGGCTAAATGGTTAGCATGTGCACGCTGTATCATAAAGTCTGTCATTGAGTCAACTGGCATGGTTTCGATTCCCCGGTTGTACGTGACAAGGAGTAGGGTCACCTGTCCAACCTCGCCGGTTTTCTTTGGGTCCTCCGGTTTCCTCCCACTGCCAAAGACCCCTACACGCAAGCGACTTATGGAAATAAAATTGAACCATATGTTAGTCCCGAATTGACCTAGTTTGTGTTGAGTGGACATTAAACCTCTTGTATATAATCAGTGTAAAGCAACTGTTTAATTGTCCAACTGTTTTGGTAGTTTTTTTAGGTATGATTTAATTTAATACCTACTTAGTGTAAATCTAACTTGTAGTCAGTGTAAACATATCAATATATTATATAATTAGTGTAACCCAACTATATAATTTGTGTAACCCAACTATTTAATTAGGTGTAAACCTAACATGTGTCGTATAATTACTGTTATATGTAGTTCGTTCCAACAATATTGGAGTTCATTCCCTTTTGTTCATTCTTGTTGTTAGAGTTATTTCCCGTTGTTAATAAATGACCTTGACCTTCTGGTGTAAGGTGAACTAAAGGATGGCGTCGTTAGTTACTTAACTGCTTTAGCGAATTTGCTCAATCCGATAACATCGGAATGGTGACAGGTTAAGAGATCCCAATACCACATGGTGGAGATGCTGCTTGTCATCAATAACTAATTTCAACTATTTTATTAAAGAGATCCCAATACCACACATGTAATCAGTGTAAACCTATTAATATATTATGTAATTAATGTAAACATACTATATAATTGGTTGACTGTTTTGGTATCGCTATTGCTCCATTTGACCATTTGTTTCCCTGGTTTCCTGATAAACTCCAGATAGCTGTACCATTCTGTCCTATGGGCTGTACCATAACACTCAAACTACCTATACCACTTCCATACATATGGTACCAGAAGTGCATACAGTAAACATCACTAGATGAATAATCTGTACTCTGCAAGATGGCTGTATCACCTGTCGATCTTGGAGCAGATGTTTCTATAAACATATAGATTCCTAAAAAAGAAAACAACGAACTGATGATCATATTCAAAATATAAACTTCAGTTAAGCTATAGAATCAAAATAAATCCAATGAAAAGAAATAAAAAAAGAATTATTCAGAATCATAAACAAACAATCACAGCAAAATCACAAGAATACCCAGTATATTTTAGTACCTTTCAAAATCTTATAAATATTTGGAAACAATTAGCATTTCGTCACAAGATACAGAATAAGACAACCTATATTGATCAATCCAGTTTGTAACAAGTGACATAAATTGTTTGTTTGTAAAATATTAAATATACACTATATTTACCTTTACCAGTGCCAGTTGTATGATCAGTTGCTGGTCCTGTACCAGATGATCCTGTTGATCCCTTTCCCTGAACCCAATCAAAATCATCAGCTTGAGAATTACTCCAAGAACATAAATTGGATTCAAAAGTACAGTCACCTGAATAAATAAAGGAATTGTTACATTTAATACCTCTTTAATAAATTAAATCTGTCAAGGGTTCAAGGAACTCGACATGGTTTATTCCTAAAGTGTCATTAATTCACCTGGATAATCTAAATAATCAATAAGTTCAGTTTTATAATTAGCTAAAGAGTTGATTAATGGTTGACTGACACATTTTTTTATTCAATAAGCTTTGCTTGATAAAATTCTGTAAATTTTTAATGTGTTTGTAATCTTTATAGTCTAGTAAATAAACATGCCGATTTTTGAATTTATATAAAGGTAACTAACTATAATCATTTGAGAATCTTAAAAAAAAAAATATCATGTTGATTAGTATCTGGCTCAAGTATAACTTGTCATCTAAGAGCTAATCTTATCTTAATCACATGGTTTATCACCCTTGACACATGACTCCTAACAGGGTGTCAAATAAAGGCCTGAGCAAAATTATGATATTTTGTCGCTGGTAGCCAGATTTCCCACTTCTAAAGACCCCTACGAGCAAACGAGTTATTGAAATAAAATGGAACCATGCGTTAGTCCCGAAATGACTTAGTTTGTGTCGAGTGGACGTTAAACCCCATTTCTCTCTCACTCCCCTCTTGGATCAAAGCCGTTTATTAATAAAGGGAAGTAACTCAGCACAAAGATCTCAAGAAGGCTTCTGACTACTATTTCTTAATAATATGAATAATTTGGTTTAATAACGGAATATATAACAATAAAGCTACAAAAACATTAAATATTTATTAATTTAATAAATTACCTGATTGTCCACAAGTTCCTCCCTTGATAGAAACATCATCAATAGCTATATCACTAAAATAAGGTGCACCCATTTTAGCTTCAAATACTATATTTATATTACCGACTCCAGCACTAATCTTCAGCTCAGCTCGCTTCCACAGATTACCTTGATTACCTATAATAAATATAAATTACATATCTATCTTTACTATTCATCAACGGCTCTAGGTTCAAACTTCTACAATGGTTATCATTGTCATGACAATATTCTAATCTAAGTGAAAACAATATAAACAGCCTTTATTGATCACAAAGCATGGAATAATGATATTGTTTCCAAAATTAAATGTTGATTAATCTGTGAACCTGGAATATAATTGAGAAATCTGAACAGAATGATGTTCCCTTCAGATTAAATAGTCCACACAATTTATGAAATATCTATCAAAATATAATTGTCAACTTAATTTATAAAACATCTGTTAAAATAAAACTTAATTTATAAAATATTCATTAATATAAAACTTAATTTATAAAATATCAACTTAATTTATAAAATACCTATTAAAATAAAACTTAATTTATGAAATATCCGTTAAAATAAAACTCTCAGCCTAATTTGTACAATATCCAACCTTATTTATACAATATCTGTTAAAATAAATTTTGTCATCCTGATTTTTAAATATGTTATAATAAAATTGTCAACCTAATTTTTAAATTGTTAAAACAAAATTTGGCAAGCAGCATTAACTGGAACATTTCTGAAATTAAAAGATTAATAAAACCAACCTACCTGATTCACTCCAGTAAAAAGATCCTAAGTTTCCTCCCTTTTGTATATAAACATTGAGATTTCCAGTTGTTCGTCCGTACATATGATACCAGAATTCTAAACATTCATCAGTTGCACCAACAGTATGTGGGGAGGAGATGAGAAGGGCGTTGTCACCTGTTTTTCTTGGTGCTGATGTTTCTATGTACATGTAATGACCTAAAAGATTGAATGATATCATTTATGTTTCATAGCTGTTAAAAGAGAAACAGCTCCCTTACTATCTTACATAGTGAATAAAATGATAAATGGGTATTATATTCAGAATGCTCTAGCATTTTAGGTCCTAGGGCTAGCTTTATTAATAAGGTAAAATTGACAAAAATATGCATTTCAACCATGAAAATTCATCTTTAATTCATAACTACTGAACATAAGGGTGGACATAGACTATAATCAGTATATCTTTGTGCATTAACATCAAACTAATGTATAAAAAAAACGACTTCCGTACAATGTTTCAACTGATCACTGTCATAAGATAATTAAGAGAGAATTATATAGATGAATTTACCAGCAGCTGTGCCGTATGTATGATCAGCAGTTGGTCCAGTAGCAACTGAAGATGTTCCAGCGTTATCTCTACTCCAGTCAAATTTATCAGCTTTCGATTGGGTATAACCACAAATCTTTGCATCTTCAAAATCACATGATATTCCTGCACTTACATTAACATTAGCAACTGAAACAAAATAAACATGGATTCAAGGTCAGCTAATAAATGTGCTGTTTAAAGTATCGTCAACCCACCTTTTTGGTCATTCTGAGACTAACATATGGTTATTTGTTATGGTCATGTTGTAAATACTACGGAGAATTTTGCCCGGAAAGCAAGAATTATGCCTACTTTTTGTCAAATTCCTCAATTTTCAGCCTATCCGAAACAAAGGAAACACTTTTCTTGTGCTACCCCTGTTAATTGACTGACTATTGTATCACTGATGCATATTTGGTTTTGCATGCCTTTTAAAATACTCTTTTCTATAAGTACTATTACATTTGTGATACATTCTTCAAGATCAAAGAGGGAAAAGTTGTATAGGCAGAGATTGTCCACACAAAACAAACTAGGTCATTGTAAAACTAACATTATGGTACATCTTTATTTAAATAACATCTCTGACATGCTGGGGGGTTTAGCAGTATGAGAAAAAGGGGAGAACCCAGAAAAATCAGCCAGGTTAGACAGGTGACGCGACTCCTGGGTGCATAAAAGCACGGAATCGAATCACAATAGTTGAATTGCTGATAGGTCTTATGACATGTTAGACCACTCGATCAGCAAGCCAAATTTCCGGACACAGCTGTTTCTGTTATATTTTAATAGTATGATAAACCAGAAAGACCATAGTACCAGAACAGAGTCAAAAGATAAAATGCACAAGGCTCACTTATAACCTGGAATCACAAGTAAAAGGAAAGTGTGTTTTGTCATCAAAAAGCCAATATCCCTTATTTGTAAATGTGTAAAAACACCAATAGGAATTACATTTGTAATAATGGTCAAAATAAATATTTAAACTCCAAGAATTTGGGTTCAGATAAGATTAAAATGATTGTTTAACATACCTGCCTGACAAGCTCCATCACCAAGAGTAACATCATCAATAGCTATATCTCCTCTATAACCATTACCTACACTGGCTTCTATTACAACCTGCAAATAATAATAATGTATATTTATATAGCGCCAATTCCATCCAAAATTACATGCTCAAGGCGCAGTCATGACACTCTGTACACTTTACACTAGTAGCTTGATCACTCGTATTCTAGATTAAATAAATGAGTTTTCAATTTTGTCTTAAACAATTCAAGCGAACTTGATGTTTTAATGCTGTGTGGTAGGGAATTCCATACAATTGGCGCATAACATCTAAAAGATTTATAACCAAAGGATTGCAATTTGAATTTCGGTATGTGTAAAAGGCACTGTACTTGGGAACGAAGATTTCTTAATGGTTCATAAACTTACAAAAGTTCAGTCAGATATTCTGGGCTGGATCCATGTAAGCATTTAAACACAAGACACAAGATTTTGAACGTTATTCTGGAATGTACTGGCAACCAGTGAAGTTCCTTCAGAATAGGTGTTATATGAGAGCGTTTTGATGTTTTACTTATTATTCTCGCAGCGGTGTTTTGAACAGCTTGTAACTTTGACATTAATAATTGGTTCAGGCCACATAAAACACCATTGCAATAGTCTAACCTAGAGAACACTAGAGATCGAATGAGAGTATGGGCTGTTTCATTTGTCAGAAGATGCCGGATATTTCCAATGGCACAGAGATGGAAGTAACATACTTTGCAAATGTAGTTGACATGTGTTTCCATTGTTAGGGCTGAATCGAGCATCACTACTAAGTTTTTAACATTAGTCAGCGCCTGAATGTCCGAATCGGCAATCGTTAAAGTAGTAGAGTCTAGGTTTGATAAATTTATATTTGTTCCGACAAATAAAACCTCAATCTTAATACTGATTAATATTTACAGTTCTACTGCTAAAATAAACACAATGATATCTGAAAATGCAAATGATGGTCCACATCTTTAAGTTTCCAAGGATTCTTTACAATAAAAGTATTGTATAACTAACCTGATATGATGTTTTGACATTAACATCTACTAAAACTTGGTGCCATTTTTGTCCTTTTGTTCCTTGTCGATTAAAGACTGGTTTACCTAGATTTGGCCGTGTTTTAATGTAAACATTAAGATTATCTACATGGGTTCCATACATATAAAACCAGAATATCAGACATCTTGGAGTACCTCCATCTACCTGTGGACTCACAAGTCGTGCTTTATCTCCTTTCACCCTTGGCGTAGACGTCTCGATATACATATAATAGCCATCTGAAAAAATAACTAACTATAAGACTGAACTGTAACTAAATTTCTGAAATTATAATATTACTGAGCTCACTCAGATGAGAGAGAGAGAGAGAGAGAGAGAGAGAGAGAGATCAACATCCACTCAACACAAACTAGGTCATTTTGGGACTAACATATGGTTCAATTTTATTTCAATACTTCACTTGTGCGTAGGGTCTTTAGCAGTGGGGGGAAACCAGAGGACCTGGAGAAAACACACAAGGTAGGACAGGCGACCCTAATCCTTGTCACGTACAACCGGGGAATCAAAACAACGCCAGTTGACTCAATGAGAGAATCAATGATACGGCGCACACATGCTAACCATTCGGCCATCCAGAAATAACAAGTATTAAGAGAGATAGTTTATGCATGTCACACCAGTTTCATGCATATTAATTAGGATATCTTAGTTCACTGACTTACCTCTCTCTTGTTATTCATTTTACAGGGACATAAATATTTTTGCAGTTAATTAAAAACTTGGGATTTTGTAATGGTACTTATATTGAATATCCAGGACCATTTACTAGTCCATGTGGGCGCAACAGCTGTGCACGTGACAGAGCGGTTTGATGTGGTCGAAGAACTAAAGGGTTAATGTCATAATGCTTTCAGAGATAGTATTCTTACATGACAATAACCTTTTTTTTAAAAAAAAAAAATTACAAGCGCAACACTACTTACTTTTACCAGAATGATCAGATGTGGGACCAGTGCCAAGTGTTTGTGTTGATCCATGATTTCTTAACCAATCAAATTGATCTGTTTTGTCTTGTGTCCAGGTGCATAAATTAATATCAAAATCACAATCAAATTTTCCTGTAGCTAGAAATAATATAGAACACCTTGTAAATATTAAACTGTATCAATTTACAAATCATTGAAAAAGATATTGAGACATTGAGATATAGATACCACTGAAATCATTCTAGAACTTATCCAACAAAAAATTACATTTCCTAACTACTTGTGTCATTTTCAATTCAATAGCTTTAAAATTTCAGAACACATTTTTCAGGTAGCCTCACCCCTTAAATAAAGAGATGGCCGTTCTTGCTATAATAGTTTAAAAATAGATTATGAAAAATTACTATATTGAAAATTTCATTCAAATTACTTTATTGAGTTAAGTTATGACAAGTTTAAGGTTTTGACAAGATCTAGTGTTGATTGTTGATTATCGTAGCAACCGTACTTGACATTCAAGACTAAATCTTTATTATCCATTTTATCATTAACTTTAATGTTAGTTTCAGTTTTGAAATCACTTTAATGAATACTGGGTTAAAGTCCTAATGTGCCATTGTCATGTCGCTAAAATATCAAATTTCTCACGGCCTTAATCCATGTTAGTATGTACTCAGATTGATATTTAACATTCAATTAAAAAATAAAATTAAAATACCAACGCTAAATAATATTCCGACTTGGATTCAAGCAGATTTAAAACAGGTCTATCGTTAAATTTTAATGGACAGCAAAATAGCTATGGGTTTAGGGCATAGCGAGCAGTATAGATCGATGAAATGACAATCTGATATATCTTTTTGAATACTGAACAGAATTGAACCATTTTTTTTTAATGATATTCCTATATAGGTTGATGTGTGGCTGTGTGTACAAAGATTCATACAGCTGTCTTTAAGCTTTGAGATATACTTTGGAAAGACTTGAGCTTATTCGACACTGGACAACAAATCTCTAAAAGGACCCCTTGTTTCGTTATAAAAAATGACAATCAAATGACAAAAAAAGTAACCTGGTGTAGGGAGTGGAGTAGTGGCCAGAGATATTGGTTGTGTATTGTTCACAGCAGCTTTTGTAGGTGTAACTGTAAATAAAATTGTTTAAAACATTCAATACAGCTCAAACCAAATTTATAATGTCTAGTTAATTTGTACAAGTTTTTAGCAAAGGTATAGGTGATTACTACAAATAATTTTTTAGTGAAATGAAATGGAATCGTGTTTAACATCCTACTGTTCTGCCCCGACTGGGCTAACGATGACAGTCAGGCATATACCATAGGTTGCCATGGGGGAAATTTTGCATGGAAGGCAACGCTACGACCTACTCTCATATTGAATTCCAACAGTCAAGGGTTCTTTTAAATGCATGCCAATGTGTACACAGTACCTCGTTTTTTTTTTTTTGTCTCACCCGAATGACTATCGGTTCTCTACCAGGAATCAAACATAAGACTTACAGTTTTAGCGAGCCAACATCTTTCTCATTAAGACGTGACTCAAAATATTTTTTTTTTGTTTTTTTTTTTTTGGTGTGCATATGAAAAGGATATTTACCTCCACAGTTTGATTCCGTAAATGAGACATCATCTAGGGCTATATCTCCTGCTATTCCTGTAGATCGTTCACCTTCAAACGCCATCTATATGATATAAAAAAAAAATACAGAGATTAAAGAAAGATAACAAGTTAGATCAAAACTGAATGCATATAAGCAACTCGTACTATTTCAAAATAGTCAGCATATTAATTTATACAACTGAAAATGTAAAATTACTTACCCTGTAGTTTACTGGTGATACAACTGGAACATGTCCATTCTGCCATTTGTCACCTTGGTCACCATGAAGTTGCCATAGCGATACATTCTGACCAGTGCTAGCCACCAAATAAACAGTTAAGTTTCCAATCTGTGCACCATTCATACTGTACCAGAAGTTGAGACATCGTGTTTTAGTAGGTGGGTATAATGAACTCAATAGCACTGCTTTATCATAAATCTTCCTAGGGGATGAAGCCTCGATATAAACATAATGTCCTGAAATAAATCAGCTTACCTTATCAGTTTGTCAACTATTTAGTCCAACTATATCATTTGATTTGGTTCAATTAAAAAACTATTTAGGGATATCAATTACTATAGTAATATCACTGAGAATTTAATAATGAAAATAGTATGTTTTTTCTTCTGATGCATACACACTGACATGTGCGGTACAGTCTTGCACAAGTGGGTTTCGGGTCCTTCACTAGACCTTACAGGTTTTCCAAAAATGTTGTGACTCTTACATTTTCTGTTTTCATATTTTCCCTGAGAATGTGTATCTAGTGTTAGTGGTGTATTCTTGCAGTTTTCAAATAGAACTAGAATGGTTCTATGGGATGGATTTTAAAGCAACTCTCTTTTATTGTATTTCTATTTTATGGTCAAAAATTCAACAACATGCATGTGTTTAAAATTTGTAAAATAAACGTAACTCCTGATAGAAGCATAGTATTAATTTCAAACAGAGAGATAAATCAGTAAAAGTCTTATTTACCCTTAGGGGATTGTACTGTATGATCTGTGATGGGTCCAGTAGTCCTGGAGGATGTCTGACCTTGACCTATGATCCAATCAAAATTATCTCCTACTTGTTGGTTTCTCCATGTACAAAAATCTTTCTCAAAATCACATTCACCTATAATTAATTGAAATAAAATGGAATGGGGTTTAATGTTCTAATGTAAAATGTTCCGACCGGGCATATGTTATACAGTGGACAGTGTAACCCCAGCCTACTCTTACATTCAAATTTCAACTGTCAAGGGTTCTTTTACAAGCACGCCAATGTGTACACAGAGCCGCTGTTTTTCACCCTATCCAAATGAGTATACATTGTCCCTTGCCAGGCCCACTGTCATAAACCACTGACATGTGGGAACCTCACCAGACAATCCCGATGAACTTTCTTGACCAACACTGAGATCGAACACAGAACCTTTAAGTTAGCGATCCAACGTCTTACTCACTGTTCAACCACGATTCCCTGATTAATTTTTGAACAAAACTATTTTTACAAATTGTGCTAAAATTCCAAACTGAATAAGAATCAAATCAGTAAGAATTTGGATCATATTTGAAATCTTAATATTAATTAGTTCGATTTAGATCAAAAACATCTAAATTCATTTGAGCAAATGTATTCAGATTAGGACTCCAATCCATTACTGTCTTACAAACTGATCCAACCTAAAACTTTGTCTTTTTAGCCTAAAAAAATTAAAAGAAATGTCAAAACAAAACAAAAAATCAATCTGAGAGAGGACACCATTTATCAGGAAATGAAAGAGACATGTGTTTATACCTGAATATTTTGTATTAAAGAAGGTAAATACCTTGATCTGCACAAGCCCCATCTACAACGCTGATATCATCTATAGCTATATCACCCAGGTATCCATTACCTACAACACCTTCAAACACAACCTGTTATAAAAAAAACAACACAGATGATATAATAATCTTTTAACTTTAATCTACATCATTTTGGGATATTAGCCATGATGGCTCACTAACAAGGAGGTCCCAGGTTCGATCCCAGTGCTAGCCGAGAAAATTCCTCAGGACCTTCCAACCTGGTTTTCCATTGTTAGTGGTTTAATATAAAGGGGAAGGGCAAGGAAATGTGTCTAGTCATCTGAATGAGATAAAAAAATGGGCTATACTATATACCGGTAAACACCGAAAAACACCCTGGAAAACTACCGGAAAACACCATGTTATACTGAATACCGGAAAACACCGGAAAAACACTAAATACCGGAAACCACCCTAAATAGTTAACCCGGAGAAGGGCTATACTATAAACCGGAAACTAACCCTAACCCTAACCCAGGCACACAGAGGACCAGGCTCCCGGTTACCTATTTAGGGTACCAGTCTCCGGGTTACCTATTTAGGGTATTTTCTGGTATTTAGTGTCTTTTCCGGTATTTTCCGGTATTCAGTATAAAATGGTGTTTCCGGTGTTTTCCGGTTGTTTTCCGGAATATAGTATTGCCGATAAAAAATAGAGATCCTGTGTACACATTGGCATCCACATAAAAGATCTGTGTCAAATTTCCTCTATATCTCACTTCAAGACGTAACTCTCTCTGCATTAGTGTAGAAACTGCATTTCATTTCATTCCAAGATATTTTATTCTTAAATTGATTCCACTTGATATTTTTAATGTAACCGCATATTTGATCAATTATTAATGTCTGCATTTTATTCATGTATTTTATTTCATACAGAGCGCAAAGAGTACATTGCAGGCGTGACAACAAAAGTGTAGATATAAAGTTTCAGAATCTAAAAAATGTTACCTGATAAGGTTTTGTCAGCTGGGATGATTTTAGTGTGATCATACCCAGAGACCATGCTGCACCATGATTACCAGATTCCGTCCATATAGCATTACTTAAAACATTATTTGTCTTCAACTGTTAACAAAAAAAAAATATCTATGGTAAATAGAGAAAAATAGTTTGCCAGTCAATTAAACATAAAAAGAGAGAGAGAAATGGGGTTTAACGTCCACTCGACACAGAGTAGGTCATTTCGGGACTAACATATGGTTTTTAATTTTATTTCAATATTTCGCTTGCGCGTAGGGGTCTTTAGCAGTGGGAGGAAACCGGAGAACCCGGAGAAAAGCCACGAGGCTGGTCAATTAAACATACATTCCCCACCAGATTATAAGTTCCCTGAGCAGTTCATAAAAAGATATTACTATTTTAGGCTTTTGAATTATTTCTCAAGATTCTGTGTGCTTATAAGGTTAAATGACAAATTGAAACTAAATTATAGTTCTAACTAGCTGTTTACATGGCCATGAATGGTTTGAACCCTGAACCTAAAGTAGTATAACTCTGGAAGTGGTAGTCAAACAGAACCAGACCTATGTCACTCCCTGTCTCAAGTTGCCCCTATTTCAAAAAATAAATATATATATATAGATCTGAATCTAATATATGATCAATTCCAATAAATTAAAAAAAAAAAATCAAAGAAACAGTGACTGTTATGTGCCTAAATGGTTTTGATGAATGGGGTATTAATTCTACAAATACCTTAATGGGCATGACATGGAATTTCAATAAGTTTCTCAGATCTACACAGTGATCAAACAAATTGGAATGGGCCAATGAACAGGCAGTTTATGACAATATACAACATTCGTAAAGTAAAAATCTAATAGTAAAAGGATTAATTACAAAAAATCTGATAATGATGACAACCATTTGTCAATAATGACCAAGCACAACAACAAAAAGATCATGTCAGAATTTAGAAGTGATCATACTCGATAGCTCATTAACTACAATTTAAAACATGTATATATAGATAATTACCAGTAAATTAAGAGAACCAATATGAGAACCATACATATGATAGTAAAAACGGAAACAGGCTGTAGCCTTTAAAGCTGGTCGTTGATTTGTAAACAATCTTGCTTTATTTCCTTGCTTTCGGGGTCGTGATGTTTCAATATACATATAATGACCTGAAATAAACAACACATAATACTTTGAATATTATCTCTATGAAAATACAAATTTTGGTCATTTTTGTCAGTCATTGTCTGGTGGTCATAAAAATTACTGACAAATCGTCAAGAAATTCAATTTAGGTGAAAAATATTCAGATTTTCCAGACAATATCCAATTTTTTATGGCTTAATCGAATTAATTATTTAACATTTAATTTAAAAAAAAAAAAAAAAAATCAAAATATCACAGGTAGACAATCTCCTGACCTAGATTCAATCGGATCAAAACAATTATAGGTGATCCCCACTTGTTTTGACCACATCTTGTTTATATCGTCTGTAGAAGATGCCGAATAATGACAAATTTTCAATACATCATATCTTTGTAAATACTACTAAAAACTAAATAAATTTTAAACACATGTTCCTTTCAGACCTTCAATCTTCTAAATATTGTTGTTTGCAAGTGACGATAACTTACTTGAACTAAACAAACTTTATACAGATTTTTAGTGAGCAAAAAGTTTTCTGAATAATTTTATGTACATGTGTTTCGAAATGCATTCTACATTATAACTTTACCGTTTTGTGTTTCAAAATGCATTTTATTTAATAATTTTACCAGTATGTGTTTTGAATTGCATTTTACTTAATAATTTTATCAGTATGTGTTTTGAAATACATTTTACTTAATAACTTTACCAGTATGTGTTTTGAAATGCATTTTACTTGACGATTTTACCAGTATATGTTTTGAAATGCATTTTACTTGACGACTTGACCAGTATGTATTTTGAAATGTAATTTTCTACTTCTTAAATTACCTCTAAAGATGAATACAGATTAAAATACCATGTTAGTGTCTCACCTTTATTAGTGCCGTAAGTGTGATCACTTGTTGGTCCTGTTCCTGATGAACTAGTACCTCCCATTCCTCTAGTCCAATCAAAGTCATCTGATTTATCCTGTGTATAGCCACAGGTGGCATTCTCAAAATCACAAAATTGTTGTAGAGTCTGACCTGTAATAGATTATCTATAGTTAGTATCATTGACAAATAAAATAAAAAGTGAGATTCCCAACTTTTTCCACTTGCTGACCCCTGGGGACATTGTAAAAATCTCTATGGACTCCCACATCATGTTCAGTCAGTTTTCCCATATTATGGGCATTGGGAACCATTATGTGTCACAACTTTTCATGTAAATCTTTGCTAAATCCTAATATGGGTTATCTTAATTTAATAAATTATAAAACAATACATATTTTGTTAACATCACATATCCCTGTTGTCTACAATATTCACACTTACGCGTATTCTGATCAAAAATGTGGCAGATCAAACCACAGCAAAATGAACGACTCTGGTATCAGCTACTGAAATTTATTGTCCAAATACGAGCAATTACATACTGAATTGTATAATTAATTATAATCCATATAGTGTACATATGCTAAACACAGAGTGCTCGATTGTATACTTGGTTATTTTTTGGACCCCATGATGACCCCTTTGACTTTGCACTGGTCCCTAATTGTAAATGCTAGGAGAACACGGAAATAGGAGATTGACTTTGGTGCTATTATCTTACATTTTTTCCACCAGACTGAAACAATTAAAAACAAGGTGTTTCTGAGTTGTTCCATTAGATGGGATATTTGAGAAGCTTTACGATGAAATTTATTAAATGAATAAATAACAGATGTTCTCTCCCTGCTAACAGATTAACTGGCTACTTACTCTTACAATATCCATCAGTAACGTCAATATCATCTAAAGCTATATCGCCATAGATACTATTTCCCTTTACACCTTCAAATACAATCTATAAAACATATAAAATAGGATTATTTATACAACTTCAATATACAGGTGCTGGTAAAACTACTCTAATTATGGTAACTTCAACACTAAAGCACTTGGCTGATTAAAGGGGATACCTGATCTGCTTAATCTTTACTAATATTTGTGACTGTCGTTTTGTCTGTCTTTTCAGGGTTGATGGCTACACTAGCGATGTCCAGAGGCTGAAATTTGGTGTATAGGGGTAGCTTGGACTGGGGAGTAACTGAATATTATGTATATAGCTAAATTAAAGGGAAATTTGGAGTACCTCTGCTACAATACATATCAACAAATTTCATGCCATTACTCAATTTTATTCAATTTTGTACCAAATTATACAGACAAACAGCAACATTCTAGACAATAAATAATAGTTTCTTTCATGTCTTCAAGGGAATGCAATTCTCAAAGGAAGCCATTATAGAAAGAATGACAAATATCTAGGTTACCTGATATTGTTTGGTAAGTTTAACATCAACTTGAGCCTGTATCCAACGGTTACCTTGAGTTCCTGTCTTGTGCCACATAGGTGTTCCAAGATTGGAACCGGCTTGAATATACATGTTCAGTGCTTTCACATTTCGTCCGTACATGTGATACCAGAAGGATACGCATTTGATACCTTGAGCATTGATAACAGGACTCAATATTCTGGCCTTATCATTGCTTTTTCCTACACTTGTTTCAATATAAATATAGTAACCACCTAAAAAAGGAAACCTGTATTACTCAGCTATCGTAGCAATGATCTCTGTGTTAATATTATATTTGGAATGTGTTTAACCAGCTCTATCACATATGTGATAATGACTGGAACCAATATTGTCCTTTAAGCGTGGAATCGAAACCATGCCACTTGACTAAATGACAGACCTTGTGTTTTTATGTGCACACATTAAACCACTAGATTACCCAAACCCCCATTTCACGAATCAATATTCTATCTGAAAATAGGACAATTACAAATACATGTAAAGAACTAGAGTTTATCCTCCCATTAACATTTTCTTTCGGCCCAAGTTTCAAGTCATTAGATTTTTAGAAAGAACACACAGAGCTTGTGTTTTTTAAATGTATATAACAAACTTACTCTTGCCAGTTGTGTGATCAAAAGAAGCTCCAGTTTTTTTAGTTGATGTTGTTCTCCGATGTCTTTCCCAATCAAACTGATCGTCTTTAGCTTGTGTCCATCCACACCAATTACTCTCAAAATTACAGGACACAGTTCCAGGCACTGAAAATACACATTAATCAATGAGAGCTTCCAATAGTTTGACTGAATGTGGCAGTCTCTAGGTTACTCAAGTTATGTAAACAGGCTTCAGGTATCCATTTTATACAAATTCAGGACACTAGAAGGGACACTAAAAGGGAGAGAGAGAGAGAAATGGGGTTTAACGTCCGCTGGACCAAAACTTGGTCATTTTATTTCAATAATTTGTTTGCGTGTAGGGGTCTTTAGCAGTGGGAGGATAGCCGACCCAGAGAAAACCCACGAGGTTGAATAGGCGATCCTACTCCTTGTCACATACAACCGAGGAATCGAAACCACGCCAGTTGACTCAATGACAGACTTTATGAAATAGCGCGCACACGCTAACCATTCAGCCATCCAACCCGGTACTACAAAAAAAAAACATCTAAAACTGGCTCTAGACATGATAGACTTGTCATAATCTCTGGATTAAGAACAAAAATGATTTCAAGGTAGGTAAGTAACTTACGTGAAGTAAAAACTCTAGGAGTAGTTGACATGGTAGTTGTAGGTTTAGGTGTTGTCCTACCAGGAGGTACAGCTTTAGATGGACTGATAGAACAACTACCATAATGGAATGTTATATCATCTAATGCTATATCACCATACACACTGTTTCCTACTGTACCCTCAATCATAATCTACAAATAATTTACAAACAGAATCCATACTTTCATCTCCTTTTACGTCGTTTATATACATAATACAACATAATTAGGTCAAACAAATTAAAAACGTTTGTATTCAACTGCTTGAATAAGATGACTGTCCTCTGGCAATAATGGTTTAAACCAATCCCAGTAATCAGACTTTAATTTAAACAGAACGGATAGGGTTGACCAAAGATATATCCAAGTCGCAACCAAATAAAGATCTAATTTTAATAAGAAAGATGTCCAAAGGCAAGCTGTTAATGGACAATGTTAGGACACATTAATTCAGTTTGAAGGTAAGCTAGTAATGGATATAAGGGTGTATCAAACATGGACCTTATTTCCAAACCAAACATTTTATCAGCCTCACGGTAATAGTGAATAGTAGTAGGTAACGTTGATCCAAATTCTTTTGGGTAATTTAGGAGTTAAAACATTTTCTCCTACTTCAGGACACCGCAAGGCAGACCCAGATTCAGTGATTTACAAATGTAGACTATACACTTAATTTAAATCTATTAAGAAATGTATAATTTAGAAAATTAGTTGATACTTCAGATGAATCTTAATACAACATAATCAATCAATCAATACAACATACTCTAAATTCAAAAGCAGATTTAACAGCAAATGCACCAGCCATCCATTTGTTTCCTTGATTCCCTGTTAATTGCCAAACAAGAGTTCCGGGGTAGGTGTTATTGGTGACCTTGTAGAAACCCAATGTTCCAACTGTTTTTCCATACATGCTGTACCAGAATCGCATACATCTTTGAGAATTACCAGACGCAGCAAATGTTTCACTCAGAATACGAGCATTTTCATTAACTTTACGGGGTCTACTAGTTTCAATATACAAATACATTCCTAGAAGAAACAAACAAAAATTTAAATGTGACATATATAAGTTTAAGTGAATAAAATGAAAGAAGAGAAATTGACAATCTTCTGTTTCTTTTCACCCAACAGTTGATATAAAAAGGTTGCTGCTAATAAAAACGAGAAAATCCAAATCTGTGGACCAAGTCTATCCAATCACTGGAATATTTATTGAAAATGATCTATAAATAATGACCTTTCTTATTGTTAAAGGTGTGATCAAATGTGGGGCCAGTTTTTACTGTATTTGTTTTACCAGTTCTTCTCGTCCAATCAAAATCATCAGTTCCATCTGAAACCTGGACCCATGAACATAGATTCTTCTCAAAAGTACATTCACCTGATAAAAAGAGAGAGAGAGAGAGTGTTAGGAATGGAGTTGATGGTCCACTCAACACAAACTAGATCATTTCGGGATTAACATACGGTTCAATTTTATTACAATATTTCACATAGGTGTAGGGCACTTGAGAAAACCAATGCGGTTGGACAGGCCCTGTAGTGCACATGTTAGACCCCCCTGATTACTTAAAGCATTGCTCCTCTATCACAATCCCACGACATTTGCACTATAAATAAAAAAACAATGAAAATATAATGGCATCCTAGCCTTGTATCCAGAAAACAAGGATGGCATCAAGTTTGTGTGACAGCCTACTAATACTATTAATACTTTATTTACGTCACCATATAGGTATGAATATGTACCCTTCCAAATTACCATGATTAATTTGATGATAGATGGTCTACTTGTTTGACTGTTATTTTCTTTGTATTTTAGATTTTTATTGTTGCCCTCCCAGAATAGAATTTAAAATTGATTTATTTAAAGTAGCTAAGTCTCTAACTCAATATCATCCAAAATCTTCAACATTGAAAAACGATTTATTTGTCAAATTAAATCAACATTCATGTTGTGATCTTACCGGAAAAAGATGGGCTTTTGATATCCAATATTTAAGACAAAATAAACATTTTACCATTGGTACACGAATGGTGTACCATAATGCGCTTCAGCCCCAGTTGTATCAAGAGACTCGAGGGACGAGGCTAGACACATTGCACCAAATCAAACGGCGTATGTAGACTAGAATAACCAGACGCTAGAAATTTGCTCTCGCTTGAGACTGCTGGCTTATTTCGCCGAACACAACTCATTTGAAATTGGAGTAAAAACGGAAACCATTGAATGTAAATCAGTTTATATACATTCATATTACAGTATTATATGCGTTGCGACCCACTTTTGTCAATTTCTAGGCCCCAAATGTTAGCGATTTAGCTCCTTTAAGTCATTTATCATCTTTTAAAACATAAAAACTGTTTACCTGTATTTGCACATGCACCTGTTGTAACATTTACATCATCAATAGCAACATCACCTGTAGCACCTTTACCTACCATTCCTTCAAATACAAGCTACAAACCAAATAAAACACACATGAAACAGATATATTTTATCTATATCATCAAATATATAATTTCAAAACATAGTTTCCATTATCTGGTTGATATTGACAATTTATTTGAAGAATTTATTTGTTTTCTAAAATGGCCGAACCATGTGTAAGCTGTATGAAGTACATGCTGATGTTATCAGTGTATTATAAAAGGAAGAGGAAAGGAAGGGAGTTTAAGCCTATATGCAGCAGACATCCTAATAACCATATTCCTTATCTAAATTTTAACAAACGTAATCTCCAATTAAAAAAGGGTTCGATGCCACGTTGAGCTTGATGTTTATGGATAGAAATGAAAGGCTAATGATCTTAAAGCAAAAAATATAAGCAAAGACATTTGACTACTCAGTCTCCCAACCAACACCCCTGTACTATTAAATAAATAAGCCTACCTGATACGGTGATAATGTTTTAATATCTACTTCTGCAACATTCCAGTTGTTACCTTGATCAGATTTACGACTCCAGATTGGTAAACCAAGACTATTCTTAACCTTGGTGTAAATATTGAGCATACCAATACGTGTTCCACTCATATGATACCAGAATCTTAAACATGATGGACCTTTAACAAGAGTCACTTGTTGGGAAATAATTCGAGCTTTGTCACCATTTACTCTAGGTGCTGATGCTTCTATGTACATATAATATCCTGAAAAATGAAACGTATGAATGTCATGTCATCAAGTATATCTATTGGGAGACCAACAGGGCAATACTTTTACCTTGAACAAAGGAAGTATTATATATATGCTTCTTTCACCATAAACAAGTTATTTTTTTGACTATTAGAACAGATTTTTAACTTATAAAGTATGATATTTCTAATCATCCCCTCAAAAAATAATTATAGACTCAAATACTCTTTTTTATAAGTTTCTACATTATAACATACCTTGCCCTTTTTTAAAAGCAAATATCTGAGAACCATATTTTTTAGAAGTGGTATAAGATAAGATGCTCTTTGGCTAACATAAGATGAACACTATTTTTCTTACCTGTTGCTGTTTTAAAGGTGTGATCTGAAGTGGGTCCAGTGCCAACTGTTCCTGTTTTACCATTCTTCCACGTCCAATCAAATTTATCAGTAGTATCCTGTTGATATCCACAGATATTCGGTGATTGAAATGTACAACTTAAAGATTCTGGTTGCCCCGTTGCAATCGGCACTATAATAAAATTATAAAGGTATATTTCAGGCATTAAGGCTTCAGAAAAGAAAGGGTGTTGAAAGGCCTATTAAGCTCATGTTATTGTGTCACATATCAAGGCCAGGCTTAAGTTTTTTATTCGGTAAGAGCACTTGTATGAAAAAAGGCTTAAAATTCAAACTAAATTTGGCACTATGGGTAAAAAATCTTGTACCAGTAATTTTACATATTTTTAAAGTTCCAGAGATATAAACGAAAAATATTTAGAAAGTTACATATATCAGGAATATTATACTGGTAATACACTGCTTTTAAAATTTATGTTAATCATCTCAGATTTCAATATCTTTTATGGGCCTACTATATCCATTGGAAGCTAAACTGAATTTCATCACAGCATACAATCTTTAATTTGCTACATAAATCCTTTACAGTAATTTGAAAAAATAGGGAAAACAAATAAAATAATAATTTACATTTGCATGCTCCGATGTCATAAGATACATCATCTATTGCTATATCACCACGGTAACTAGGTCCTTTTAAAGCTTCTAATACAATCTAAAAATATATTAATGATTAAAAAAGAGATGAAGAAAAAAAGATGTTTTTTGAATTTGAATTGCATTGTATGAAAAGAAAGTACTAAATGAATAAATATATACTGATATAGCGATATCTGGCATGGAATAATTTAAAAATCCATGAATGAATGATTAAATAAATAAATGAACCAATGAGTAGAGATGAATAAGGTGGCTCTGTGACTATGATGCTGGCATTCAAACCAGAAGGTCCTGAGTTCAATATGACTGTTGGCCATGGAGGTTCTGCAATGTAACGTGTCAAGTTTCCCTCACCATAGCACACTGCACAGCAGAAGGCCTTCTTGATTAATCTGATTGCTGTAGAAATTCAAGATGTTAAGCCCAATTATATTCCATTTTCAAAACAATACTACTGTTAAATATTCATCCTCTAGCAAAATGAACAAGAAGTCGCAAACAAAAACAAATACCTGAAAATCTTTAACAGACGAGTCAAAAAAGATCATAGCTTTTTTCCATGTAGGACCTTGTGTTCCTTTCTTTTTCCAGATGGCATTACCATTTTTACCAGCCTGTCTTCTATAGACATTAAGTGCGTTGACATGATCTCCATACATATTATACCACATCGTAAAACAGATACCTTGTTGTTGAGGTGTCAAGATAATATGAGGACTGATGAGTCGTGCTACACTGTTTGTCTTTAAACTAGTTGATGCTTCTATATACATATAATATCCCTCTGTAAACAAACAATGTTTTACACAAATCAAATGGGGTTTAATGTCCTCCTTTTAAAAACATTTTTAAACATATCTGTAAGATCGTTCAGAGAAGCAAAAAAAACTTCAAAATGGTTAAATGAAAAGGTCAGTTCCTTTATCTAATTTGTATTTATTCTAGCAGTATAATTTTAAATAAAGCATAAATAATTCTTCTTTAGACAAACAAAAGTCATTAGTATTTACCATTTTCTTGGGGGGTTGCATGGCCGAATGGTTAGCATGTGCGCGCTGTATCATAAAGCATGTCATTGAGTCAATCGGCATGGTTTCGAATCCCCGGTTGTATATGACAGAGAGTAGGGTCGCCTGTCCAACCTTGTGGGTTTTCTCTGGGTCCTCCAGTTCCTCCCACTGCTAAAGACCCATACGCGCAAGCGAATTATTGAAATAAAATTAAACCATATATTATCTCAATTTAAGGTCTGCCTCAATGAGTCACTATCCCTTCTTTTCTTGTAATAAGAAGATGATATTTTGATGGGATGTTTTTATTATTCTACTTACTTCCATTTGTATGATCACCTGATGGTCCTGTACCATATGTTGTTGTTGGTCCTTTATGTCGCTTCCAATCAAAAGCATCAGTTTTATCTTGTATCCACCCGCATGAAGTGGATGAGAAGTCACAATTAAATGCATCTGTTAGAAAAAAATAGAGCAAAGTTTGTTCACTCACTCAATACTAATAAATGATAAGAGATCATCCAAGGGAGAAAATTTTTAAGCTAACTATGAGAGACTGTTTAAGCTAACTATATTAATATATGACTAGCATTCTTTTATTTCAAAACCTTTTTCATACGATGCTCCTTATTTTTTATAACACAGTTCCTAGTCAATGACCCCGAGAAACATAAATAACACACCATTATCTATGTTCTTAGGAGAATAATAAAATAAACTGCCTTACTGTACTTACTAGTAAATCATTTTTATTGAAAGTACTGATTTGTTTAAGTGTAATTTTATTGCACTAAATTGTTTTAGTGTACTTTTACTTACTTGCAGGTGGTTTTGGTGTAGTTTTAACTGTTACTTTAGGTGCAGTTGTTGTTTTTGGAATAGGTGTTGATGGTTTCTGAGTTACAGATGGATGTGAACTTTGTGGAATGGCTGAAAAATTATAATTAGTCAATTATAATTAGCTATAGATTTTAAATGATTTCAAATTGGTGACAGTATGATAAAACTTATATATTTGGGTATCTTCATCTGAACATATTTACAATAAGCTTCTATTAAAACTATATTTATTTGCCATATACATGTCCTCAACAGTTTAAATGTTACTTACTGTTACAAGAACTAGTAGAATCAAATGTGATATCATCCAGAGCTATATCACCGGCCCAATTAGTACCTCTAGATCCTTCAAATATAACCTATAAAACATACAATAAATATAATCAACTATTCCCTTCTCTAAACACACTACTGAATCGGATTTGCGAGCTATATTAAAGGAGAAAACCCCTACAAACACTTATTTTGTTGAAATATACAGTATGCTATGAAAGAACTTGGCCAGACAGAAGAGTTTCTCTGCCCACTCTTTATAAAGAATTCTTTTACATACCATTACACAGCAAGACCCTGTGTTTCATCCCATCAAAATAAATCTGGTTAATTCTAGTTGTGGAAGACTCTTACAGTCCCTTTTTTCTAGTTCCAAGCAACTATCTAAAGCCATGTGATAAATTCTCAAAGAAATACCCACACCAACTTGTCAAGTGAAGTGGAGCTGGAGATGAGCTTCTTGAATAAACCGAGTATACGACTATACATCACATGCATGCACAGAGATAATTTTGCTGCTACCTATACATTTGGGTCTTGAAATTATTTAATTGCTGTGCTTTAATTACCAGTGAAAGATATTAAATACTTATGGTTAACTAATTACTCAATGAAAAAAGATAATACCCCCAAACTATTTTGACAACCATTTCAATAAACAAACTCTGTGTATGTGACAACAATATTTTAGTATGAAATAATAATACAAAAACAAAAATAAAATTGTGCCACACTGTAATGACGTATTATTATACCTGATAAGATGCTGTCTGTGGAGGAATTTTTATCTGTCCTTGTAACCATTTGGCACCCTTATTTCCTTGTAATTCCCAAATGGGCATAGGATTATTTGATGATTTTAATCCTACCCATACTCGTAGAGTTCCTACTTGGGCTCCATTCATGTTGTACCAGAATTTCAAACATGTATTTGTTGATCGAGGAAGATCTTCACTGAGCAGACGGGCTTTATCACCATTTTTACGGGGATTTGAGGCTTCTATATAGATATATTTACCTAAAACAGAGGGAGAAGAAATTAGATAGGAGCCATTCTACTACCCGGTACTAATATTAAAATAATAAATCAACATGAATTGAATATCTTGTGAAAAATCCTCACTATCAATCCATTTCAAATGTTGAGAAATATCATATCAGTAAAATGAAATAGGGTTTAATGTCTTCCTTGTATGCACCAACCGGGCAGATGGGTATATGCCATACAGTGTACTACGAGGGGAAATTTGCCTGGACAACAACATTTCATAAAATACCAACAGCAAAGGGTTCTTTACATTCACACCAATGAATAAAACTGGGTTTGACATCCTACTTTTTCGCTCAATCTGCACCACTGACAAGAGAAAACAAGGCGGAAAAATCCTGAGGTAGTTTTTTCTGCCAACACCTGGATTAATCCTGTTTAGTGAGCCAGCATCATACTCGTCAAACCATAATAAGTTAATCAAAAGTAAGAAAGGTTACAGGATATTGTGCTTTACATTAATAAGAGAACACTTGTTGTAACATGCTATATGTTTTCCATATTTAAACGTGTTGTGATTTTTTTTGTATTTTACCTTTAGAATTGTTCAAGGTGTGATCAGAAGTAGGTCCTGTTCCTTTAGTTTGAGTTGGTCCATTTCCTATTGTCCAATCAAATTGATCAGATTTTTTGTCATTTGTCCATGTACACATTCCATTTTCAAAGTTACAGTTACCTAGATTATAAAAAGTATGAATTAAATTAACAAGATTCATGATGGTCATATTCATAATACAGTTCAACAAGATTCATAATGGTTCAACAAGATTCATAATGGTTCAACAAGATTCAAAATGGTTCAACAAGATTCATAAAGGTTCAACAAGATTCATACCAGTATTAAATTCTGTAAAAAGAGATTTTCTGTAGGAATGGATAACAATAACGTATCATAACAATCTTGGAAACTAGATATCTGTATCCAAAGAGCTTTAGATGTTTATTAAAGAAATCCATGACTATATTAATTTTAAATACAATGGTGCAACCGTTAGATATACTTTTGTTTCATTGTGTTCAATATTTCACCTATTGTGTAAACTCAAATATAGAAGACAGCAGCAAAGTGTGCATTTCATGTTATAAGGCACCAAAAGTTACTGTGTTAAGATAAAACAACTGGTTCCCAAAAACAATCTTCCATATAAATACCACAATTAGGAAATGTCAATTGAATCCTACAAATTAAAAAAATTTGGAATGAATCTGGAAATTACGAAACGTGGATGAATCTGCAAACTAAAAATTTGGAATGAAAAAAGGTGAAGAACTTACCTGGTATAGTACATGAAACTGACGAAACATTAAAATCATCCAGTGCCATATCACCACGGATACCAAGACCTGTGATACCTTCAAACATTATCTGATATGGTCCTGAAGCTTTAGGTACTGATATAGATGCTAAATTCCACTGATTTCCCTGATCACCTAAAAAAATATACAAACAAATTATTTACATAGATATAATGTGTCATAGATATAAAAGATCATTGTATTTCAGCAGTAACAGAACAGAACTCTCATTTTCTTGCATAAATGACTGGTTATAATTCTCATGAACAGTTTTCAAGTTTGATAAATTTGTAAAAAATCAACCAAATACTCTTAGAACTTGTAATAAATTTCGACCTATATTTCAAACTTAGAATCTAGAATCATATTTTTTTACTTTAAAATGAAATGAAATTTAATGACCTACTATTCTTCACTGACTGGGCTCATGGAGATAGGTGTACACCATTCAGTGTGCTATGAGAGAAATTGTATTATTTATGTGCATGCCAACAAGGTACATGGGACCTCTTTTTTTTCTCCCATCCAAACAACTAGACACTGTCCTTATCGGCTTTCTGTCTTGCACCACTGACAAGGGGAAATCCATACTGAAAAATTATGGGAAACTCCAGCCCCCCTATAAGTTTTTGGATAGGGATTCACAAACAGTATGTCTTTTCCCCAATTCCAATTCACAAAATATCTATCTTAATAAAAATAGGGATCATAAACACATACCTTTCTGAGACCATACAGCATTTCCTCTCTTCCCTCCTTTTACTATGTAAGCACTGAGTGTTCCGATATGATCTCCAAACATATGATACCAGAATGTTACACAGCTATCTGAGGTTTTAGGGGCTGATATCTGGAAGGAACTGAGTTGAGCTTTATCACCTGATTTTCGTGGGTAAGAGCTTTCTGTATACATGTAATATCCTAGAAATAGAAACAAAATAGATGACATTTATTGATTCATTGGCCATGTGATATAACTATATACTGCACGTTTATTAGACAAATTTCGTAAAAAATAACAACATCACCTACCTGCTGTAGTGCCATATGTGTGATCAGCTGAAGGTCCTGTTCCTTTTGTTAATGTTCCTTGACTTGTTCGTGACCAATCAAATGTGTCAGAACTAGATTGAGAAAATCCGCAAATATCACTTCTCTCAAAGGAGCAGCTAGTGATTGGTCCATTATTTACCCCTGAAAAAAAAACACCAAAAAACGATGTAAACATTTTTGAAATGAAGGATGTCATAATTAAAAACATGTTCATATGTATATGTTTTCTAACAGAACTAAATTGTGATGTTGAGACAATTTTTTAATAGGGAGGAATGTATTTTCCAAGAAATACTAAGAATACGACAATAGCCTGAATATTGTAAAATCTCAAAAAGGTGATTGGTTGAAGGTACCATTTCATAATATTAATTGAAACTGCATTGAAACCTTACATATAATAATTGATTATTTCTTTCAAACACTTAAACTTACTTTCTGCACATTCGTCATTTGACATAGTAACATCATCCACAGCTATATCACCATGGTAACCAGTTCCTCTTATACCCTCAAATACAACCTAATGACAAATACAATAAAATTATGAAAATCTAACAACTGAAGAAGCTATATACCTTCAAATGCAATAGGATGAAGAATACAATGAAATAATGTAAATCTTACAGAGGAAGAAGTTCTATACATTCAAATACAATCTAATAAAAATTAATCAAAAAATGTACTAAAAACAGATTACTAGTATTGATTTAATCTATATTTTATAAGATAACAAGCAAACAAGAGGAAAAATAAGGTATTTTAAACATCTATTAATTTATATTTAATGAAATGGGGGTTTAACGTCCTACTGTTCTGCTCCGACTGGTCTATGAAGACGTCAATGTGTAAACAAGACCTCGGTTTTTCGTCCCATCCAAATGACTAGACGGCCATCCTTCTCAGGCCCTCCATCCTGCATCACTGACAAGGGGAAACCACGCCGGAAAATCACGATGAACTTTCTCCGCCAAAACCAGGATCAAACCAGCAAACTACTGGCGAGCCAGCGTCTTACTCAATGAACCATCGTGGCTCCCTTATACTTAATGGTAATAATTTATCTCGAAGATCTCATACTTTATGGTACTTTTACTGAACCAAATGATATATGCCATTATGTTGAAATATTAATCTTGAGTTGTATTCTATACCGTAACGTTGACTTATTATGTTATTGCATAGAAACAAGTAGCTGTAATATCTTCTGTCCCATGATATCTTAACCAATATGTCTACCTTTCAACCTATACATTAAATTCTAGAAATTTTGCATTAAACAATAAAATATACTTGCATTAAATGTGTTTTTGATATTTTTGATATTAATGACTGCCTGTTTCCATTTTGAACCCTGTGTTCCCTTTTTAAACCAAGTAGGAGCTGGAAGACTAAGTCCTGTCATTAAATACACTTTGAGATAGTATACATTGTTTCCAAACATATTGTACCAGAATCGTAGACAGTGTGAACCTGGAGTTATAGATGGACTGATCAATCTGGCTTTATCACCATTTCCACGAGGTGTTGACGTCTCAATATACACATAATAACCATCTGAAAAAAAATCATCATTTATCAGGTATAGACCATGTTTTACATATTTATTTCTAAAGTTTTTAAATAATAACAAAGTAGAAAAAGGAAATATTTAGGAAATTAAAAATCTACTGAATAAAATATGGATAAACAATTACAAATGATATTCTAAACTATAAATGTTCTAAAAGATCTTAATGTTGTATTGTTGTATTTTGTGGGTTTATTTGGGTATATTTAGATCCCTATACAATATTTCTTATTATAAGTTATGTTTATAAAAGTGATCTCCCTTTAAACACCATCCAATATGCCTGACTGGAATGGAATGAGGTTTAACGTCTCGTCAAAAATAATACTGCAGTCGTTTGGAGACTATTCAAAATGCCTGACATCTATTGATATTACTGATAAAAGAATCGCTCAATTTAAAGCTTATGACTGTTTATAAATACCAATATTTACTTATTATATTTCTTACTATAAGTTATGTTTATAAAAGTTATCTCCCTTTAAACCATATTTAAAATACCTGTGATCCAGTGATAAAAGGATTGCTCAATTTCATGACTTTGGTTTATATATATCAATATTAAGACTTCATGATAAATATTTTGAGTCTTAAACTGATAATTTAATATTTCTTTAATGTATAATTAACTACATCAGACTCTCAATCACTGACTAGATTTAACCAGATTCTACTAGTGAGTGTATTATTTTTCTGTGGTAGAATCTATTTAGACATGGTGAACCTTTTAGTTAAACATATAAAAATCTATATTAATATATATCTGCATGTAAGATATTCATGCTCCCTATATCATATCACTTACTGCCTGAAGTATGATCTTTCTGTGGTCCTGTAGCACCAGTTCCAGTAGTTCCCTTATGTCGTATCCAATCAAATTTATCTGTTTTGTCCTGCTGCCAACCACAGAGATTTTGATCAAAAGTACAGTTAAATGGACCCGCTGGTGCAGTAGGTGCAGGAGATGTAAGAACCATTGTTGTTTGTGTTGGTGGAATAGCTGTCGCAGGTAATACTACAATGATATTGAACATATTAACATTTATTATTTAACTTTTGACACATAAAAACAAAGCTCTCAAGGCTCACTGAAGAATGTATTTAAATGAATATCAAGTAAGCTATTCTGTTCATATATTTTGTGAAAGTTTTTGATATAAACAATATTTCATTGCAAATGGATGAAATAAAAAAATAGTTTATATTTGTGGATGTTGATAATCATTTTATAAATAATTACTTTCATTAATATTAAAGATGTAGTTGGAACGAGCTACATCTGTCTATTTTGCAGGTCTTTATTATGGCTTCAAATGTTAAATAAACTATTATTTAGACATCTATTAACATGACAAACTCATAATCAACTCTCTAAGCCATCTGATGGCAGACATTTAAATGGATTAGAAAGTCTGAGAGATTTAAAAATTAAATGATAAAATAGATAATTGTGACTTAGTCTTGTTTGTCCACTACCATTGCTACAATAATAAACAATCAATACAACATCTTCCAAAAATCATAAATTTGCTCAAAATTAAGTAAAATAAATGAAATTGTTTGTATACTTACATCCACAAGATGATTGTGTAAAGATAATATCATCTATAGCTATATCTCCTGTATATGTAGCTCCTCGTACACCCTCAAATACTATCTGATAACTCTTCTTATTTGGTAAGATGGGTGCCTGGGCAAAGACCCATTTATTACCTTGTTGACCTTTCAGTTGCCAAATTATATAATCTGGGAGTCCTGCAAAGATCATGAGAACATAAAGAGTGTGATATATTATAGCTTTTATTCATTTTAACCAAATATTTGATAATAAAACCAAGAAAAACTACCAGTACTAAATCTACCTTCATGTTCAACAGTCAATATATGAAATACTATCATTCGTATGGAATCCAAATGAAATCAACATGCATGTACATCATGTTTTCTCCACAAAAAATTGTTCTTGATTCTTAAAAACAACCACTTGTTCTTCTGGCACAGATATAGCTCAGATTATCTGCTTTATCAGTTAATATGTTAGATAATTTTACTAAAATATTAAGTTCAAATATAATATGATGATATTCAGCCGTATCACCCCCATCACTGGGTCACATGTCATATTTCCCAGCTTTATAGCTCTTACCTGGCACTCTTAATTTTACATTGAGTGTGTCGACAGTAGCACCATACATAAAATACCAGAAACTTATACAGCGAGGATTGGACGGATTGGGTGAGAAGGTTTCACTGACCAACCAGGCAAAATATCCAGGATGCTGAGGTGCTGATGTCTCAATAAACATATAATGACCTGAAATATATAATCATTTATAATTCAACAAACTGATAATAATCATATTATACAATTTATCATCAATGGGATAAGCATTAGTAATGAGACACTGTGGTCAATAATAGATTTCAAATGCTGATAAATCCTTTTGTAGTTCATTTATATTCTTTTTATCTATGGGGGGTTGGATGGCTGGATGGTTAGCACGCGCGGGGTGTATCATAAGGTCTATCATTGAGTCAACTGGCGGGGTTTTGATTGCCCAGTTGTACGTGACAAGGAGTAGGGTCGCCTACAAGCAAGCGAATTATTGAAATAAAATTGAACCATGTGTTAGTCCCAAAATGACCTAGTTTGTGTCGAGTGGACGTTAAACACCATTTCTCTCTCTCTCTCTTTTTATCTTTTTGTAATTGTGGATATAACAAACTACCTAGCACATACTATCAGCCGACACCAATATATTCTAATGGGGAATATATACTGGTTGACAGCAGATGTTTGGCTATCACTGCACAGCAAGTAATATCCACAACTTAACTGATGATGTATTGTAATGATCTTATGGATACTCTGAATAGGTTAAAAATTTATTATTCAACAATTTTATTGTAATGTGAACAACTCAAAAAAGATAATTTTTCAAATTTCATCAAAACAGGCTCCTGCACGAAATCAGAATTGTAACAGATTGTGTAGACTCTGAGGTTTGATTAATTTAGGTCTGGAATTTTAAGTGCATGGCAGAGTTACCTACCCTTATTATTACTGAGTGTATGATCAGAAGGTGGACCGGTCTTGGAACTTCTGGTCTTTCCTGAACCTTGTGTCCAATCAAACTTATCTCCTTTCATATTCTTCCATGTACAAAGGCCATTCTCAAAATCACAGTTGCCTTACAACAAAAAAAACCAAAAACATAAATAAAATAAAATATCATTTTACTAATGGAGGGAAATGCCTACAAATAGAATTTGATTGACGAACACAGCATAAATTTAAACTTCTGTGTACAATGATTGACCTACAGCTAATACACCTATACAGAGGTTTTGTAAATGGCAGCAGATGATCATTCAATTGGATAATTTCAGAGTGCAACATAATTATCAAGAACTGCAGAAATAATGGAAAGGGTAATTTATAAATATGTAATAAAGAATACCTGGTGCATCACATGCTCCTACTGAAACACTGACATCATCAACAGCTATATCAGCTCTAATATTTTTCCCTCTTATTCCCTCAAAACCAATCTGTAATACAAGATACATCAAATAATTACGACCTATAAATATACATGTAATAGCAAGCCCGATCTGTAAGATAAGATACATCAATTAATTACCACCTATTAATATACATGTAATAGCAAGCTCGATCTGTAATATAAGATACATCAATTAATTACCACCTTAAAATATACATGTAATAGCAAGCCCAATCTGTAAGATAAGATACATCAATTAATTACCACCTTAAAATATACATGTAATAGCAAGCCCGATCTGTAATACAAGATACATCAAATAATTACCACCTATTAATATACATGTAATAGCAAGCCCGATCTGTAATACAAGATACATCAAATAATTACCACCTATTAATATACATGTAATAGCAAGCCCGATCTGTAATATAAGATACATCAATTAATTACGACTTACTAATATACATGTAATAGCAAGCCCGATCTGTAATGTAAGATACATCAATTAATTACCACCTATTAATATACATGTAATAGCAAGCCCGATCTGTAATATAAGATACATCAATTAATTACCACCTATTAATATACATGTAATAGCAAGCTTGATCTGTAATATAAGATACATCAATTAATTACCACCTATTAATATACATGTACCGTGGTAATAGCAAGCCCGATCTGTAATATAAAATACATAAATATCCATGTAATAGCAAAACCAATAGTAAGTTCAAGAGAACTGCACCACATATAAACAATTACATAAGACAAACCTATGGATATAACTACAATAATTTCTCACCTGAAATCTGGCAGCTGTAGACATTGGAATTGTGGCCTGTCCCACAATCCATTGGTTACCTTGGTTACCCGATCTGGTAAATATTGGTCGTCCCATAGAATTTGCCTGAAATTTACATGAAGTTGTCTAAAACCATACTTTTACTACTCAACTTTGACTAAAAGTATTTTTTGTGGTTCTTGCAACAATTATAAAGAACCAGCGGCTGCCAGGCAGGATACGCCCACATTTTCGAGCGATGGATAGAGAACAAGCTAACAAGAAAGTGATTTTTCCTACAATCAAGGGCCATAATTCAGGAAATTACAATTCGATATGCGTGAATATCGAAAGGAACCGAGATCTTTGGGTTATAAACTTACATTTCAAGTTTCAACAAAATCGGATAAAAATTGTGACCTCTATAGGGTCCACAACCTTGATATACCATATTTTTACGCTATTTGAGAACGAACGGCGGCCATTTTGTCTGTCAATTTTGGGCTGATTTTCACGAAATTCGAACTCAGCCGTCCTTAGGGTGTAACGGCGATATAATAATACGTTTTTTTAAATCGGATAAAAATTATGACCTCTATAGGGTCCACAAGCTAAAAACACGATTTTTCGTACTATCAGGGGCCATAATTCAGGAAGTTAAGGTCCGATATGCGCGAATATCGAAAGGAGCCAAGATCTTTGGGTTATAAACTTACATTGCAAGTTTCAACAAAATCGGAAAAAAATTGTGACCTCTATAGTGTCCACAACCTTGATATACCATACTTTTACACTATTTGAGAACGAACAGCGGCCATTTTGTCTGTCAATTTTAGGCCGATTTTCACGAAATTAGAACTCAGCCATCCTTAGGGTGTAACGGTGATATAATAACACGTTTTTTTAAATCGGATAAAAATTATGACCTCTATAGGGTCAACAAGCTAAAAACGCGATTTTTGGTACAATCAGGGGCCATAATTCAGGAAGTTACAGTCCGATATGTGCGAATATCGAAAGGAACCGAGATCTTTGGATTATCAACTTAGATTTCAAGTTTCAACAAAATCGGATAACAATTGTGACCTCTATAGTGTCCACAACATTGATATACCATATTTTTACGCTATTTGAGAACGAACGGCGGCCATTTTGTCTGCCAATTTCGGGCCGATTTTCACGAAATTCAAACTCAGCCATCCTTAGGGTGTAACGGTGATATAATTGAACGTTTTTTTAAATCGGATAAAAATTATGACCTCTATAGGGTCCACAAGCTAAAAACACGATTTTTGGTACAATCAGGGGCCATAATTCAAGAAGTTACGGTCCGATGTGCACGAATATCGAAAGGAACCAAGATCTTTGGATTATCAACTTAGATTTCAAGTTTCAACAAAATTGGATAAAAATTGCGACCTCTATGGTGTCCACAAGCTAAAAACACGATTTTTGGTACAATCAGGGGCCATAATTCAGGAAGTTACGGTCCGATATGCGCGAATATCGAAAGGAACCGAGATCTTTGGATTATCAACTTAGATTTCAAGTTTCAACAAAATCGGATAAAAATTGTGACCTCTATCGAAAGGAACCGAGATCTTTTGGAGATAAACTTATATTTTAAGTTTCGTCAAAATTGGATAAGAATTGTGACCTGTAGAGTGTCCACAAACAAATTGTGGACGGACGGACGTCCGCACGGACAGGGGCGACGGCATAATACGTCCACATGAAAATGTTGGCGTATAAAAACATATCTAATAAAGTGAAAATTGAGATCGAGGCAAATATAATTTTTACTGAAGGTTATATGAGAGCTTACATCAATCACTGCTGACCTAAACTCAAACATAAATTACCTGAACAGCATAGACATTAAAAGTTCCCATATCCACACCATACATATGATAGTAAAACTGTACACAGAGAGTCTGTTTATTTTTATAAACTGGAGACATTAATACAGCATTATATCCTTTCTTGCCTGATGATGCTTCTGTATACATATAATGACCTTCAATAATAAGTGAATAAATTAAAAAATAGAATTCAAATACACATTTTATCAAAGTAGCTGAAATCAGAGAGAGACAGAAATGAGGTTTAACGTTCACTCAGCGATCAACATAGACTAGTCATTTGGGACGAACATAAAATTTTACTTCAATAAAATCGCTTGTGTGTAGGTAGGGGTATTTAGCTGTTGGAAGAAACTAGAGGACTCGGAGAAAACAATTAAGATTGGGCGGCGACCCCAATCCTCAACACTTACAAGCATGGGATCAAAGTCATCTCATTTGACTCAATGACAGACCTTATGATCAAAAGTGCACACATTAGACCACTCTACTACCCCTCAATCCCCATTTTGATAAGAAATGATCTGTTAATCTGTTTATTTGAAGGGGTAACCCTCAAAATTAAAACGACTTTATGCAGCATCTAAATATTACACAGACAATCTCAAGTTTTGTATTGCAATAAATATATATTTTGTCATGATTACAGATTCACACTGGAAAATAATATGACAACCATTATATGTAATTGTTGATTACTTATATATAAAGTGTTAAAATACCGCTTTTTGTTCCATAGGTATGATCCGAGGTTGGACCAGTTCCTTGAGTGGATGTTGCTTTGGAGTTTCTAGTCCAGTCAAATTTATCTTTTTTAGACTGAATATAGCCACAAATATTCGCTGCTTCAAAATCACAACTGAGTCCATTAACCAAAGTTCCTGGTGTCGTTTTAACTGTTGGTCCTGTTCCTGGTGTAGGACTAACAAGGGAACCTTTTGATAAAAATACACAGTATTAAGTAACAGTACAAATTTCCTATTCAATAAAATTCTACATTGAAATTCACGTAAAACACAATTTTTTTCATTTGATGGTTCTAAATTTTCTGCACTGCATATATAAGCTCTAACATATATTCAGATTTCCAAACCTTTAATCCATTTTGTATTATTGTGTATGGGCATCTACTATGGACAACGAAAGAGCAACGATGGTCTCCACCACTCTATAATATAGGGGATTGATGTCAGGTGTCACACAGGTAAAGTTTAAGTGATGAAAACTATTTATATTAACTTTTGTTTTTGTACATATTTCAAAGTATTCAAATTGATCATTTAGGATTCAATTATGAAATTGAAACAAAAGTATAAACTCTAGATTTCAATTGGATTAAAAAGATTCTACACTGCTTTGTTTCTATTGTCTGCTGATATATGTTGAGAAACATTGAATGAATTATATCTTTGTAAATACGGAATGGAATTTAATAATAATAATTTATTTATAATGCACCTATTACCAATATAAAATACTGCTCAATGGTGCAGTTAACATTTTGTGGACATAAAAATTAGAAAATTCTATCACACAGAAAAATAAAATAAAATTGCATGTTATTAAATGAATGATAAAAGAAATTAATCACTTTTATACTGATATTCCTTTTAGAGATTCGACTTTCACAACAGTTTAGTTTACAAGGGACACAAAATCTCCGAAAAGATGTTTAGGGGCTGTAAATAGCAGGAAAACAGCAGAATAAACCTACAAATCTTTATAAATATAACAGTTAACTTAACATACAGCAAAAATAAATGGCAAATGACATTGGTATAACCACACAATCATATTGATAATCCACAAAATCATAAACTAAATCATTAAAATAAGTCAAAGATCTAATACCTGTACAAGCTCCATCGCGAAGTTTAACATCATCTAAACCAATATCTCCCTTCAAACCATTTCCTCCAACTCCTTCAAATACAACCTAAAAAAAACATATATAATTAATATTCCACGAATATATTTAAATACTTAAAAATCTAGAGTAACTGAGAAAAAAAACCAATGGATCATTAAATATGTAGAATAATTAAAAATAGAAATTAAAATTCTGCTTGGTCCGAATAAAAAAAATCTGTACTTAATTTATATCACCTAAAAACTTACCGAATATGGTGTTTTTCCGTGTGACACTGTTATCTGGCCTTGCAACCATTTGTTACCATGAGAACCGGATTTTGTCCATAAAGGATCTCCCAATGCTTTAGATGTTTTCGTGTATGCATTGAGTTGACCTTAAAAATAAATTGTTTAAACCATAAAAGAGAAGTATTACAGAGTTGAATATCTTCAGTAAAACTAATAACATTTAGCTCTATTTAGTCATCATGGGTTTAAAAGAGTTACCTCCCTTCTGATAGCCTTTCACATGCTATATTATAACAATCGACTTCTTTCTAGGACTATGGTACTATATTCTATTGTTCATGCCCACATTAGATTATAAATATCTACACATTAGAATGAATATTGTCGAATCTAACCCTTATTGAAGCGTGATTCCAACTTGTTTGTGGTAGAAAGAAAGTGTTGCCTAGTTGTTTGAATGAGATGAAAAGCTTGTACACTTGTACACATTGAAGTGCATCTACGCGTGTAAGCTGATACCGTTGACTAATGAAACTAGGCCTTTTAGTAATGACAATTTTTGTCATTAAATCATATAAGTGGTTAGTATTCTAAACTAATGTTTAGTATGTATAGAAAGTGGTTAGAAATTATACAGTTGTCATTAATTAACAAGTGTGTAACTAGCTGTAAAAAATGTGACTATCTATAACACCCATCACTATTGAATACACAAACCTAACCAATAGTGGTGTATATCATTCAATAGGTACAGTTTTAACACCTTAGTGACAAAACACCTACTTAATGACTACTGCCTCATTACTAAGAATTTTAACTAACTAATACACATTATGTATATAAACTGATGACTTTGATCTATTAGTGTCGTATATTTTCATTTATAACAGTTATTTGTTGCTTAGTCAACGATATCAATGTTACAGTGCTAACAGACCCCATAACAGTTAGAACTTGATGAAGAGTAGGCAGAGACACTGTTGTGCAGGAAAAACTTCTAATCCTTAGCATGGTACAAGGGACCATATAAACACATTCATATATTAGTCTCAAAATGACCAAATTATTGTGCTAAAGAGATGATAAACCCCATTCTATCCCCTTACCAATTGATGGTCCGTACATATGATACCAGAACGATAAACACTGTGTAGGTGTGGTCGGATTAATTTGTTTACTCTCTATTCTTGCAGTTTTGTTGGCTTTCTGTAATGATACTTCAGTATATAGATAGAATCCATCTGAAATATATTTGAGACAAGATTTTCAATTTTCTGTCAGATACCCGGCTATTATATAAAGTTTGCAGATCATTCGATGTTTGATCAATGAATTAAATATATAAATCATTAAATTAAGCTTCAGTAAAAACAGCAGTTAAATGATTTAAGTTTTACAAAGTAAATCTTACGTCCTGTAGTGTGATCTGCTTGAGGTCCTGTGTTTGACGTTGATGTAGAACCTTGATGTCTTGTCCAATCATAATCATCATCTGTTGACTGTTTCCATGCACACAAATCTATCTCAAAATTACATGTTACTGTTTGTGGACCTTATAATAAAAAAAAACAAACAAAAATATTTATAGGTAACCAGTAAAAATATCAGAATTTCTAGAGCAATCGCTCTGTAACTGAAAAATTGATTCGTGTTTTATTAAAGTCAATTATTAGTAATGTTGGTAGGGGTGTATTGAGGATCAATTTCAAAATGGGGTAAATCTAAAAATGGTTTCAATGTTTATTGTGGAGAGATCAGGAAGTAATAACCTTATATCAACATTTTCAGATTAAAATCAAACATGTTCTTTTATTAATTCTGGTAAACTTTGTAAACAATATGGTTAAGAAATTTGTTCAAAATACATCCACATCCACCAGCATCATTTTGAAGTGCTGATATCAAGTTTTCAGTGACAATACCCGCGTGTAAAATTAATGGATCCGACTTAAAGCTCGCCAATCAATCCAATGAAGTTTGAAAAATAAATTTTCAAAAACTCTCAATTGATTTGTTTTAGTGACAGGTGCAGTTACACGATTCTTGAAAATTAGTCATACAAACAATACTGCATTACCTGTATAGTGCTTAAAAGTTATTAAAAACAGTAAAAGTATAATTTACCTTTAGTACCTGGTTTCGGTGTGATTACTTTCTGTGTAGTTGGTTTTGGTGTAGTTGTTAGAACTGGATTATATGCAGCCCCTTTTGGATTCACTGAAAAATATATCAAGATTTCATAAACAATAGATCTCATTCTTATTAATTCTAATTCATGTTTAAACTGAAAGCTACAAATCTGCTACTCAGGTAATTTGCATTCCAGGGAATATTAATATTTATCATATTTGTCATCATAAATTAGCTCACTTTGGGATAATAATGTGGTTTATTTTAGATCCAAAACCCATTCATCTAATGACAGACCATATGAGCCAAAGCACAAACATTATACTTCTGCAAGTATCGACAATTACATGTATATTTACTTGGATGAGGGAGGGGTGTTCTGCTTAATCAATTACAAATGGAATTCAAAATTTTACAAGCAGATCAAATTTTTGTAATAATTAATTAGAAATGAAAAATATATCTGAAATGAGACCCCAAACTTTATTTCTACTTACCAGCACAATTTCTTGTAGGCAACTGAATATCATCTAAAGCTATATCCCCCAGTTCACCTGCACCGACTACTGCTTCAAATATAATCTGAAAAATACCATGAATAGCAGACCAATATAAAATATTTGTGCATGATCCCGAAATGGTCAATGTTAATAAATTCAGTCTTAAAATTAACAGTGTACAAGGAGGAAAACAATGAAGATTTACTAGTAGAGATTAATTGGTTGTTATATCTTTTATCATTGGACTTTACCTTAAAGTTTGATTTGGTGCTAGGTATGGGAAACCTTCCATAAAGCCAAGCATCATTCTTATTACCAAACAGCTGCCATTTCAGAGTTTCTTGAACACCAACAACTACATAGACATTGAGTGTTCCGATCTGGTTACCATTCATATTA